AGGTAGCTCATCAGTGCCTTGCAATGCCTTGCACTGAAAATAGGTAACTCAGCAATGCCTTGCAACGCATTGCGCTGCTCTACAATGGGAAGCAATTTTTTCTTTGCTGGAAGATGAGTATAGTGAAAACATAAAGACAGCCATATCTCCAAACTTTACAATGAAACGTGGGGTCTTTGATAGAACAATGTGCTTGGCTTGGCCAACAGCACCTTGTGTGAAAGTTTCACGATCAATGTCGCAATTAGCCCAAAAATATTTTTTGGTCGTCGTCGTCGAAGAGGTCGACCCCTGGATCCAGTTTGGCTGGTGGCGACATTGCGAAATCTGGGATTGGCAAGCTTGATCGTGAAACCGGCACCCAAGGTGCAGTTGGCCAAGCCGAGCACATTGTTCTATCAAAGACCCCACGTTTCATTGTAAAGTTCGGAGATACAGGCACCTTTATGTTTGTAAGCGTGATGCTATATGAGAAGTAGTCTTTGTTCATTGCCAAGTAGCTAGACCCTGGAGAGCCAAAGATGCAGAAGGACCTCTTTGGGTTACTCAGCTAAAAATTCAGGACTTCAGGGACAATGCATGAAAGGTACGCAACCCTCACTTTTATGTCATACATTGGCAGCTAATAGCCACTTTTGTGCATTCCCAACTTTTGTGCATTCTATTGTAGGTGGACGATGCTCCTGCTCGAGACATTCATTTCCATGATTAAAGTAGGTTGATCCGAGCTGATTTGGTTGAGTTACGCTCACACAAGATTACATTGGTTGAGCTACATCGAGCGTGCTCTATGTCCAGAGTGATGTAATCTCTCTTTGACCGCAGCTCAGTCAAATCAGCTCGGATCAACCTACTTTAATCATGGAAATGAATGTCTGGAGCAGGGGCATCGTTCCCATGCAGTGGATCTCGCAACAATGATGATTGGATAAAAGTGGCCGTTAGCTAGCAATACATGCCTGTTCCTAGATGATCCATAAAGTAATTATACATTGACCCTTTCATTCATGCAAACGTAGCTCTGTTACACAACACGACCCTGTGAATCTTTTGCTCTGTCACGGTCCACCTACTTGACAATGAACAAAGACCATAGCATCACGCTTACAAACATAAAGGTGCCTGTATCTCCAAACTTTACAATGAAACGTGGGGTTTTTATTACAGCAATGGGCTCAGCTTGGCCAACAGCACCTTGTGTGAAAGTTTTGCGTTCAATGTCGCAAACATCCCAAAAAATATTTTTTTGGTCGTCGTCGCCGAAGAGGTCGACCCCCAGATCCAGTTTGGCTGGTGGCGACATTGCGAAATCTGGGATCGCCCACGATGAACTTCATACTTTGACACAAGATTCCTTTGACCCCGACAAGCACGTTGATCGATTAAAGAGCCCACGTTTGATTGTAAAGTTTGGAGATACAGGCACCTTTATGTTTGTAAGCGTGATGCTATATGAGAAGTGATCTTTGTTTAATGTAAAGTAGCTAGACGCTGGAGAGCCAAAGATGCAGAAGGACCTCTTTGTGTAACTCAGATCATTATGCATGATTGGAAGGGCCAACGTATACTTCTCAGTAATAGCTCATCATTGCCCGCTAGCAGCCATTTCTTCACAATCAGCGTTGTTGCAAAATACACTTTATGTGAACGATTCTCCTGCTCCAGCCGAGCATTTCCATCATTCAAGCTTCTTGATCCGAGCCGATTTGACTGAGCTACGCTGTAACAGCGAATATGTAAATTCTTGAAAGACAGACCCTGCGAATGTCTCCGACTTTCAAACTTTTGGACGCTCCCATTCCAAATTTTCAAATGAAGCGTAGAGTATTTATTAGAAAAAGTTGATCAGCATGCTCGAGAGCACCCTTCTGACCAAGTTTCAAGCTGGAGGTAGGCAAGTTCGGGGCGGTGGACGGTTCGCTCTTTTGTTCCCTTCATCCACCATTTTGATCGCCCCGTATTTTAAATCTTCACAATGAAGTCTGCAACTTTTATTTGAATGGCATTGATCAGCATGTCCCAGCGAACCTTCTGACAAAGTTTCACGTTCGAGATGGGGAATCCCAAGGTAATGTATACTGTTTCGATTAATCATCAATCCTGGGCTGACCTCCATTCCGACTTAATAGTAAATGCCACATTGCACCCTGCCATTCAATTTTTTATAATGAAGTATAGGTTCTTTTTTAATACAAAGTTGATGAGCATGTCCAAGAGCATCTTGTGTGAAAGTTTCAGGTTCGAAGTAGGCAATCTCACTATCAAGGTTTGACGTACAGTGTACATGCATTTATACAAGAGGTGTCCGACAGTTCAGCCTACTTTAATTTCCACTTCTTCCACACCCACCTTATTCCCTCTTCCTCCCATTCTTAACTGTTGGCCCATTCAAGTACATACGACTACCACCTGCGAACGATTGTCCTGCTTCAATCCATCATGCCAATCCTACCAATGCCTTGATCCGGAAGGCGTTGACTGAATGGCAAGTCCATGGCGTGTACACCCCACTACAACACCTGCGTCTCTTCACGCCACACATGTCTTGCATGTTGCTCTGCCACGACCCATCGTAACAGCGTTCATTCCAGCAACTGCCATTAGCGTTGTCTTGCTCCATCGTCTCAAAAAGCGTTCACCACCCTGTCACTCTACTACAACACACGTTCATGCACGCTCCTTTGCCCACGACCAAGGTTGATAGAAGTTGCTATTCGCAAGGACCTTTACACAAGCGAGTATTGGAAGAGCTACCAAAGTCGATGTGGATGTGAGTATCTTATTGTCAATCATGGTCGTCATGCTCACATACATTATTATTATGTAGACACCTTATGGGGTGAGGATTCAAACGCTACAAGCCTTGTCAACAATGTCCATGGCAAACTACTTCCAGAACGTGCAGTGCACATGCGGCTTCAAAAGTTGATTCATTCATGCCATCTTTTGATCGCTCATCACTTGGTTACGAGCGTTCTGGAAAATGTCATCAAGCTGTCAGCGAATTGTCTCTGGAGTTTGTTAAGTTGATGCATGCTATCTTTTCACATTTCAAAGGAGCCAACGATGCATTGATGGATCTATTCTTTGAACATGGATGGTGCCGTGATCTCGGGGAAAAAGCATGGAGAAGCAGCAAGGATGGTCGCACTTTTCACAAACGACGTGAGAGCATGGATGAGAAGATTGCATGGAACATGTTTCTTACGGTAGGTTTATTCAACTCAACAAGCATGCATCGTAATTGATGGTCATCCTATCTAGCCACGATTTGACATGTTTATGTATTTGGCCGACTATATGAACATGCCCGGCGAGACCGGTGAGATTGCACGTGGAGCGATTCTTTTTGCATTGCGATTATTGGATGGGTGATCCTGAGTATGTGTGCTATCCGCATTTGTGTGAAGTTATGGTAAGGGCATTGGATTTGATCATGGTAGCCATGAATGAGATGATTGATGGGTGGATTGATTTAGGCTGAGCGATTGGCTTTATTCTTTGCCAGACCACCCAAGAACACCGGCGCATTAACGATTTCAGATAATGGACGCGTTGTACCAGCACGACCTCCTCGACGTCACATCCACTTTTCAGCACCAGCCATGATCACCAATAGCAGCTTTAAGAAGAAAGCAACCCATTCGATATACATTTCGCACATGCATTGCAAACCGTACGTGATGGCGAACAAACAGTGGATGAATTTTACAGCTTTTGGGAATACTTGAATGATGTAACACGTGTGGCCGACAAACGTCTTATGTCCGCACTGATGGCACCATTGTCAACCTTATTTTGGCATCCTGTTGTTTGTACAGCATCGAGTTCACCCAGCGCTGATTTGGCGGCTGCAGCAACAGCATACACCACTGAGATGATTCGATCACTCACCGATCAAAAGCTACTTCATGCATTCTTGGTTGTTCTTATTAGTGAAGAGGGTGGCATCGGTAAAGATCTCGAACCTGAAGTATGAGCCAATCTTTCACGCCAAGGTCTTTTGGAGGATGGCGATTCACAACTTACAAGCGATGAAGAGGAGGATGAAAAAGACAAAGTCTTTGCCATATGATCGAATTGACGCTGCGCCTGGTGAATTGATCAATTGCATTGTTGATGGATCACATGACTTGTCGTTGTCAACGTTACGCATGTTTGATACAACCTTGTGCTATGCAACTTCCCTGACACTGGCACCATGAACACCACAACAATTACTCACCTTTGAGGACACCACAATCGCCATTCTTCCATGACCGAGAAAGTAAGGACAATGATTGGGTAGCAGGAGGAGCATGAGGAGATAGGCAAAATATGCACAAGTGGAAGAATCATCTCCATGGTGTCGACCTTAGGAGATTGGCGTAGCATCCGTAGCCTAGATATTATTGATGAAGTCGTCCTGATCATACACGATCATCTAATAAATGGTGATCATGATTTGTTATTACTCCATTATGATGCCCTCAACCTCAATACACGTCTTTGTACAGCAAACATTGTGGATGAGTTGGCGTGCGTTCGAGATTGTGTGCTGTATGCATGTGTATGTAATGCATTATCGTTTAAAATCTTGTGTCATCCTATAACAAATCCGCTTTAGAATCTCTTTTCCGTCATAATAATTCTTTCAATGTTCATATACCTGTGGGACGCAAAGAAGGGGGATGATGCTCCTGATACTTTTAGCCACATTCAAGGAATGACTCCGTGGATGACCTTGCCGGCCTTCCTATCATGGATTGTGGTACTGTACCTGAAATACGGTACATATGATATCATTCCATTATTAAGGGACTATAAGATGTAACTCCCCATGCCTTTTGGGCGTCCAATCAAGCGTATAGCTAAATGGACTCTGAATCGACGACATGCACTAGGTGCATTCATTTGAACTCCCATTATTTACCGCACTGTACTGTACCAAAGGTACCACTGGATAGTAAAGGAGCGGTCATAGCTGTTAGAAGGTTTCGGGTATAAAATCTGGTTGTAATAAACGCTGGACTCATTGGTTGATATAAATGCATCATGTATCCTTTATTCCATATCGCCGTAACAGAATAATAACAACAATAGCCTACAACAATACGGTATAGGAGGTTCAGGAGTATATGTAAGCAGGATCATGCGTGATCAGCTGTTCTACAACAGCATGCAACTCTCCGACTACTTTGTATGGCAAAATAGTATAAAACCTCAAAATGATACCATGTATCCATAATTGCTCTACAAAGAAATTTTGACGCATTTCATTTATTATTGGATATGTTGGCTTCAGCTTTCACACTCTCTGCATTCATTATGTTTGCACTTACGACATCATCTGCAGGCGCTGCTGCTGGTGAGCCTTGCACAGTTTTCAAGTACCACAAGGAAGCTGACCAGTCCGATTGCAAGGACCCAGACCTAGTCACTGACCTGGAACAAGGAACTATCTCTCAAACCGGCGGGCGACTCTTCTGTAGCGTTGACAAAGGGTTATTCGAGAATAGACTTGAATGTGGAAGTGCCTGTGCCAGAAAATATTTGAAATGTTCCCAAGACAACTGCCACTCCTATACAGCCGATTTGTGGAACGGTGGTGGTTATGACTCCTACCTCCTTACTACTGAATGCTGAACAAGTTGTATATGAACCTTGATCTTGCCCAATAAAGACCCATTTCACTCGTAGCAAAAATGCTTGATGCCAAACCAACCGCTACTTTTGTGCTTGATGTGCAAGGTTCACGGAAAACATAGCACGCAATGATCAATAGGTTTTGACTTGTTGGATTTGCTATTACACAAGCAAGTCCCTCTGCTTCTTCGACTCAAGCTACAAAGACCACTCTCCATGTAGCATCACACTTACATAGTCAACCCTACAAAACACCCACCCATTCAAATTTTTCCAATGAAGTGTTGGGTTTTATAATAAAAAGTTGATCAGCATGCTCCAGAGCACATTGTGTGAAAGTTTCAACTTCGAAATAGACAATCTCGCCGTCATGTATTAAGGTACAGTGTGCCTGACCCTGCTTAATTCCCCATTTCTTCCACTCAGCTTCTCCCCTCTTCTTCCTCCCATTCTCAACTGTTGCCCCATTCAAGCACAACTACCGCCTGGGAACGATTGTCCTCCTTCAATTCACCATGTCAATCCCACAACTTCCTTGATCCGATTGCGTTTGACTGAATGGCAGCTCCATGCCGCTGTACACAGCCTTGTCACTCAACCATAACACACGGGCCTCTTGACACTGCACCTTCTCTTGCACAATCCCCGACCACTCCAAACGTAACAGTAGTTGCCATGAGCGAGGTCTTTACTCCATTGCCTCAAGTTACTTGCAGCAACTTGCCTTGCAGTCTTTTCTCACGTGATCAGCGCATAGCCGTCATATAGAAGCAGCTTCAGTTACGTGTCGCAACGTGTTTCAACGGAAACGGATTCCTATGGATAAGGATATGAATATTGCTTTGGTATGTATATGGGATAGAAGGAATCGGGTATATACAACGCGTGGCAAAAGAGCATTATTCACATGTATCCATTATCAGCTAGACCTTGATGCTAATTTTGGAGACGGGTCCTTGTCTTGAATACCTTGTACACAAGCGAGTATTGGAAGAACTGGTCGAGTTTGCCAAAGTCGATGTGAGTGTTGCCTTGTTGTCAATCATGATCATGGGTGCTCATATGCATTATCATCATTTAGACACCTTACGGGATGAGGATTCAAACGTTACGATTCTTTTGCAGCCTTGTCAACAATGTCCACGCCAAACTACTTCCAGAACGTGCAGTGCATATGGCGCTTCAAAAGTTGATTCATTCATGTCATCGTTTGATCGCTCGTCACTATGAACAATTGGTTACCAGTGATCCTGCACCATGTCCTGAAGAACGTCATCAAGCGATCAGCGAATTGTCTTTGGAACTTGTCAAGTTGATGCATGCCATCTTTTCCCATTTCAAAGGAGCCAATGCTGCATTGATGGATCAATTCTTTGGACGTGGGTGGTACCGTGATTTCGATGAAAACGTATGGAGAAGCAACAAGGATGGTTCGCACATTTCACAAACGAGGCAAAGCATGGATGAGAAGGTCAACTGGAAAATGTTTTTATGGTAGGTTCATGAAACTGAAAACATGGATAATATATTGATGGTCATTTCTAGTCACGATTTGACATGTTTATGTGTTTGAGCAGATGGGTGAGATAGCAATTGAAACGATTCTTGCATTCATTGCGGCTTTTGGATGGTGATCCTCAATATATGTGCTGCGTTGTTGGATCTTCCGGATTGTGCGAAACTATGGTAAGGGACATTGGATTTGATCATGGTAGTCATCAATGAGATGATTGATGGGTGGATTGATTTAGACTGAGCGATTGGCTTTATTCTTTGCCAGACCACCCAAGAACACCGGCGCATTAACGATACCAGATAATGGATGCGTTGGGCCAGCACGACATCCTCGATGACGAATCCACCTTTCAGTACAAGCCATGATCACCAACAACAGCTTGATGGTCACAAGGAGGATCAAAGCAGTCTTTATTTATTTTTGGGACAGGTAGACATATGGTATGATGCTGCTAGATGGATATTAAGGTTAACAACTTTGTTGCTAGGTGACATTTGAAGCCTTGAGGCGTGCAGAGCTGGTACCAATATCGAGACACGTATATCAATTGCCAAGAAACGTGGTGTCCATCTTGCCAGTGCTACAAGCAGCTCAACGACCAGTAGTCATCATCATCATCATCACCATCATCATCATCATCATCATCATCAACCAAAACGATCCCTTTCCACCTTTGCACATCCATCAACAAGCACCACGTGTGTTGGTCCTACTTTATCACGGCAATCAAGCCTTTCACAGCTCGTGTTCAACAAGGGAAGCAGTAACAATGGATCCACTACACCACCCTCTGGTACCCAAAGCCCACCTGTAACAACGACTACTGATAGCATTAGCAACAACAGCATCATCCACATCCAACAAGCACCCATGCACCCTTGACACTACAAACCAACCGTGAAGCTCTGGAAGACAAAGATGGCGTTATTGATGCACTCAATCCACCGTCAGCCATCTTTTTTCAATACACCTATGACAGTGACCAATCCTTTTGCAAAGCTATCCAACTTCGTCAAGACGTATATTGTGTTACAAGAATTATGAAAGGAATTGGGCGCCTTCTACGACATGCAACCAATTACAATGACACAAGTCTTGTAAAGTATGATCAACATGAAGCATCCGCCTCTCGAACATGCATGTTCTCTTGCCATATGATTGAGACAAATGAACACCACAGCAATGAGAACACCGAAATCGCCTCTCTTTTATGACGGAGAAGATGAAAATTGAGCAGGAGGAGGAGGAAGTCAACAAAATGTGGACAAGTGGAGGAATGCATTTCCATGGTATCGATCCTAGCAGATTGGCGTAGTGTATGTAAGCCTAGATATTTTAGATGAAGATATCCCTGCCCATGTACGATCAGTATTCAGCAATTGCAAATGGTGATCATGACAATTGATATTATTGTATTATATTACCCTCAGTTCAATATACGTTTATGCACAACTATTTCGTACTGGTACATGGAGGAGGGGAGGCAAGGGTGCTTTGCATGCATTCCCTTTTGATATGTATTCTTTCATCTTATGGTGAATTCGTTTATGATCTCCTATTTCTCATGAGAGTCCTTCTTAAGCATATTTTGGTGATCCGGAATTGAATCACTATTATGGTGTATCCGTATGTGTGCCCGCCAATGAAGATGAAGATATGTACAAAGGGAGCGCTTCCCTTTCTTTCCGCCACATTCATGGGAAACCCCTGAAGGGGTAGGAAGGCTCTGATGGGATATGTGAGAGATCATTTTGATGCTTTGACTTGTCATTCTGCACTTTATGACCATTATCACTTGTACGTTGTTAGTATACTTGAGAAGTACGAGCATCGACTATGGTTCATATATTGGAAGTGAATAAAGCATCCTTTAAAAATGAAACACGGCACAACCTTTATGACAAGGTCGTATCTATTCCCTCTTCCACAGATTTTCAGGAGGATTTCGACCATGCAGTAAAAAGTCAACTCCTTAGCGACATGCACTAGATGCGTTCAATTGAACTCCATGCTTCCACCTCTACTTCCAACAGCCTTTACAGCCCTAATTTATAGGAGTGATAGAATAAAATGCTATAAAAACACTAAATGACACCATGTATTTATGGTTAACTTTAAGAAATTTAACGCACTCTTCTACTGGATACGATGCTAGCTTCTGTTTTTACACTCTCTGGATTCATTGTATGCGCCCTTGCAGTATCATTGGTAGGCGGTGAGCCTACTGATGATAAGCCTACCGATGAGCCTACTGATAAGCCCTGCGAAGTTATCAAGTACAGCCCGGATGCTTTCAATGACCATTGTGGAAGCGAAGTAGGGATCACTGGCAGAGATCAAGGGAAGGTCCATATTCTTGACGGAGAAGAAAGATGTACCGTTGTCAAAGGAGAGTCTAACTTTTCTGTTGGATGCGGGCAAATCTGTGCCACGAGCTTCGTGGCATGCGGCCTCGTGTGTTCCTCCGACCCGGCCAAGATGTGGGACAGTAGTGCTGCTACCTCCTACTACCTCAGTGCTAAATGCTGATAAGGATCAGTTGGATGTATATGTTGATTTGAAAGTTCTTCAATAAAAATCTTTTTCACTGATTCATCATCCCCGTATATGCTTGTTTGATCTTGTGATCGCCATCGCGCGCCTTCATGTGCGACCTCGGAACGGGCTCGGTTCTCTCTCATCATCTTTTTTATTCACTGCGACAACTATCACCAGTTGCTCTTGCAATGTCACCTTCCTCTTGATCTAGTCATGGGTCTACATTCAAATGTATTATGAAACAGCAGCAGGTACTATCCAACATGCTTGAGTCATGCAATGAACGTCTCTTTATTTACTATCCTTTGTCTACATGCAGTCGAGTCAACGCCCATTCAGTTGTGCCTTCGCAACATGGACCAACCGATGCATTCTGAGAAGCTTGAATATCAGCGAGCCAACGCGAGCGATAGCCTAGATGATGTGGAGTCAAGTTTGGAGTCAGGCCCTTGTTTGATATATCTTTTGCCAAAGTTGATGTGAGTATCTTGTTGTAAATCATGGTCCTTGTGCTTACACGCATTATTCTCATTTAGACACCTTACGGGATGCCGATTCAGACGTTACGCTCCTTTTGCAGCCTTGTCAACAATGTCCACGCCAAACCACTTCCAGAACGTGCAGTGCACATGGCGCTTCAAAAATTGATTCATTCATGTCATCGTTTGATCGCTCATCACTATGAACAATTGGCTACGGGTGATCCAGCATCATGACATGAAGAACACCATCAAGCAATCAGTGAATTGTCTTTGGAACTTGTCAAGCTGATGCATGCCATCTTTTCCCATTTCAAAGGAGCCAATGCTGTATTGATGGATCACTTCTTTGAACGTGGATGGTGCCGTGATCTCGGCGAAAACGTATGGAGAAGCAGCAAGGATGGTCGCACATTTCACAAACGACGTGAAAGCACGGATGAGAAGATTGCATGGAACATGTTTCTTACGGTAGGTTTATTCAACTCAAAAAGCATGCATCGTATATTGATGGTCATCCTATCTAGCCACGATTTGACATGTTTATGTATTTGGCCGACTATATGAACATGCCCGGTGGTACCGGTGAGATTGCACGTGGAGCGATTCTTTTTGCATTGCGATTATTGGATGGTGATCCTGAGTATTTGTGCTATCCGCATTTGTGTGAAGTTATGGTAAGGGCATTGGATGTGATCATGGTAGCCATGAAGGAGATGATTGACTTTTTGGTTTAGGCTGAACGATTGGCACTCTCTTTTTTGCCAAACTACCCAAGAATACCGGTGCCGTTACGATTTCAGATAATGGACGCGTTGTACCAGCACGACCTCCTCGACGTCGCATCCACTTTTCAGTACCAGCCATGATCACCAATAACAGCTTGATGGTTACAAGCGGGGTCAATGCAGCCTTTATTTATTGTTTGAAAAGGTACGCATATGTCATGATGCTGCTAGAAGGATATTAAGGTTAACGACTCTGTTGCTAGGTGACATTTGAAGCCTTGAAGCGCCCAAAGCTGGTACCTATGTATATCGATTTCCAAGAAACGTGGTGTCCATCATGCCAGTGCCACAAGTAGCTCAACGACCAGTAGTCATCACGATCATCAACAACAACCGAAACAATCTCTTTCCACCTTTGCACGTTCATCAACAAGCACCACGCGTGATGGCCCTACTTCATCACGACAACCAAGTCTTCTACAACTTGTATTTAACAAGGGAAGCAGTAACAATCGATCCATTACACCACCATCTGCTTCCCAGAGTCCACCTGTAACAACGACTACTGGCAGCACTAGCAACAGCCACAACGAACCAACCGTGAAGCTCTAGAAGACAAAGATGGCATTATCGATGCACTCAATCCACCTTCAGTCAACTTTTTCCAATACACCTATGACAGTGACCAATCCTTTTGCAAAGCTATCCGATTTCGTCAATGCGTATATTGTGATGTGAGAATTATGCAAGGAATCGGGGCCTTCTACGACATGCAATCAATTACAATGACACAGGTGTCGTGAAATATCATGAACATGAAGCATCCGCCTCTCGCACATCGACGCTCTTGCCATATGATTGGGACAATGAACACCACAACAATGAGAACACCGAAATCGTCACTTTATTATGGCCGAGAAGATGAGGATAATGTTTGAGTAGGAGCAGGAGCAAGTCAACGAAATATGGACACTTGGAGGAATCGCATTTCCATGGTATTGAGTCTAGCAGATTGGCGTGGTGTATGTAGCCTAGATATTATTGATGAAGCTATCCCTGCGTACATACGGCGAACATCCAGTAATGGTTAAAGAAGCGTTTGCTATACCACAGCTCAATAAACATCTTTGTACGACAACCATTGTAAATGGGTTAGTGTGCGTTTGGGATCAAGTGCTGTATGCATGCGTATGTACGGCTATCATCATGTAAGGAGTACATTTTACAATCCTGTTTTTTTTTTCTTGTTATAATGCTGTCGATAAAATTACAATGATGGTGTGTATTATCTAAGAACGGGGATGATTGGAGGGAGTAGTGTTAAGTCTTGATCCTTTAGCCACAGTCAAGGGTCGACTCGGAGAGGAATCAATAAGTAGGTGTGCTATTGTGATGGCTTGTCATCCTGCACTTGGTGATCATTAGCATATAGTTTGGTACCTGAAATGCGACATTCTTCCATTACGATAGGCCCAGCATATCTTCTGACTCCCACTTCTTGGGCGTTCGGTCAAGGAGTACGAAAAAACGTCGATTGAGTGAATGCAGCAGGCGCGTTCCATGTTTTCCACCACCTGTACACCTACATAGATACCCATAGGTCGTTCAAACGTAGCCGTTGAAAGCTTGATTGTAGTAAAAGTTAGTATGGCTGAATGACCCAAATGCATCATGTATGTATGTATCTGTCACATCTCGACGTGGTGGGAACAACCATCTATAATGATACAGCAACATCGACCCAAATCGGATGTTCAGGAGTACGTATATGCAGGATCATGCATATTATGCTCTTGGAAACCAACATCCTCCAACAACTTTTGACAGTCCCTATTTTACGTTGAGATCGACATAGTAAATAGGTATAAAAGTACACTATTCACGATTGCTTTACAAAAGAATTTTGGTGCACCCTAAACTGGATTATGCTGGCTTCTGTTTTTACACTCTTTGCATTTATCGCGTGTACGCTTGCGAAATCAAATGCAGGTACTACCCCTACTGGTGAGCCTTGCGAAGTTATCAAGTACAGCGATAAGGCTTCCAAGTACAACTGCGGAGCCAAAGCCAAAATCAGTGGCAGGGAAAAAGGAATCATCCATACGTATGCCGAGATGCGCTTCTGCAACGTTGATAAAGGCCGCTCTGACTATTCTGTTAAATGCGGAGAGACCTGTACCAAGACCTTCAATATGTGTACCAACATGTGCTTGTCCCACACGGCAACTTTGTGGGATCGTCGTCTTAGCTCCTCCTTCCTCACTGCTAAATGCTGATATACATCTACTTTTTGAATAAAATCCATCTCGTTCGTTTGCATGGCCCTCGAGATCAAAACCAAACGCTACTTTTATTGCTTGACCCAAGCGAAGTCTCCTAAAATGATTGGGCTAGGACATCTTTTATTGGATGTATTGGTGAACGGGACAGCGTATGAATTGATAAAATGGTGGGGAGTCCAATCAAGTGTGATTCTTTAAGCAAGATCCTAGGGGTGATGGTCATCTTTTATGCATAAACCGACAATAGGCATGATCAAGTAATATACATCATCTAAGTTATCGCGTCATTAATCTCCTATCACTTATTGTTTTTGTTGCATGAATTTACCTTGTCACAAAAGTGCCACGTGCAGGGTCGCAAAAGGTCTCAGATAAGAGAGAGATTCCCAGTGACTGGTGAGTGGCTCAAAAAGATCCCGCCCCGCCCGATCCATTAGCTCTGCGTGTGAGTGGAGAGAGAATAGATTACCCATTTCCTCCCACTTGGTAACCCACCTTCTTTTTTCCATATCAACAACGACGACGACGACGACGACGTTCGCTTCACACCAACGACAAAGAAAAATATGCGACGTTTTACTTCGGATACAAGTAAACACCTTCCACCGGTCGATTTACAACTTGATGAGGCACCTGTGTATTTTATCGGACCCGCTACGCATGACAATCCAATGTCGCAAGTTCAGACACGGCTCATGGGAAGGGTGGTGTTCAATGATGCCAAGATCAAGTGGAATCGGATTACGCTTCAGTATGTGGGGAAAGCAGGACTGGATATTCACGCACCATTGGCAGCGTTGCCACGTGAATTGGCGGAACAAAATAACGGGAATGGCCAAGGATCCATGCGACTCGACTCCAACATGACCTTATGCGATATCGAAAAGGAGCTGATCTTTACGGGTGAAAAGGTGATTGAATTTGGATTGCATTTACCTACCACGTTACCGCCCAGCATCAAGACTCGCCATGCTCATGTCGAATATACACTCGCCGCCAACTTTTCAGCAGGCACCTTTTTCAAAAAGTATCGCATCCAGAAAAAAGTCACCGTATGTCGACATTATTTACCAAGCCCAAGTGTCATGATTCCATGTGTCGAATACAGCCATGCTCAAGGATGGTTTGAATACTCAGCTGAAGTCCCCAAGGCGGTGGCGATTGAAGCAGGGGAAATTGTCGTTGCATTTCGATGGAGCGTTGAAAAAGAACGAGTACAAGTGGATCGCATTGAACTTTCTTTGGAAGAGATTGAGACGTATAGGTAAAGAGTCAATGGCATCAATCACGTGATGGTTGCTTATCATTATCCGTTTAGATTTTCCACGAAATCAGGCGTCCATAATTTACCACCCATGATCACTCGATTCCCATCCACAAGCTATCATCCACCCCCTTACTCAGGTTCATCAGAAACCCATTTTGTACGCACTCCGATCCCCATTAGTACACCAGCCAATCCCATTCAACGTCCTGTCAACACGCATACATTTAATCCTTTCCTCGATATTTCTCATCGTCTACGTCTCGTGGTCCATTTTACAAGCAATAATACGGAGATCCAGCAAGCAGAGCCGGTTTCTATGGAATTCCCAATCATTGTCACGGATTATCCAGCAGGGGAGACGGCCAACCTTAATACGGATATGGGTGTGGTATTGCCTGCAGGTGATGAAGCTGTCAACATTGACCTCGACTTGCCAGAATATACGCCACGTTATGAAGAGCATGATCAGTCATTACATAGTTAAATCCATCCTCCTCTCCACGTAATTCAAATGTATACCCTTAATTATCCTCGTCCTCCCTCCTCCATTTTTGTATAAAACGACAATACATATTTTCATGGCACCTTCTTGTGGGAGTGAGAATGATGCATATCCACCACCAATCGCGTGACCCAATCCATCATCCAATCATCATCATTGGTAAATGAAAAAGAGATAAAGGGAATTGTCTTGAAGTTGTCAAAAGAATAAAGGAGTCATGAAACGGCTACATCAGGAAGTGCAAGTTGAACCGAGGTGCGACGAAATGGTCTATCCTGTCGACGACGATGCGTGTGTAAAAGTTGGTCTCGTGGATTGACCGTGGTGCGAGTGGTGGTAGTCGTCGTTGTGGATGTTGTTGTTGTTGCCACCTTATCAGCATTGTCACTTGTATTGTTGGTAACAAAAAGTAACTGACGTCGAATCCAAACACTCAAAGAGTCCATCGTTGTGTGAAAAAAGAAGAGAAGAAAAAGGCGACATAAATGGGTTGGCCTCTTTTTTTGGGATGGGACGATGCGTGCGTGCGTGCGTGTGTATGCTTGGGGCGCAGGAGAAAGTTGATGATCGTGATGCATTATGCAACGTGGTACAACTTGCGATCGAGAACCTTGGATGCACTGATACAATCAATAATCCACCTCTGAGAAATAGGACCACCATCCCATGCTTCTTTGTGTCGTCCATTGCTTGAAGAGGAGGGTCCATGCACCCTATCGCTATCATCAGGGCATATGATCTGCACGGACTCGTCATAAGATTCCACCACGCGTCCACCACCTTGTGTGATCAATGACATCAGTTCCTTTTTGCTTGGGTCATGGAACTCGCCATCGAGATAAAAGCTTTGTCCTTCAAAGAAGCGTTGTTGCTAAATAATGGTGGTATGTATACTCGTCAACAACATGAGCTGCATTGTGTTGTTTATGTCAACTTACGCCTTTGGCCTTGTGTCCAACCACGAGATACGGCTCCACCGGCAAAGTATCATTTTGATTGTGGCAATCCAAGACCCCTATTCCCAATACATAAGCATTCTCTCTCTTTTCAAGTACACATGTCCATACTTACATTGATCACTCACAACCGGTTTACCTAAAAGAATGGCTTGCGAATACATGGTATGAGAAGAAAGCGGGTTGTCTATTATAAACATTGTTAGGTAAACACACGTATCTCTTTCTCACGCACAAACATTTCATACCTGATGATACCAAAAGAAATGTTATCTCCTGAGTCACTGAATTCAAACGCTTGGCACCCATTCGACAAAAAACAGATGGGATGAATTGTAGCTATTATGATAATAATCATTAGGTGAAATCGGTGTGGGTGAAGTTTGTCAATGCTTACCACACGCACGTCCTTGATCCCGCATACGGCAATGATGGGCGAATCCAACGAAATAGACGATGATGTTGCCATTCCTTTCCTTTGTTCCTCTTCAGCTGCTTCAAATTGTGCACGGGTCTCTTGCGCTATCCAATCTCATTAATTGAGTATTCCATCCCATAGACCACCCCTTCAATACTACTCACCTTGACGTATCTCCAAGGATGTCACGTGGGTTACCTCTGAATCACAAGTAGCACTTTGTTCATGACCAGATTGTTGTGATGTTGATGATGATGATGATTCTCCTTGCCCAGGCTTGGTTGGATACGGATACTGCAATGATAGATTGGGTTCTGGTTCCTGACGCCAATCGGTCTCATGTTGTTCAGGCACCACCAGCGAAAGATCTACAAAGAGAATTATGCATTAGGATGACGCCTGCATACACTTTTGCATCACTGCCATACATACTTTCATGGGTCTCCTGCTCATAGGCTTCACGCAGCTTGCCAAATTCGTCCACTATGCGATCGATCGATTCAGCTTCATACAATAGCCGACGGTGAAGTTTAAAGTTGCAACAAGGACACGGTGAATTGCGCTTGAGCCAATGTTGAATACAACCACGGCAAAATGTGTGGCCACATGGAGTACTCGTTGCTTGGGTAATAGGTTGGAGACTAGTGAAGGGCATCGGTGGCATGAGTTCGACGACTGCGCATATAGATCTCGTTCATGAAGCTCACCAGATCGGGCATTGTAGTTCTTTCATCATGCGTGACAACAGACCAGCGATCGTATCTGGCAATTCACTTGGCGTGGCTGCAACTGACTGGCTCATACTCAAAGAGGAGGAGGGAGGGAGAAGGAAGGAAGGAAGAAGATGGATTCAAGACAAGAGTCGTCGTCTGAAATGTGTATCGGGCTGCCACACTACATACACACATCTGATGAAGATGGTGGATGAGCGAGGTACGTAGTAAACTTACTGGTATGTACAAGTCATTTATTCATATATCATAGATAGCGCATGCAATCAATGGTAATCCATCTGAGGTAAGGTGGTGTGCTTTTTCTGAATCCATGTCATAATCTTCACTATCTTCGGGAGCTTGGCGGTTCTTCATCCTCCATAGCAATCGTGGCACGGCGTTTTTCACTGCTCTTGTGGTTTCATAGTATAGGGGTGCTTGTGAATCACAATATCATGAACTGCTTCAAAATCATCCAGGGTTTCAATTCATTCGCCTCCTGCATTTGCTGTTGATGCTACTCATGGTATACCCCATTAACTTTCAAATAGAATGAGTGTACATAAAATAAAACTACATACCAATAAAGCCCAACATTGATTCAATGAACTGAAGAAACTCCCTCGCCTTCTCGTCAAATGTGAAAGGCATCCGAATGCTCATCTCTTTTTTTGTTGTAATAATGACGCGCCGAATACGTCCTTCTCTCCCTGGTCTACGCTCCATGGCTCACACTGGGTAGTGGTCTCCTCTTCGTTAGGTGGGAATAGCATCACCTGCGTATAGTATGCATGACATTATCAGCATGGTTAATAAAGTAAAAGGAGGTAAAGTTTCTCACGTACCATGCCCATGAAGAAATATCGACCTCAATAACCTAAACTCTTCGTAAGTCGCGTTCTTGTAGGTGTCGGCAGCTCGCTTCACCATTGGTAATAGGCCAAGCATGCCTTTGTGGTGGTCAAAGCTTGTTTTCCTTGGACGGCGGCCTTTCTTAATGCTTTGGACGTTACAAGTAGATAGCCTTGAATATCGACATGCGTAGTGGCGCGTACTACACCATCTGCCAAATAGCTTGGTTCCCGATTTTCAGCGTTCGGGTTATACATGCATCGATCTTATCTAAAGTGGGCTGAATAATGGTCGTGTTAGTCCACGAGAACTTGGATGAATCAAAATGACCACGAACCGTATCCAGTGCACTGTCGATGTAGCGTTTTAGGCCGTCAAGCACCCTTTCATTTTCCTTTGTGTTGCCGTTTGAAGATGTGTTGGCTACTTCCAAAAGCTCATCCGGGGATACCTTCTCGTTTGTGAACCTTGATCACACCATAACACGTTATGCAGTTCAGGCCTATTGGATTCCATTAACCAAGCTGCTCCTATTACTTCCCATTTGATCATACCTGTATATGATTTCAGGTTTTTCATTCACGTAAGACTCGGTATATTTTACCCACCCATCCCATAGTGAGTGCACTATCCAATGGTTCGATTAGAATAGCAAAAGGTGAATGTATGCATGATTACCTTCTTCATTTTCTTTTGCGTTCTCTTCTGTATACTGGTCTGCGTTGTCATGATCTCTTGATTGTCATGGCAACGGTTGTCGCGCTATTCAGGATACATGGCCCCACCTCTTTTTTTTTCAATTTTCAGACACGCACATGCTGTGGGGACCCACTGTAGGCGGCTCATCATCATTACCACTGACGGCTACTGTATGATCGCATCAAAGATGACATCCAAAGTGGGCTGGTACAAAGAACCTGTTAGTTCAAGACCACATTTTTCTAGAATGAAAATGACCACAAACCTCAACCAAGACGCCGCCGATATAGCCCTTTAGGCAGGCAGAATCCTTGCCGTTGTGTTTTCTCTTGATGTTTGGTTGACGCCTTGAATGACGCGTTGGATCACAAAGTGCCATTTCTAAGGGACTCGTACAGTACTTGTGGCACCGAACAAAGAAGCTCCCAACTTTCCATAAGAGTGCGGTTGCCTTTTTCTTGGAAGAACACGTGAAATGAATGGTATTGAAATGAATCACGCAATGACCAATGTGATGTTCGCAAGCTGATGGATAATCATATAGAATTATAGCGGGGTGGTGGGATCCAGTGTCATGATCGTGCTTTGACTTGTCCTTCGATTTGCATCGACCTCTGGTCTTCCTTATAAAAAAGATGAAGTACATTATTAATCAAGGGGGAATACGCAAAAGGATAACCACACATACTTCAATGAACCCAACAATGAATAGCGTTCATTGTCCCAAAAGCAATCGATGTATACTAATGACAACGACCTACATGGATGACAACAAAGATTTAATACACAATCCATGCCACCGTAGATCTATCTTTGACACGTACCAAAAATGATCTATGGAGCATGCAGCCATATAGATGATGCGATAGACGAAAGAGATGATGGTTCATGTGGTCGACAACATCAGCTTTGCTTTTATGTTGGTGTGGGCGTGGGAGTTGTTGTCGATGCAAGAGGAGGAGATTGTGATTAATTGGGGCTGATAAAGTGGTCAAGCATTTTAAAGGTCTTCTATGACATCAATCACTGATGTAAATCCATCCACCATCAAGAAAGGGAGATGACCCAAGTATGTCCTCATCCATATCTTACATTGAAATGAACGTATATATACATGCACAAGAAAAATAGATAAATTGATTGGGTGTGCGGGGGTCTACTACTGCTTCATGATAAGATGGGGTCTTTCTTTGGCTATTTTGAGGATAGCTTGTCCAAATAGGCCATTGGCCCATGCAAACCATGATCGAGTATACATGTCCTTTCCAGGATCCTTCTTGTCATACACGTTGAATGATTCATGGATAAGCCCAGTCTTGTCCGTGGAGTGAAGGATAATGTCAAGCGCTTCCTTGATCTCGTTGTCATCCGATGACGTCAAGATCTATATACAACATGATCAGCTTCTCCTTTCATCCAAACCACAATCGCCTATGTACATACTCGGACAATTTGTGACATGGGCCATGCATAATTGATACCAATATGGGGACCACCAATGCCACTACCACGTGGCCCGTCAAAGTAATAAGGATTGGCACGTGACAAGACCAGCTTTCGAGTATTTTGGTAAACCGGATCACTCGCATCGACAAAGCCAAGCATCGGCAAAGAAAGCAAACTAGGCACATTGGCATCATCCATGATCAACCTTGATCCATAACCATCCACCTCGTATGCAAACACCTTGTCGAATCCAGGCACATCCACCACGGCATACTTGTAAATAGCATCCCGAATCTCTTTGGAAAGTTGTCCCGATTGATCAGCAATGGCTTTCAGTTGTTCTTGCTTGGATACCACTTGTTGATCACCACTACTACCCTTGCTGTTGCCATGGATCTGACTCAGCATTTGTGAAATATGGGCCAATTCAACCGACATTTGTGCGTTGCCAGGGATAAAAAAGGGGAAGATGGTAGCATCATCGGAAGGGCGAAACAAGCTCTTGACAAGTCCTGTGCGTTGTACAGCATTACCAATGCCTTCGTTGAATTGGGTCTCGGTGGGTCGATCCGTGTTTTGTGTGAATGTATAATGGGGTGTCATGGGTTCACCTTTAACCATCACCTATGAGTCCATCATGCTTCCTTTCTTTGTCCGCCATCTCCTTTTTTTATACACATACCAGTGTTTGGGTCAAATGTAGGCTCCTGTTGCTCTTGGATTGTGTGTAATACATCATTGACAGCATCCACCCATGTATCGGATCGCACAAAAGAATCATCACCGGTCATATTCCAATAGCGATACGAGAATCCAAGGAATGATGCTAATGAATCAATTTCCCATTTGTATTCGTAGACTAATGCAGCAATGTGATATAATTAGCCCATGTAGAAAGGAGAGAGATTGGCTGACTTACCACCCTCTTGATGTGTATGAGCAGCATTAAAGTTTTCCCTTTTTTCCATCCCATCGTTGCCCATGGATACGGGTTCATTGAATGCATTTGCGTAGGGTGCCAAGTGAACAAATTGAGCTTGCATATGGATCAATCCAAGGAAAAGTCGCTTCAAGTTCACGTCTTGGTTGATAGAGTCGATGTAGGGCAATAACTGGTTTGCTGAATCGCGCAGCCACATGGCGTGAATGTCGCCTGTAATAACAAATGACAAGGGTGTATCGCAATGGGTGACATTACGGACGCATTCGGTTGCTTGAATGGTGGTGTCGAGTGTATTGGGAAGAGCGTTGGTGAAGAGGCGTGCCAAATCGGGGTCTGCCATCTATTTTTTGGGGGGAGACATTAATGCTGAGTTCTTATGCCAACAACCCAGGTACAACTAAGCATTCCATTACCTTGGATGAGATGGTCTCTATAGTCGAATCGATGACATTACTAACAAACTTGCGACATGCTTCGATAGGTCGCTGAAATGGTAGGTTCAATGGACCACCACTACCAGGTTCATGGAAGTCTCTGGCATAACTATTATGTGTGTGCATTAATAAAAGGATGATGACAATGATGAAGGATTGAAAAAGAAGCATACATACTCTGTATAATCAGGGCACTGAGGCATTGGATGCGGTGAAGGTGATGGAGATGGTGGATTTCGAATCACTGGGTATCGGTTAGGATGAGACCAAATTCTACAGATGGGTTGTTGTTGTTGCTGGTTGTCTACTTGAAGACAAAGGAGAAAGCTCGTGGTGAAAAAGATTAGGATACCACAAGAAAGAAGGAGGTTTATATATCGCCAACGCCGTAAACAGAGCCGAGATTTGCTGTCACTACTGTGATAGCTGGCATGATCGCCATCACTTTCCACTTGTGCTCCTCCTGCTGCTGCTCCTCCTGTTACACGTTCCGCTGATAGATGCTCATGCAGGGGCATGATAGAATTCCTTTTGTATTGCTCACAATCGCTCTCCAGTTGGATATATTACAGTTAAATCCTCGCTTCCCGTGATGATTCAGTTGCGTGCGTTTCCTTGCATATGACATGCACAAATTGTACGTTTGATGTTGCTGCTGACAATACGTCCTTGTTCTTGTGCCACTCGTTGTGTAAAAAAGAAAAAGAAGAAAAAGTAACAATCAACCTCTTTTTCGAAAAGAAGAGAGAGAGAAAGAGGAAAACAATGAAAGCGTTTGTGGCGAAGAAGAAAGAGGGCAAACAAAGAACAATCGCCAACAAATTTTCCCTCACTATGTACTTGTTCCCATAGTGGACAAACGTTGCCTTGTCTCCCACACAAAAGGACCATAGAAATCGTTTGACCTGGGATTAATGTCATGATGGGGTCCATGTGATACACGCCACAAGACCCCCGTAACAAAAAAGCGCATAAACTTTAATGCTACCCGCCACGTCAGTGCCGTATACCCGACATGATAATAATGCACTTGTCATTACGATGCAGTATGTGTATGTATGTGTATCTTGTCGGACATGGCTCTTTTCTCTCCTCGGTCAAAGAGCCAACATCGTAACATTTGAGATCTGACGAGGCTGCAATCATAAACAAAGCCATACGTTGCCAAAAAACAAACATTGGAACAGTGAAACGCCTCTTGATCTTACAAGTGATAAATCTTTATTCAGATAAAAAACATTATGTAGCAACGGCTGGTCTAGTAGCATATGCAGCAGCATCATGTACGTTCAGCAGGTAATATAACGAGCCATCTTAAATAGGATGCATAAGCTTCATTGTTGTACGGAGACCATGTGACACAAATGCTGCAGAACCTTCAGCAGATGACATGCTCAATAATGAATACACAATGCTGCATTCGTCAGCTAGCTTTCTTTCGTCGATTCGCGTTCCCCTGCGAATGGCCTTTATTCCTTTCATCGACACACCATCCACTCACTATGAACCTCGATCCCATAATTGATAATAGCTAGCATCATATTGCTTAAGTCAAGTGTAAACGTTTATCAATAGAATTATTTATACATTGATCTTCTCGATCCTTTCCACGAGATTTCAGGCAGTATCACCAGCACACATTGGCCTCTTGCTGATAGTGGATCGCACCTCCTTGGAGTCCGGTATCCATTTCCACACCAATTCCATTACCACGATGCTTCTCTCTGCTTGAAACATCACCTCCTTCCCACTTACCTAATGAATGAGAAGCCAAGTGTAGTGTGATTGATATCATCCGCACCTTCACGTTGTGCAATCATTATTGCTGCTTGTAGAAGTAGCCATTCTTGCAGTATCCATACGCGATCAAACCACTCATGTTCCTCAAATAGCTGATAATGCTGCTTGTGTAAGTCGCATGAAATCCATGTGTTGATCATCCATCCATACCTTGCACGACCACATTCCTTCTATTGAACGATGCTTGGATTTCGTTGCCCATTCGGATATTTCCACATCGTATGTATTGAATCAAGTTGTTACACGTAAATAAAGGCTGGAAGGCAGGTTGCTACAAGTAACTTGAGATAGTACAGTAAGGATCTTGCTAACAGCACCACCTGTTACGTTTGGCTATGGTAGAGGTGCGTGCACGAGCGTGTGTTGTAGTAGAGTGACAAGGTTGTGGATGCTGTTTGCGACAATGGCGTATAGAGTAGCTGTTGCGTTTGATTGTGGCTGACGATTGTATAAGAGAAAGTGTAGTATCAACAGGAGGCTCGTGTGTTGTAGTGGGGTGTACACGCCATGGACTTGCCATTCAGTCAAAGACAATCGGATCAGTACATTCGTAGGCTTTACATGATGGGTTGAAGCAGGACAATCATTCACAAGTGGTAGCTGTATGTACTTGAATGCACCAAAAGTTGAGAATGGGAGGAAGAGGAAGAAGCTGAGAGTGGAAACAAGTGGAAATTAAATGGGTCTTACACCTCTTGTATAAATGCATGTTGTACACTGTACATCAAACCTTGATAGTGGGATTCCCCCTCTCGAACCTGAAACTTTCACACAAGGTGCTCTGGAACATGCTGATCACGTTGATCTAAAGCAGACCTCATGCTTCATTTAAAAAATTTGGAATGGGAGGGTCCCATGTGGGGTTTACTATGTAAGTCGGAAATGGAGGTCAGCCCCGGATTCATGATTTATGGAAATAGTATGTATTACCTTGGGATTCCCCATCTCGAACCTGAAACTTTGTCAGAAGGTTCGCTGGGACATGCTGATCAACTTCATTCATTTAAAAGTCGCAGACTTCATTGTGAAGATTTAAAATGCGGGGTGATCGAAATGGTGGATGATGGGATCAAAAGAGCGGACGGCCCACCGCCCCGAAGTTGCCCACCTCCAACTTGAAAATTGGTCAGAGGGGTGCTCTCGAGCATGCTGATTAACTTTTTCTAATAAAAACTTCATGCTTCATTTGAAAATTTGGAATGGGAGCTTCCAAAAGTTTGAAAGACCGAGACATTCGCAGGGTCTGTCTTTCAAGAATTTTCATGTTTGCTGTTCCACCGTAGCTCAACCAAATCGGCTCGGATCAAGAAACTTGAATGATGGAAATGCTCGGCTGGAGCAGGAGAATCGTTCACATGCAGTGGATTTTGCAACAACGCTGATTGTGAGGAAGTGGCTGATAGCGCGTAATATATGGACTATTGTGGATAGACCATAAAGTATAATCCGGTCAATCCTTCCAGTCATGCAAGATAGCTGTGTTACACAAACACGTCCCTCTCCATCTTTTGCTCTGCCAGGGTCTAGCTACTTCACAATGAACAAAGACCACTCTTCATATAGCATCACGCTTACAAGCATAAATGTGCCTGTATCTCCAAACTTTACAATCAAACGTGGGGTTTTTATTAGAGCAATGTGCTCGGCTTGGCCAACAGCACCTTGTGTGAAAGTTTCGCGTTCATTGTCGCAAACAGCCCAAAAAATATATTTTTGGTCGTAGTCGAAGAGGTTGACCCCCCGCCAGATCCAGTTTGGCTGGTAGTGACATTGCGAAATGTGGGATTGGCAAGCTTGATCGTGAAACTTTCACACAAGGTGCTGTTGGCCAAGCCGAGCACATTGCTCTAATAAAAACCCCAAGTTTCATTGTAAAGTTTGGAGATACAGGCGTCTTTATGTTTGTAAGCGTGATGCTACACTGGGGCTAAAAAATATGGGTTCAAAATGAAGCAAATCTGGTATATGTGCCACATATGAACTTGAGCAGGTTTTTCCAGATTTATAGCAGACAGCAATTGAAGATATGATATATACCAATCTGAAGCAGCTCATAATAAATAACCAGATTAGCAGCAGATTAACAATAGAATACGACAGTCCGCATTTAGCTGCCTTTAGATACCTCACCAAGATGTCATTAATGATTGTACCAGATATTTATGAGATAACTTTCATATATGACAGCGCTAGCTACTTCGGATACACCGAGATACGATTGCCTTCAACTTATATACATATTCCATTATTAAGGCTAAGCTCTTCCTTTGCCTTTTTCACGCGCACTCTTCTTCCTCGTGGTCATTTGGGGTTGCTGTGCCGCATGTTCGCTGCGTGTGGTCACCAGTGTCACCAATGATAGGACTCCTATTGCTTCCTTTTTGCTTCTTTGCTTTTTCGCTTCTTGTAGCACGCTGCGAACGTTGACGCTTGGATCCTAATGGCTTGGATTAGCAGAGTGTTTATAAGAAACAACCATGAGCAAGAATAACCTTGACAGCTTCTTGTTGGTCTTCTCTTCTTCTTCAACCTCGTTTTCGATTTGGTCTTCTTCATTGGTATCCTGAGGAAACGTATTAGCTTATTATGGTGGAGACGATTTAATGTGTTGCTCAACAGTATCGTACCTCAAAATCATCTCGATAAACCTTCTCCGCTGTTGTCTGTACAGGCTCATTCTCATGCGCTGATTCACTAAAGTAAAAACACTGCTGTTTTAGAATCCGAACATATCCACCTTATAATGTTTCGGGGCACTCACCTGTCACTTGGATGAGTCGTCTGCCGCATATATGTTACGTGGTGGTGATGGTAATGATGCTCGCTTGTACATGCAATTCTATTATGGAGAACACTCGTTAGCAAAGAATGATACGATATGATGAAGTATACAACCTCTGTTGGCCGCTGCGACTACTCTCCGCTTCTTGAATAGTTGATGGTTGGCTTATTGTAAGTCTTGAAGCTCCAAGGGATGATACACTTGATTCAGCTATAGCTATCCACAAATGGAAGTTAACAAGTGTAGACGACACGCTACGTACAATTCATACTTTGTTTTTTGGGGGTTGTATCTGTGCTTGTACGTCTGAAGGCTTCGGTCATGATCAATCTTGCACCCCATTGGCCTTCACAAGCTCTCAGCGGAAACAAATCGACAGACATGTCCTCCAATAATCGTGCCATTTCTGTTTGTGCCACTGATATTACATCGATCCAGGTAGAATTACTGCAGAGCCGCTGTTTCCGTTAGATGCTATAAGATTGGATATGGAGCGAGAGCTTTGAAAAGACTGTGTGATGCTCCGATCCCAATTTGAGCCTTCTACGTGTTGTCCAATGGTATCAATCAAGCCCCATGAGAACTGCCTATAACGTTCGTTTTCACCACCTCGTGGATGCTTGTAGAAGTCGAATGTTCGCCCACCGGCCTTGAGCAGTGTATACCGCTAATTGCAGTGGTAGGATTTGTATCGAATCGACCAAGGCCCCGTATCATCTCCTTGTTGCGTTATCTCCTTCTTCGAGCTTATCGAGCCTTCTGGAAGCACCTCCTTTGCTTGACCGAAGCACTGATTCATTCACATTTTGTATCAGACTCAATAAACTGCTAAGAAGATCCACAGCAGACTGGTTGGAAAGGTTTCATGATAAGTTGAAAAAAAAGGGGAAGAGAAGAGCAATCTAATCCGCAGCTGAGAAGATCACTTATTTGCTGTATTTGTACAACCCAGGAACCTGTCATATCCGTCACGCTCGCTGCAATGTAGTATGTATAGAGGTAGCAACAATGCTTCTTGGATAAATTTCTTATTTAGGTGCTGCCAATGTAAACATGACCGGTAATGATTGGTACTTCCTCCCACGCCCATCTTGTGTTGAAATCCTCCACGAAATCTCATACTGGTCATTGTTTCTTTCTTCTGTTTTCCGATGTCCTCGAAGGTAGCTACACTTACGTTTGCTTTAACTGTCATCTTCTGCTTGAACAATCGTGATGATCCTAAAGCAGAGCACCAACAGCGTTGTGCGGTGGAAATAGCAACCAGAACCATCAAGCAAGCTAGAGAATGCTATGGTCATAGCGTGTTTAATGATGCGTTTTTAGCAGTGCTTCGAGAGGTATTCCTAACAATGAATAGAGAGCACTATATAACACAGGATTAAATCCATCGATTATCATGAAATAGGATCATACCACCATTACGAGCACCCACGATTACGAAAATGAAGCATCATCAAGCCATCATGAAGCTGGGTAGGCTTTACATGCAATTGCAACATGTTCCTCCTTCCCTTTCTCTTCAAAAGTAAACGATACTCAATCATTTTTATTGCCAGAGCTGTCGATGTAATGGATGTGGATGAAGATATCGACGTGGAGCGTGCTGAGAATGAAGAAGATCCGCAACAAAATGTTGACAGAAATGATGAAGATGGTGATCAAAACGATGAAGGAAGCTTCAGCCCTCATATGCAAACCGATCCTGCTCCTCAATGGGATCATGAAGATATATGGAATCAGCTTATGTTTCCCGGTATCTTGATGAGGTATAGGATTGAATTTGGATTTGATAGAACATTGGCTGCTAATATATTCGATTTTTCAATGTATTCAAGGTCTTTTCGCATTCAAACACTGAAACGATCCTCAAACATGTTGCTGTAAGCGCTTTCGACATATACACACTTGGAATGACTTCATGGAGGCTCGCAAGAGCTATGAGAAAGTAATAGCTAAGGTCAACAAGTATATTGGTGATCGACAGCCGCATCTCAAACAAGCTGCTACCGAGCAAAGAAGGCCCTTCGGGATTTTTATCCGATCAAGCCAAAGTCGTATCCAGTGTGTCAAAATGGGTGTATGTTGCTGTCCGATTCATGTTCTCTTGTTCGATGCCCATATTGCCTATGTAATTTTTGCTATCCAGACAAATGCGCCTAAGCAAACAATCGAGTATCTACTCTTTGCGTGATCAGCTCGAACTAGTTGTTAGGGATGATGAAGCACGTGATCTTTTGAAATATGGGCAACATTATTCGGCGAATGACGTGACGGCATCATGTACGATATTTTGATTCTCCTTTCATGAAAGAGATCAAGAAGACGCATTTGTTTGATGGTGATATCAACTTGAGCTTGATGCCACAGATGACTTCCAGCCGTTCAAACGCAGCAGCCACTCTATGATGCTCGTTCACGCGATAATTTTGGATTTTTACCGAAGTCCGATATCATCAAAAAGAACATGTTGCAAATATGTGTTACTCCTGGTCCCAGGACTGTCGATGCAATTAGCTTTTTGGAACCAGTTCTCGAGGAGTTGGAATCAATCGCCACTGACGGCTTTCATGTTCAAGTTGGTAGTAGCATGTTACGCGTCAAGGCACACTTGGTGCTTGTGGGTGGCGACATGCCAGCAGCTTCAAAAATGGCAGGGCTTATAGACCATACTGGATATCACGGATGCCGTTTTTGTTACATTAAAGGTACTCCATTGTTAATGGCGAAGTCATAATGAAGGTATATTAACATATATGGGTATTGATACAGGAAAACACAATGGCAGTGCAGTGATATTTCCTCCTGAACAGGTGGAATCTGATATGAGAGAACCGCCATGTTTAAAGCTTTACGTTCTTCTATTGGTCAACGTCGCCCCAGTCCATTCGCAACGCTTCCTAGCTTCCATGGCTACACATTTTCCCTGATGGATATTATGCATTTGTTAGGACACGGTATTGCTCATCAGCTATGGAATATGATGCAAGGAACTTACGGCAAAAACAACAATCCATTGTATTTAAGTCCGGCTACCCGTAACACCATCAGCCAACAATTGATTGCTTCAAGCCAAACAACACCATCATCGTTCTCAGGCTCTTGTGGAGATATCAAAAACAAATCGGGATACTTTCGTGCGGTGGATACACTTTGCCCGCTTCTTATTGCCTATGGTGCTGCTTGAGTATGTGTCAGACCCAGAGGCTGTAAAAGCTTTATATCACCTGGTCAATATCTTTGAGATTGCATTTAGTCGGATGACCAAGCCAAAAGATGTCAAGTTTGTTGAAAAAATCTGCTAAAGGTTAGTAAGAATATGACAATCCCGAATACGCTTAACTAAAAACAACACTTGTTTTATTTACAGGTGGACAACGTTTCTCAAATCACAAGTATCTCGACAAAACCTCTCTCACTCAGTGTTTACAATGAATGAACATTTCTTGTTACATTTGCATCGTGCTCCGCCACCTTGTCCATTACCAGTTTATGCAGCATTTGCTATGGAACGTGCTATTGGTGAGATCAAGGGTCACATAAACTCAAAAAAGCAACCCAGGAAAAAATGCCAGCAATGTGTTGGTTGATTTGGCAGCAGCTCGTTATCGAGAAAAAAGAATGCAAGGAAACAACGATGATAGTGAAGAAGGTCGAGCCCAGAAGAGATTTATTACCACCACCAGCAGCGATGTGGGCAGCCCTGAGTTGTGGGGGCCTTGTATTCGATGGATCAATTTGAGTACAACCACAAGCAAAGTTGGCTATTCGTGATTGCTGGAGATGGTGTCGTGGTGCACAGCATTTGACCATTCCTAATTGTGATATACAGCAAGCATCGCGAATGTGGAGAATGGGCAATTATGATATACCATTGGTGTTCACCAGTGCGCTAAGGAATGAAAAGACGGCCTTTGTCAGATGCATTATACCTGTTGATGTTGATAAATCAAATGATCCAGCTAAGGTACAAGTACAATCAAGAGCATACATCGGCCAAGTTAAATTTTACTGCAAGCATATATACGATGATGAAGAGGTATTGCTCGCTTTGGTGGAGGTATGCAGTACTATGGATGTAATTGATGGCGTACCATGGCCTTATGGAACGAACAAACGCAAAGCATTGAAGGCCATACCATTGTCTTGTATTGTTTCAGACGTGGGGGTATCGCAGGCAAGCAGTGGCCGACATTTTTCTCTTGGTCAAGCAGCAATGACAAGGCTGAAGATTTTGCTGTAGATATAGACCACCCTCTACAATATATATGATGATGCACACTACTTTTAACAGACGTGAAGATCCCGATCAGCGGGATGAGTGAGCTTCTTTTGTCATTCCTTTCGGCTTGTTCTCATGTAAAAAGGCTGTCACAAAACCAAGCTTGTCCCAAGATTGTTCGCATATTCTAGACACCACCCATATTCCTTTAGCCTCCATGCAGATTCAGATTTCCCCAAGATTCCTTTCAGCTTGTTCTCATGTAAAAGGCTGTCACAAAACCAAGCTTGTCCCAAGATTGTTCGCATATTCTAGACACCACCCATATTCCTTTAGCCTCCATGCAGATTCAGATGTCCCCAAGATCCCTTTCATTCCATACAGCGCCCATACAACTCAAGATTCCACCCATTTTTAAGATTTATGCCATATGAAATAGATTCTGTCTAGAGCAACTACCCCCAGTGCTATATGACAAGTGGTCTTTGTTTAATGTAAAGTAGTATGGCTATAATAGAGCCAAAGATGCAGAAGGACCTCTTTGGGTAACTCAGCTAAAAAGTCAGGACTTCAGGGACAATGCATGAAAGGTACGCAACCCTCACTTTTATGTCATACATTGGCAGCTAATAGCCACTTTTGTGCATTCCCAACTTTTGTGCATTCTATTGTAGGTGGACGATTCTCCTGCTCCAGACGTTCATTTCCATGATTAAAGTAGGTTGATCCGAGCTGATTTGGTTGAGTTACGCTCACGCAAGATTACATCGGTTGAGCTACATCGAGCGTGCTTGATGTCCAGAGTGATGTAATCTCTCGTTGACCGCAGCTCAGTCAAATCAGCTCGGATCAACCTACTTTAATCATGGAAATGAATGTCTGGAGCAGGGGCATCGTTCCCATGCAGTGGATCTCGCAACAATGATGATTGGATAAAAGTGGTCGTTAGCTAGCAATACATGCCTGTTCCTAGATGATCCATAAAGTAATTATACATTGACCCTTTCATTCATGCAAACGTAGCTGTGTTACACAACACGACCCTCTGCATCTTTTGCTCTGTCAGGGTCCACCTACTTGACAATAAACAAAGACCACTCTTCATATAGCATCACGCTTACAAACATAAACGTGCCTGTATCTCGAGATTTCACAATGAAACGTGGGGTTTTTATTAGAGCAATGGGCTCGGCTTGGCCAACAGCACCTTGTGTGAAAGTTTCGCGTTCAATGTCGCAGCTAGCCCAAAAAATATTTTTTGGTCGTCATCGTCGAAGAGGTCGACCCCTGGATCCAGTTTGGCTGGTGGCGACATTGCGAAATCTGGGGTTAGCCACGATGAACTTCATACTTTGACACAAGATTCCTTTGACCCCGACGAGCACGTTGATCTATTAAAGAGCCCACGTTTGATTGTAAAGTTTGGAGATACAGGCATCTTTATGTTTTACATATGCTGTAAGGGTGATGCTATATGAGAAGTGGTCTTTGTTTAATGCAAAGTAGTATGACTATAATAGAGCAAAAGATGCAGAGAGCGTGTTTGTGTAACTTGAGTCATTCAGCACAGGCGATGCATGATTCTTGTACACTATTTAGGAATAGTTCAAAATGCCAGCTAATATACCTAGTCCTCCCATTCTCCATTGTTGCCCAATCCAATGCATACGAACGATTGTCCTGCTTCAGCCCAGCATGCCCATCATTTAACTTTCTTGATCCGATGAGATTTGACTGAAAAACGGTCAAACACAAAACATCATCCAATTTCACAGAAATCATTTTGCAAAGTTATTTGTAAACTGCTATTTGATAGCCCATTCCTCCCATCCATATCTGTTGCCCAATCCAATGCATACGAACGATTGTCTTGCTCCAGCCCAGCATGCCCAGCATTTAACTTTCATGATCCGAGAGGATTTGGCTGGAAAACGCTCAAAGAAAGAAGTATCTTTCAAGTCATCAGTTCAACCTTTTTGAATTTCCTAGCTCTTCCGCTCGTAGCTTCTTCCTTTTTCCTCCCAATCCCAACTGTTGCCCCATTTAAGTATACAATTAGCGCCTGCGAACGATTGTCCTGCTTCAACCCATCACATCAATCCTACACTTGTCTTGATCCGATTGTCTTTGACTGAATGGCAACTCCATGGCGTGTACACAGCCTGTTCACTCTACTACAACACGAGTATCTTGATACTGTCCGCTCTCTCGCGCATTCCTCTACCACAACCAACCGTAACAGCAGTTGCCACTAGCGATGTCTTTACTCCATTGTCCCAAGTTACTTGCAGCAACTTGCTTGTAGCTTTTTATTTACATGGACAGCAGATACACATTATATGGAAGCAGCTTTATTTACGTGTACCAGCCTGATTCAATACGTACGGATACCTACTGGGTATGGATCTGAATGTTGCTTTGGTACGTACATGGCATGGAAGAATATGGTTATATACTACGCGAGGAAAAAGAGTCTTATTCTTTATGTATCCATTGTCAGCTTGACCTTGATGCTAACGACGACTCAATGTGGAGATGACAGCCTTGGTGATCTTGAATCAAGTTTCGATTGTTTGATCTATCTTTGACATGATCGAATATTGGAAGAACGCGTCGAGTTTGCCAAAGTGGATGTGAGTATCGCGTTGTTATCGTCAATCATGATCTTGATTCTCACATGCAATGTTACCTTACTAGACACTTTATGGGGATGAGGATTCAAACGCTATGACTCTTTTGCATGCTTTTCAACAAGCCAAACCAGAACGTGCGGTGCATGTGTCGCTTCAAAAACTAGTTCATTCAGCCCATCGTTTGGTTGCTATCACTATGAGCAACTGGTTACGTGTGATCCAGCATCATGTCCTGAACAACATCATCAAGCAATCAGCGAATTGTCTTTGGAACGTTTCAAGCTGGTGCATACTATCTTTTCGCATTTCAAAGGAGTTGATACTGGATGGCTGGATTTATACTGTGAATGTGGATGGTGTCGTAATCTCGGCGAGAAATGTAGGAAGGATGGTCGTTTTCATCAAAAACAACGTGAAATCCTGGATGAGAATATTGCATAGAATATGTTTCTTACGGTAAGTTCATCCAACTGGAGACAAGAATGGCACGTATATTGATGCGACTACTGGTCATATCTAGCCATGTGTATTTGTTGATTACATGAACATGCCCACCGAGACGACTGAGATTAGCACGTGGAGCGATTCTTTTTGCATTGAGGCTATTGCATGGTGATCTCGAGTATGTATGCCATGTCGTTGAATATACGGATGGCGCAAACTTATGGTGAGGGCATTGGATACGACCAAGGTAGTAAGAATGAGATAATTGACGGATGGATGGATTGGTTTAGGTTGATCTATTTGCTCTGTTCTTTGCCAAACTTCTCAGGAGCGATGTATTTACCATCTCAGATAGTGGACGCGTTGTACCCGTATGATCTCCTCGGCGTCGAATCCGTTTTTTCAATACCAGCCATAATCACCAATAACAGCTTGATGCAAGTGGATCGACGCAGTCTTTATTTATTGCTGGATCATCAGGTATATATACGACATGGTGCTGCTAGAAGGATTCAAGGTTGACAACTTTGTTATTAGGTGGCATTTTAAGCCTTGAAACGCCCACAGCTGGTACATGGGTCCGCCATATCCCAACGCGTTATGCTTCCATCATGACCTGACAACCATTACAATACGCCTCGTCCTCTCAAAGAGGCAAGTGGAATATGGTAAGCGGCCTTATCAAGGTTGGTTTCAATGATCTAATCCTTATCATATCTAACGCATAGATAATCACCAGCAAGTAAACTTGAATGGTCAATTAGGCCAATGATATCGAATGTTTTGAATGAAGCAAATCAAGGTACAATGGCGCATGCTTTTCCAATTTCCAAATCAGAATCCTAATCAAGGACATGCATATTTATAGGTTTCTACTTTGCATATCTATGGTGATCCTTCTACTACAACCACAATTCCATGGCTAGGTATTGTCATACATCTGATTTTGATCAAGGAACACATCTTCGGAACGAGTGATGCTGAATATTTTTGTCATGGCTTTTTCAATTGGGCTGCTATGGATCGATGATCGGACGACAAGTCACCGGCATGTACCCCCACTCTTTGATTTGTTTGGGAGGGAAGATTATTGAGGCCACGTTACATGCACCGCTGCGAACGACCATAATTAGAAATGCCGCTATGCAATATCCTTGTTTTTGTATCACATCACCTTCCTACCAGATTAAAAATGTCGTCAACTTCACTTGCGTGTGCTCTTTTGTTGCTTTCGTTTCTCTACATCCAATCTTTTGAGACAACGTCACTCATAAAAGCTCCTTGCAATTATCACTGTGATCTTTCAGTTAACCTGCAATCCATTGACATGAAAAGGACACTCGTTCTGCACCATATCCTAGTATCCAACAAAACAGAGGTGATGGCTCTAAAGATGACAAGATGAGGCGTATGGATACGAGCTCGCGGGAGAATTGTAAAAAAAGGCTTTGTCGGTGCAACGTGCACCATCTTTGTTGCATACTTGCGTAGGCAGAAGATAGATTCCATAAGTAGAAGTATCGCTAAGCAATGTTGTTGATCATATGCATGTCATTGATGTGTCACACCAAACGAGTATAAGTATGTCCATTTGCCAAATAAACGTAGACTTGCTTCATATTTCAACCATGCCCATTATAATTTCAAAAGCCTCTTCATCCAAGAAAACTAGTCCTCCGGCAATCCTTTTATCACTGTGGCCATCCGATGAAGAACATACAATGCATGAACGACAAAAAGACATGCCTTCTTTGCCATTGCACACGCCAGACCGGAGGACGAAGGCCATACTCGATTTAATTAAGAAATATCCAAAGGACGCAGATAGATACGTGTTAGCAGGATCACTATACGAAACGAGTCGTTGGTATTCGGCTGCACTTGACATCTATCAATGTGCAATGATCCACATTCCATCGACGCATGCACGGTATGGTGAGCTTCAAGACGGCCTCCAAAGGGTTCATAAGCGACTAGGCTCTTTCATCCATTTGTTACCACCCTATTTGTTAAACATCATTTTTGGCCATTTGAGAAACTTGGATCTTATCCACTGCATGTACGTTAATCAAGTCTGGCGCCGCTATATCCTACAATGGCCCCATTTGTGGCACTTACGCTCTAGTGTCATTGACCATTCCATTGTTGATTTTTTCCTGGATGGCAAAGGTGGTGAATCCATTCTCCTCCAAGGATGTCATGATGTGATTCTTTTATTTCCTATACTCAAGCTTGTAGCAGCTAAGGATAGCCTCAACATCAAGAGCTTACGTGAGTATCTCTAATAATGTCACCCCTTTTGGTACGTAGCATTTGCGCTGATAATGGGTTGTAGATGTTGCAGGTGTCGAGTTGGATAATCGTTTGATGGATTTGCTTGTGAAAGCTGTGCAATCATCCAAACCTTTTACCGAGCGTATCTCATTTACAAATGTCGCCCGCTTCCCCTATATCGACGAATACCCAATACACTCTTCCCTAAGGCGGTGTTCTCAGCTGAGGCATTTTTCATTTCGTGATGTTGTCCCTGGTTCGTCATCAAGGTATGACAGTCTCTATGAAGATAGACGACCCACCTTCTCAAATAATGACAATGGTGGTATCCCATATGATATCTACATGCTCACTACGCTTGAGCTGTCATTGCAATTTTGGCAATTCCCATATCCAAGGCGATTTACGTGTTTTCTTGAACGGTGTCCTCATCTACGAAGGTTGAAGGTCGTTTATACAAACAAAATTAGCTCTGACATTATAAGTGCAGCTGTCACACATTGCCATCGGTTGAAAGATCTGATAATCCAAAGCGGTTATTGGTATCTTCCGATCAGCCTGGTAAACACTAGGTGGGTAATAATAGCCGACATGTTTTGCTTATCTAATAACAATTATCACTATGGTCATGCAGGCATACCGATTTTGGGGAATCGGAAATAGAAGGCCTTCAGCGTCTTGTAATAACCCCACACAAGTTTCCCTACACCCATCCAATCTGCACGAATGATGCTTTGTCCGTATTCGATGTGCATCACACAACATTATCGGTGCTCTATCTTCCTTTTAATAGCGGGATTGGGATCGACCTTCTTCTTGAAATGGCTCGCTATGAGTGGCCACAGCTATGTGAGCTGTATTTGGACGCTGGACGTTCCGACTGGATTCGACCATATTCACTTTTACGAGAAAAGCGTTGGCAAGAGCCATTGTCGAGCAGAGCTATCGCTATGCTTACCGGCCGTTGCCCTAACTTGCAAATACTACATATTCTCATCCCGTCGTCACGCTATTACACTCGCTTTTCTATTACGAACAAAACCATCTTATCAATGATCAAACACTGCCCTCGCCTCGATCAATTGGTGATCGACACCAGAGAACGTCATATCAAAATCTCTAATCTTACGACGACAAATTTAAAAGACTTTAAGAAAACTGTCAAACGATCGTTATTACCGAAGGAGGATACGCGTTCTTTGTATTCTATGTATTCTTATTTAACTATATGATACGCTATACATAAATGGTGGAGGGTGTTTGACAGATACAAGGAAGCGTGATGAAGGGACCGGTAGATAATCAAAACCATTCCATATTGCGTTGAGTTGTTGTAGTTGAATAATACCAACATTGCTGCTGAAGGGAATCATCCTGATACCATCATGAGCGAGCACGACATAGCCTTGTGAAGGATCTGGGCCAAACAAAGCGTGACCTATGGTAGACATGAAATCAATAAGAGTAAAGGAGATGTTGTTAAAGAAGCTCACCCGTAAACACCAAAAGTCGTCATCAATGTGTAGATGATCATCGATGATGTTGTCTTTGGCAACCGCCATTCCAAACGATGTTCCAGAAGTAGCCATTTTCCATCGCGTTGCTATGCTTGTATCCATAATTCATGCAGCCATAATCGAGTTGTTGTGATCATTCAGCTATCTCTTATAGCAAGCCGATCATCTTGTGTTCCACCGCGTATATAAAAGCAAGAATGGTGGATGTTGACGTATGCGCCTCAGGTTATCCATACATGGTCTTGTATCCAATGTTGTAATGTTGCCTGTGAGGAGTGGCGCCACCATCATCATCATCATCATCATCATCATCATCATCCAAGTAATCCATTTGACCATCCTGATCCTAACGACGATATCTTGACAGCGGTATCGCCTCTGCATGAATCCTCCATCAATCCAAGGAATTCAAGGTCGTGGGTTGCAAATGATGGAAAGGTGCACATAGAATATGGGTCAACTGGGTCGTCTCATGTACCAATCTCCTTCCCTTGTTTCCAAAGCAAGCTGCCGCTGGATCCATCAGTGTTGTATGACACGTGTCAAGAAAAAGGATGTCGTTGTTGTAACAATGCCTTGTTGCTAGCCATAGTTGATAATCCACTCTTCGTCTCCTTGTTATCTTGAAGATCCTCCTGAACATTGCAATTAGCTGAACATACGCATCCAATATCAATAAAAGAGAAGCCTTACAATAGTCAATCGATCAAGCTTTGTGAAACAGCCACTTGAGAGTGTATCAACTGCTTGCTGTCAAGCCGTTCCTTCGGCTAAAGACACCACCCAAGAGCAGAGCACCACCTTCATGTCGAAGCATCAGAGACAAAAACAGAGACCAATGGTAAAATGAAGTCAATTGCTGCGTTCAACATGGGGGACACGAGTGAATGGGAAACCGGAAGGGAAGAGCGTAGAATAGGAATTGGTGATGCACCACTTTATTCCGCTCAATGGCAACCTCCTCTTTCATGTTGACAGCAATCCCCACCACCACAACCATCACAACCATTATCATCACCATCCACTTTGTGATGGTTCTGATTATCTTTTTGTATCCTCCTTTTGATCATCGATACATTCATAAAATGGATGATCCCGATAACTGCATGCAAAGACACGCGCCCACATGCACCAATCTCTCCATCATATAATAAACGGTCATGCGCTTTCCCCTATATACTCTTGTTCACCGCCTATGTGATATGATTATTGACTCAAAATTTTGATGAAAGGATGTTTGTGGCCATGATTACTGTATCCAAGATACCATTTCCACTTTACTACTAGTGTGCCCAATAAATCCTAAAGTAGAAACCATCGCTTAGCCATAGATTCAATCATGTACTAGCTTTTGTGTCACATCACGTGTATCAGGAGGGATAAATAGATGTTGTCAATTGCGCATGCTTTGCTTTGTTTCTTCCATATGCTCATCAACCATGATCATTCTACCCTCAACGCAAGCCTCTTCATCCACAAAAATCCCTCCTTCAGAATCTCCTCATCCATCCACATCTCTACTTCCATCACTACCGCCTTCCGATAAACCTCCGAGACATCCACAACTAATGCCTTCATTATCTTCATCTTCATTTGAGAGACTAAAACCAAGGACTCTAGACGAAAGGACCGAGATTGTGGCGCTCAATATGATTATTTTGGAACCAAGGGAGCCGGATGGATACTTGCTGGCAGGGAAGTTGTACGAAAAGCAGCATCGGTATACAGCTGCACGAGCCATCTACGCACATTCAAGATACCGTGTCCCGTACACACATAAGCGCTATGATGAGCTTCATCTTGGTCTCAAAAGAATCGACATGAAACGAGCCTCTTTTGTTCATTTGCTTCCATATGATGTAATAGGCATCATCTTCAGCCATCTTACAAGTGATGAGCTTCTTCAATGCGCCAACGTTTCTCTATCATGGAATTTCTTTATCTTGCAATGGCTGGAGTTTTGGGGTCGATTGATCGATGAGGGCTACAACATGAACCCTACCATGGCTTTTTCATTTTTGGATGTTGCAAAAAACGAGGAGGAGCGGCGACGACTTTGTATCCAATCCAAGGAAAACAAGACGACCAACAAACCCATGAGAATGAGCAACGCTCTTTTGAGCTCAATGTTAATGTTTGTTACTGTTCCTGGTGCATCATGCAACATTAGAGAAATACGTATGTAGGATGCCTTCAATTATTTAGGTACATAGCACGTAGGCTGACTTTATTATGTATAGACTTTGAGAGGGTCATCTTGCAAGCTAAACATATGGAGTTGCTTGTCGAAGGAGTACAATCACCCAACACAAAAATCGAACGCCTCTCCTTTTACCATGTTGATATTGGAAATGAAACCTATGCACTTGTGGCTCTTCTAGTAGGACGACGTTCTCAGCTGAAACATTTTTCATTAAAGGAAAACTGGAGGGTCGACTATCGTGGACGGATGCATTATGGAAAGCCATTCAGGGTCCCTAATATCGGAGGATACCGCACGATTTCTTGGTGCCCCCCTTACTATGCCTACATGCTTATCACTCTTGATCTTTCGATGGGGTACAACACTATCATTGAAGGAACATTGCTTCCCGACCTTATAAAGCGGTGCCCTTATCTAAAAAGACTCAGGATCTCCTTTAACGACATCATTCCTCATGGTGAGATTATGCGTGCCGCTGTCGATCACTGTCACTCCCTAAAAGATTTGCTTGTCATGGATGTTGGAGGCATGGTGTTGTTTGAGAAGAATAGGTAAATGGTCACCACCACCACATTTTGAGCATAGCAACGGTTCTTTACTCTTGTCTACCACTACTATATACTAACGAAGGTATGATGGATACCTACATAGACGGGAAGGCATTTTTGATGACTCCAAAAAGGAAGGCCTTCAACGCTTTGTGCTATACGACAGTGATGAAGGAAGTAAACGTTTGAGGAACCTTGACGACGCTTTGCACGTGATAAAGAAGCATCATACCACATTGTCGGTGTTCCAGCTGGGCCTAAGCAGCGTGCTAATCAACAATCGATTTCTTATGAGCCTCACTCACTATGGATTTCCACAGCTACGTGAGTTATATTTGCAAAACCATTTACCATATGCGACGCTGCCGATAGTCCTCGACGGCCCAACCTTCAGCCAATTTATCATTGCTCTTGCTCAGTGTTGCCCCAAATTACAAATACTGCATGTCTTTGAACGACGACTGCACACCTTAGAAACCTTTTATCCATTCACGGATGATGACGTCTTATACTTGATCAAGCATTGTTGCTTTCTTCAGCGAATGAAAATTGATACGATAGGTCGTCATCTTTACATGGAAAGTGATCTCACTAGAACAGACTGAAGTTTGATCAATGATTGACCATTACCAGGGAATGCTATGTCGAAGAATTTGTCCTTACGGTGACACAATTAAAAGACTTTAAGAAAGCTTTCAAACGATCCTTTATATCCAAAGCAATATAAACCAAGATGTTAAACTTATTCTTATTGTGCAAAGTTGAAATAAATGATAAGCTACGTAAATGGTGGAGGGTGTTTGACAGGTACAAAGAAGCGTGGTGAAGGGAGCACCATTCCATATTGCGTTCAGTTGTTGTGGTTGAACCGTGTCATTGTTGCTGAAGGGAATCATCCTGATACCATAATAGGCGAGTACAGCATGGCCTTCCGAGCCAAAGAGATGAAATCGATAAGCGTAAAGGAGAAGCAATTCAAGAAGTCTATCCAATCACAATACGAGTCGTCGTCAAAGTGTTCGATCATCATGATGTCGCCGTTGGCAACCGCCGTATCCACAAATGATACATTAGGCGATGATGATAGCTAGCCACCCCGGTAGTGTTCATTTTCCATCGCGTTGCTCTACACGTAACCATACTAGATGCACCCATTGTTGTGATCATTCAGCCACCTCTTGTAGCAAGCTGATCTTGTGTGAATGAACTGACTCCATCGTGTATATAAAAGCAAGTATCGTGGATGTTGACGTACGCGCCTCAAGGTATCCGTATATGATCGGCATCGTTCATTGTATCCAATGCTGTAATGTTGCCTGTGAGGAGTGGCGCCATCATCATCAGCATCCAAGTAACCCATTTGACCATCCTGATCCTAACGATGATATCTTGACAGCGGTATCGCCTCTGCATGAATCCTCCATCAATCCAAGGAATTCAAGGTCGTGGGTTGCAAATGATGGAAAGGTGCACATAGAATATGGATCAACTGGATCGTCTCATGCATTAATCGCTGTTCCTTATTTCCAAAAGAATCTGCCGCTGGATCCAACATTGTTGTATGACACGCGTCAAGGAAAAAGGATGTCGTTGTCGTAACAACGCCTTGTTGGTAGCCATTGTTGATAGTCCACTCGTCGTGTCCTTGTTGTCTTGAAGATCCTCCTGCAAACATTGAAATTAGCTGAACATACGCATCCAATATGAATAAAAAGAGAAGCCTTACAATAGTCAATCGATCAAACGTTGTGAAACAGCCACTTGAGAGCGTATCAACTGCTTGCTGTCAAGTCGTTCCTTCGTCTAAAGACACCACCCAAGAGCAGAGCACCACCTTCATGTCGAAGCATCAGAGACAAAAACAGAGTCCAATTGTAAAATGAAGTCGATTGGTGCGGTCAACATGGATGGGGGACGCGAGTGAATGGGAAACCGGAAGGGAAGAGTGTAGTATAGAAATTGGGTGATGCACCTCTTTATTCCGCTCAATGGCAACCTCCTTTTGCATGTTGACAGCAATCCCCACCATCACCACCATCACCATAATTATATCTTTCACCAAGAGCAACCATCTCGGGATCGTGTCAAGGATCATCTTTACCATAGCTCGTGATTATCTTAATGCCCACACTCATTGTTGTCTTTGTGCTGGGTCTGATTGCTTTTTACATCCTCCTTCTGATCATCGAAACATACATAACATGGATCATCCCTGTAATTGCATGCAAAGGCAAGCCTTCCCATATGCTCTAATTTCTCCATCATATAATAAACCGGAATGTGTTTCGCTGTATGTACTCTTGTTGACCGCCTATGTGATATGATGATTGACCCAGGAATTTGATGAAAGGATGTATGTACATAGTCGAGAGATACATTAATCCTCATGTTCCAGATCACCGATAATATCAATGTATGAATGGTACCTTGGACTTGAGGCGTTGCTGCCCGTTAGATAGCGTGTCCAATCAATCCTTATCTAGCAATTGTCGCTTAGCAACAGCTTCAATCATGTACTAGTTTTTGTGTCACATCACGTGTACCAGGAGGGATAAATAGATGCTGTCAATTGCGCATGTTTTGCTTTGTTTCTTCCATTTACCCACAAATCATGACCATTCTACCCTCGAAGCAAACCTCTTCAACCACAAAAATTTCTCATTCACAATCCATGCCTCCATTCATATCTCTACTTCCATCACTACCACCTTCCGATAAACCCGCAATACATCCACCACGAATGCCTTCATCCCCATCATCATCATCATCGGAGAGACCAAAACAAAGGACTCTTGACGAAAAGACCGAGATAGTGGCGCTTAATATGATCATTCTGCAACCAAAGGAGCCGGATGGTTACTTGCTGGCAGGAAAATTATACGAAAAGCAGCAACGGTACACGGCTGCACGAGCCATCTATGCACACTCAAGATACCTCATCCCACCCACGCATGAACGCTATGATGAGCTTCAGCTTCGTCTCAAAAGGATCGACATGAAACGAGCCTCTTTTGTTCAGTTGCTTCCATATGATGTAACACGCATCATTTTTAGTCAACTTACAAGTAATGAACTTCTCGAATGCGCCAATGTTACCCTATCATGGAACTTCTTTATCTTGCAATGGCCGGAGTTTTGGGATCGATTGATTGATGGTGGCTACAACATGATCCCTGCCATGGCTCATTCATTTTTGGATGTTGGAGAAAAGGAGGAGGAGAGGCGACGGCTTTGTATCCAATCGATGGAAAATACCATGACTCCAAGAGCACCCATGAGAATGAGTAACACTCTTGTAAGCTCAATGTTAAAGTTTGTTACTGCTCCTGGTGCATGCAGCATTAGAGAAATACGTATGTACGATGCCTTCATTTATTCATGTATGTATAGCATGTAGTAGGCTGACTTTATGTGTAGACTTTGAGAGAGTCATCTTGCAACGTGAACACATCGACTTGTTGGTGGAAGGAGTACAATCACGCAACGCCAAGATCGAACGCCTCTCCTTGTACTATGTTGATCTTGGCTCTGAATCCTATGCACTTATGATTCTTCTAGGCCGATGTTCTCAGCTAAAGCATTTTTCATTTAACGAAAGCCGTCGAGTCGAAGCCTATGGGAGGATGCATAAACGAGGGTCATACATTGTTCCTTACATCGGATACCGCATGCATTCTGATGGTATCCCTTACCACACTACATGCTTACCACCCTTGATCTTTCGATGGGTTATACTAACATTGAAGGCGCAATGCTTCCCGACCTTGTAAAACGGAGCCCTTATCTAAAAAGGCTCAGGATCTCCTTCATGGACTACGCACCTCATGGTGCGATTATGCGTGCTGCTGTCGATCACTGCCACTCCCTAGAAGATTTGCTTGTCATGGATTTTATAGGCAAGAGCGTCTTTGACGAGGATAGGTAAATAGTAACCACAGCAACGGTTCTCCTCTCTTATGTAATTTATATGTATCTAGACGTGAAGACATTTTGGATGACTCGAGAAATGAAGGCCTTCAACGTTTTGCATTATATGACAGTGCTGGACTAAGTAACAACCGTTTGATGCCTCTTGACGATATTTTGTACGTGATAAGGAAACATCATACCACGTTGTCGGTGTTCCACCTGGAGAATTATTTTCTTATGAGCCTCACGTACTATCGATTTCCACAGCTACGTGAGTTGTATTTGCATTATAATGCACCACAGTACAAGAGGCCGCCGATAGTCCTCGACAGCCCAACCTTCAGCCAATTCATCATTGATCTTGCTCAGTGCTGTCCCAAGCTACAAGTACTGAATGTCTATGAACCACCAGGGCGCGCCAAAGAAAGCGTCTATCCATTTACGGAAGATGACGTCTTATACTTGATCGAGCATTGCCGATTTCTTGAGCAAATGAGAATTGATACAATTGGTCTTCAGTTTACATGGCAACGATCTCACTAGAACAGAATGAAGCATACGCTATTATAGTTCTATTGTATGTGTGCTTTATAGTGAGCAAGAAATAAAAACAAGGGTTTTATTACATTCTAGAGTAGGTAAACTTATACATGATGCGACACGTCAATATCCTTTTCCATTTCCCACAATAGCAATCACATCCATCCTTCTTCCATACGTTTCAACCCACGAATACACGTTACAGCATGTCCTCCAAAACACTTCTTGATATGCGATTTTGATCCATTCGTCTCCACAACACGAAATCCCATGTCATGTTGTTGAATCCTTCCTCATCCAAATCCACCTGAACTTGCTCATCATCTTTTGCGTTGCAACCATCATCTTCTTATTGCATATTCATGTATGATATCTCTAATCGACGATCGGCTAAATGACAATCCTTGTATGTACGTGTCCTTGGAAACGGCCTGCCTTCCATCAACCAAGTAGGCAGATGGTGTCCCCGCATGATCCAAGCCAACTCTTTCAAGGGAATGGACCGTACAGCAAACGTCGATTGGTGTAAAGGTGTACGATACTCTGGAAACTTGCTGCTGCTGCTGGTGTTGCTTACTCATTGTTGACGCCTTGGTCTTTCAAGGAGAGCCTCCATTAGTAATGAATGTCGTCCATCCTACTCAGTAGTGTCGTGCATTGGAGTAGAGCCATGAAGCAACCGCATTCGATGGTGTGTTCTTGGTTGATGGCAACGGAGGAAACAAAGAAAAAAGAAGCGACAACGAGCGTCCACCCATTTTTAGATCATGATCATTCCCGTTGCTAGGACACGTAGACACCCCCACCAATCGATGAATAAATAAAGTCAGCCATAAAGCTGCATAAAGCAGTGCCATCATCTGGGGAGAAGGGAAGGAATGATTAATTACTACCATAAAGGATGATCCATCATCATGCAGGAACTACTGCTGTCATCATTGTTGGCATCGGATCTATCCCGTTCCTTCTGGGCAATTAAGAGTAGCAGCAAACAGGGTTCAAGATCAGACCGGCATGTAAAACACAAACACAGCATCATTTTTAGAGTGATCCTCGTTGTTTACAATAAGGTTGAGACACATAAAAGGAGCTCAAACATGAGATGATGATGGTGATGAGCTGAGAATGATAATACAGCTGAGTCGCTTCTACTGCTAGCTACATACATACGACGCCTTGTCATGCAGCTCAATAGGGAGATCATGATGCATTAGGTGTCACACATATACCCGTCAATCTAATTAAGCATCAACGTAATGATGTAGCTGAACAATAATGAAGCTTGTTTGTTTTCTTTTTACAGAAACGTTTGAAGAAAGTATAGTTCTTATCAGCAGGTGACATACACAAAAGAGGTGATGGTCAGCCGATAAGTTGCCATCGTCATTGGTTTGTGCTGCACAGAGATAAAGCACTTTTGATCATCCAGGACACGTGAGGATCCGATATGCGCATTTACGTTTTGCCTTTTACCCCCTTTGTTGTATATTATGTGTCAATTGCTATCATCGTTACGCTTCCACCAATCAAAAGAGACATGTGTTTCTTGCTTGGTTTGTGTCACCTGGATAACAAAATGATGTATATTCTTTGTCCCTCCCCTCCCCCCGCTCTATCATTTTTCCTCCTCCGCCAACGGATGCCGCTCGTTGGTTCATTGCTGCTGCTGTCCCGCTTTTACTGACAAGTTTGGCTTATGTCAGAAACACTATAAGCAGCATGGTGTGTGTGTGCAATACTATTCCCTTTTCCCGTTTTACAAAAAATGGGTTCAACTTCCTCCATCCCCCCCTCCACGGCACCTACCCTGAAAAGGCAACCCACACGGAGCAATGTCGATAAAAGGGAGAGAGAGAGAGAGAGAGAAATGAGGACAACAACAGCAGCAGCAGCAGCAATCATCATGAATAGGAAAGCTGAATGCAATACACAACATGGAATGATTGGATCATGTACCTGGTTTGAATGATGGTTTGTACCTGAAAGGGAGAAGTTTTTGGGGGGGAGAGGACACACACATTATTATTTTCTGAAACGGGTTTGGAATAGGGCCCTGTTGCTGTGCCATGATAGCAAGCCAAGATACCGCTTATCGCAAAAGATCATTGGCTGGAGATGAAAAATTTTAGTGCAGTTGCTGTGTATGTGCGTACTTATCTGTGTGCGTGTGTGATGAAAAGCCTACTTATATAAAAGGCATCCCATCCGAATGAAAGCCATTTTCTTTTTTCTACAACCCACTCTCCTATCTCATTCTCACTCGCGCTCTCTTTCTTTTTTTCTTTTTCTCTTTCAACTGCTTTTTTCGTTTGCTTTATCATCATGTCGCCTATGAATAATCCCTTCTCTGGTGGCAAAGGACCTATCTTTGTAACCAATGCGGATGGTGACAAGGGCTTTGCCATTGCACAACACATGCTACAATTTACCAAAAAGTACCAGCACATCCCGCGTTATCCAATTTATGCAGGCTTGCCTGATGCATCGACTGCCCGTGCACAAAGTCTTCAAGAACAAGGCGCCACTGTACGTGCATTTGACATTTTCAATGATCACAAGGCTGCTGTCGATGCTTTACGTGATGTTGCCAAGCTATGTTTGGTGGTCGATCCTTTAAGTGAACGCATCAGCCGTGCGAATGCCTTTGCCTATGCCAAAGCGTAAGTCATGAAAATCCTGTTTCTTTATTTCAATCATGCTAACATCAACACAAAACAGGTTTATTGATGCTGCTCATGAAGCCAATGTACATCATATTATCTTTTTGACACCCTTTTCACCCTTGGATCCGGTGACACCTCCAGCATCTCCTAGCACCACAGCCGATCCATCACAATGCGCCAGCCTCAGTGATCCAACCACCTACCGCAGCCAATACATGTTGATTGAAAGTTACCTTCGCACACGCTTTGACAACACGACCATTGTGCGCTATCCAGGCATCTTGTATCAACATTTACGTGTCTTCCGCAAGTACATTTCCGAGCACAATGCATTCCCACTCCCAATCGAGCACCTCGAGTTTGCTGTTGAATCATCAAGTCTTTTGGATATCGCTCATGCGGCTGCATGCATTGCACACTCGCCTACTTTACGACACAGCGCCAGTGTTTACAAGTTGACGGGTCCACAATTGTTGACCTTGGAAGAAGTATCAGCACGCGTGATGACCGGTTTACATCGCGACGATGGTTGTGTGAAGCATGTGGATTTGGATGTCTTGTCACAAATCTTGTACGAATCCATTGGCAACCGTGAACATGTCGCCTTCTTGTTGGAGGTGTGGGGATTGCAACAATTACAAAAAATTGGTCGTCGATTTGAAATCACTCGGGATCTTGAAGCATTGACGGGACAAAGCGGGAAAACTCTGAACGAGTTTTTCGAAGACGACCATGTCCAAGACACTTTCCGCTCTCCCATGCCCGCTCCCTTTGTTGCCTAAATACCTCTCTCTTTTGCATTTTTCTTTTCATTCATATAGTACATAAGCTTTTCTTTTGCACATACCCAATCACTTAGTGTCTCTCTCTCTCTCGCTCTTTCCTCTTCACTTTCGTTAGCATACACTTTATCTCGGTTGTACATATCCAAAACATATAAACAATATCACTCACACTACGCATTTTACCAAAGTGGTTATATCTTATCTTGGAGCAATTTGATTGGTGCTAGATAGTAGACTCCTTTATCGGTGGCAGATGACTGGTGGAAGGTTATGTATGAGTGTGCGTGTGTGTGTGAAAGATGGTGCAGTGTTTCTCAAGATTAGGTTTGTGCAGGGTTTGATGAACATTGCTTGATTTGTTACCATGCATCCTATCTTGCGGGGATTACCGGTCTCTTCCAAGAGGTATTTTCTTTCTCCACATGTTCTTTTAAGCTTTTCTATATATGCGCATTTAACCCCCTATTGGATCTTTCCCCATCCACGAATAGCATAGATCCTGCTGCTATTGCTGCTTCTTTCCCACATCCTGTCATTTTCATTTCCAAGTGCGTGTGTGAGAGAGACATGCCTATTTCCTATTCATTGGATCAAGCCACACCATCCATGTCTATATATACAAGACACATTTCAGGAGATGTCTACTATTGATACAAGCAACTGGATCACCTATTGTGGAAAACAAAGCAAGAGAAACAAGAGGGGAAAAGGGAGGGAGGAGCTTGAATGATGAGCAGGGATTAATAGGAGATACGCACGCATTCAGGGTAGTAGTTGTCGATCACCATTATTGATAAAGAAGACCTTTGAACATGAACACAATGGCATGAAAGAACAAGAAGGAGGGGGGGAAGGTGCTCATTCATATTACACAATACGCACTTCGCTCTTTTGGCTGACTTGACCGAGGACACTGACTTTTTTCTCTTTTTGGTAACGTCCTCTCTCTCTCTCTCTTTCTCAGCATCAGCAGCATCATCTTCATCATCATATCATTATCCCTTTCTTCTCTCTTGGCTTTTTACAACTCCTTCTCTTCTCAGTCAGATACACTTTCACAACATACACGCTTTATCAACAAAAGACGACTCTAGTCAACGGCTCTTCCATCGCCTTCATTCTTCTCATCAACAACCACCCACTTTATACATATTCAGCCTTCCTTTTCTCACGCATTGACATTGTCAACCACAAGTACTGCATTGGACTCTTTTACGCATTGTCTAGCGTGATTGTACATATTCTTCCGGTCATAGTCGTATGTCAATCTCTTTATGGAGCAATCACGGCATATTTTCACAGAAGCCTCTCAACTTTTGGACGATGGGCTTGTCAAGGTAACGACACAAAGGGATATCACAAGTATATGTATGAATTAACAATGTCATTGTATTAGGATGCGTACATGAGGTTTTTATCAGCAGTGGAAGTATCTACAAAGCAATTACATGGAGTCAAGTTTGTTCATCATAGTAAGTTGAAAGGGGTCAAGTGGGGAACGGAAGGGTGAATCCCGATTGAATGAGTGAAACATGGTGGTGGTAACACATGAGACACTCCCATAGCTGTTGTATCCAAGCCTGTCGAATATGAAGTGGCATTGCACATCATCCGATCTTCTCTTGAAGAGATAGAAAACATTGCTATTCAACGATCCTTGTCAACATCATCACGATCCGGTCCTCCACCTCCACCACCTCCACCTCATCCACCGATACATCAACATGCTCAACAACAACAAAAGCAACAACATCCACAATCACAACAACAGCATCCACCTCCACTTCCACCTAAACCACCGAGGATGACAAAGCCAGCTATCCCACCAAGGCCATCAATGACTCAACAATCAGTGACAACTCGACAACAACACAACAACAACAATGCAAATCGATCACGTGGGAACTCTGTAAGCTTTGCTGAACAAACCAGTGATCATGAAATATCCGATGATGGCCATCGATTTGAAGATGATGATGACGATGATGATGATGACGACGACGACGATGATGATATGGTGGACTTTGACAGTAAGTGTTCTCATGCAAAGAGAAGGAGAGAGAGACAAGGTATTGAACTTGAGAATTGACTAGATGCAGCATCATCCAATGACAAGCATGACAATGACAGTAGCAACAATGGCAATTTATTGACACGACCGCATACTGTGGCAGATACCTACTCTTACATGCCTATGGCTGATACCCGCCCTCGATCCTTGACAGCTTCTGCTCATCCTACGCCTTCTTCTTCCACCACTGACAACATCAACAACAACAACACAAGGACGATGATGATGACTTCTGAGCCTATTCGAATTACACCTGTGGATGTATTGAGTGGATCAGTGATTGATGCGTCCATGTTGGTACCTGCTCAAACGCATACAGGAGACAGCTTAGCACCACCTACAGCACCTTCTTCATCGAGTGAAACCTTGTATGTACCCAACATTCCTGTACCACCGTTGTTGACCACCCATCGACGACTCCAATCGCAATTGGATGAATTGGAAGCCTCCTTGAATGAATGCAAAGCACGCCGGCGTGCTCAAAACACAGGGGTTGCCAAGGACATGTGGACCAGCAGTAGTCAAGAATTGGATGATCGCATCTTGCAACAGACAGCAGCGGTTGCCGAGACACGTGAAACATTGAATCGAGTACGGACCTTGTATATGAGCGCTGCGACTGTACCAAATGTGATGCAATTCCCTCCTCATTTGGTTGCCTATCAATTGACATTGATTGAATGTGCCTTATTCCGTGCTATTCCACCCGATGCTCTACTCACGCATTCGACACGTACGCCTCATCCCAAAGTGGTGGCTTCGACTGATTTCTTCAATTACATCACGCGTGCTATTGAACATTCGATCCTTCTTCCTCAAGAAGCAGCACGGCGTGCCGAATTGGTGAATCGATGGATCAAGATCGCTTCGAAATGTTTGGCATTGAACAATTATCAAACGTTGAAAGCCATTGTGTCGGCTTTGGGAACACCACCGGTGCAAAGGTTAAGGAGGACTTGGGATTGTATTCCTAAAAAGAGAATGGGTCGATTGGATCTCTTGAATTCGCTCATGTCTGAAACCGACAACTATGGCCAATATCGTGAACATATGGGATTGAATGAAAAGAGCAGTAATCGAGCAGGCGCTGTACGTCGACGTTGGTGGAACAAACCCGTGGTGCCTTTCCTCGGTGTCTTCATTCATGATATGACCTATCTCTTGACAGCTGCCAAGCATGAAGATCCACGTGTTCAAGACATCATTGCATTGATTCATCATTTTCAACGTGTTCCTGCTTATCCACAACATCCACCTTCATCTTACGTCAAGAAATCAGGTGCATCTCGAAAACACGCCTTTCGTCCCTCTGCCATCACACACGCCTTGCATCGAAGTACATCATCCAAAGGCAGCAATAATGCAAATGCAGGAGCAACCGGTACCACTGGTATTTCAGCAAGTAGTTTGTTTGATATGGATGCTTCGAATGATCCCAGCATTGAGATCAAGGTGGAACAACAACTCATTACGCAATATTTATTGATGAGGCCTTGGGTTCATGAAAAGATCATTGATGAATTGAGTGTGTTGCGTGAACCACCCAAGCAACGTACCATTGGTGGCTATGGTCGATCTCTCAGTAGTGGAGGCACCACCTATAACAACAACAATACCAACAACAACAATATCAACGCAAGTGCTGGTGCTACACCATCCTCCATGATAAGCACCACAGGGACATCCTCGTATGCTAGTTCGATACTCAGCAATGCAAGTTCTCTTGTTCGACTTGGCAGCAGCTATAGCACGAATACAACAGCAAGTAGCTTTACCAGTTGGGAAGGAGAGGATGTGGATACCAGTGGGAATAAGCAACGGCTAGGCGGGTTCTGGCCATTCCGCAAGAGCTCAGAAATGGTACGCCCTCATCCTACCATGATGCAATCGGATGTTTGTGTCGGTGCTACAGGAACTCATAACACGAATCCATGGACAACGGATGGTGAAGAGGATGATGATGAAGGAGGCCATGATGAAGATGAACAAGATGAATCATCATCATCATCAAGAAGAAGACCTTCAGCACGTGCAATTGCAAGACGAAGGAGATCAGGTGGAAAAACACTATCAGGTCATGTACGAAGCATTTCTTTACCATCAGCTAGACCAGAAAGTATCACGGGTGAAGACTATCATGGCAAACGACCTTAAGAGCGAGAACATAGAGATCGATGCAACCCCTTCTATATATATATCCCCCCCCTCCCCTCCCCTCCCAAACAACCTTCCCGCCATTGTATACAAAAATGACACACACTCGCACACACACCACACATAGGATCATGGTAAATACGCACACACACACACGCACATACATATATATATACACACACTTTATATCCTACTATCATCAGAGGGAATGGGTTGGGTTACACTTTTTGTACGCATGGATGACAAGATGGGTACAGGTTATGCTAATTATCTGAAGAGTTTGTTGGGGTGGGATGGACAATGTTGTCGCCTCTCATTGCTTGACAACAAAACACGTTAATATAAAGACGCGTTTGGCACCTATGGCTCGCTACTTTCTTTTTCATCCTTCACAGACACATACAAGCTTTCCATCAAGCAAGCAAAAAAGGATACATACCAAGCCATGAAGTTCGTCCACGTGATCAAGTCTCTTGTTATTCCATCTTTGTTCCTGATGTCGCTCGCAATGGCTGTACCTTTGGACACCCGAGGTCTGGACGTCGACGCTGATGTTGACATTGAAATCTAAGCGATCCTACCAGAGCAAGCAGATACTCCAACATAAGCAACATGATAGTTGTCGTTTGATGCCTTTTTGGAGACCTTCATTGAATCACAATCATCCTATCTTCCCAATAAACCAACCTTCATGTTGTAAAAACTCTGCACCTTGAATATTTTCGTTTGGGGTATAATGCTTTCGAGCATCATATGATGGATCTTGATTATGGAGTACTGCCCACACCCAGTGCTGGTTATTGGAAGCAACCCATCACGTATGTAGCAAAGTGTTTAGCTCTATTTGCATGGTCTTCTCTCATAGGATGACTATTACGATGCATCAGCTCCCCCTTCACCCCAAAACAAGTAGCTCGAAAACCCTTCCCTATGCCTGGTATGTATGATAGCTGCTGTGCTAAAACAGCCTGCTGATGCACTCGTACAGAGTTTCTACTAGTCTTTGAGTGCTAAATTGTTTCATTAACAACATGCATCAAAAATAGGGGTGTTTTACAGCTATGCCAACTTTTTTGTTTGATCTCCTCAATGGTAAAGGAGATCATAACAGCAAAGCCAATATAAATACTGTATGCAATGATTAAATACGGTGGCCATCTATCTCCTTTCCTCTCTTCAAAATGCGTCTTCATACCACCACTCTCTTTGCTTCCATTGTTGTAATGCTGTTGGCGTTTACCACTTCTACTCAAGCCGCCGTTGGAGGGATCGTGGGCACCGTCGTCGGCGACGGCAACGGTCAAACCGACGCCGAACCTGGTCCCAATTTTGGTTCTTCAACTCTAGATTTCTTCTAATCAAGATTCCCTGGATCTGTGGTGGGCATCGTATATGATTTTATTTTCATACCTCTATAGCGTTCCATCTTTTTCCTCTTTCATCGTTGAAATCACTTGTTTAATGATTAAACTAGTGGCCTTAGTCGCTTCCTTCGCTCACAAACTTTGATTTCTCTTAGCACTACCTTTGGAGTGATAATAAAGATACAATCATACAATAAGCTTACCCATTCAAAGGTTCATAATGAAGCATTGGGTCTTTATTAGAACAAAGGTGATCAACGTGTTCGAGAGCACCTTTTGTGAAAGTTTCAGGATCGAGAGGGGCAATCTCACTATCAAGGATTATTGATGTACAGTGTTCATGCATTTATACAAGAGGTGTCCGCCCTATTTAATTTCCACTTCTTCCACCTTTCCTCTTCCTCCCATTCTCCATTGTTGGCCCATTCAAGCATACAACTACTACCTACGAACGATTGTCCTGCTTCAACCCATCATGCAATCCTACAACTCTCTTGATCCGATTGCCTTTGGCCAATTGACAAGCTCATGGCGTGCTGCACCCCACTACAACACACGCGTCTCTTGACATTCCACCTTCTCTTGTACACTTCTCTACCACGACCAACCGTAACAGCATTCATTTGCAGCAGCTGCTATCAGCGATATTTATATCCATTGCCTCAAACAGCCTTCACAACCTTGTCACTCTACTCCAACACACGCTCTTGCACACTTCGTTACCACCACCAAACGTAACACCAGTTGCCATTAGAAGGCCTTTACTCCACTGTTCAAACGACGCCGTATACTTGCCGCAACTTGGCTTACAGCCTTACTTCACGTGAACAGCAGATGAACATTGCATAGGAGCAGCTCCATTTACGTGTAGCAACTTGCTTCAATACATACGGATCCCTATGGATGATGCCATATCAGCTATCGATTACACCGCAATGCAAGCATTCTTCACCTGGTTTGAGTTGCGAGGAAACGACCAAGCGTGTGATTGGCCAACAGCTGGATGGAAAAGGAAGCATATCATCAGCAGCCACAGAGACTTTTTCTTATTGGACTTGCAATGCCTATGATGGATGGATGGAATCAAGTGCAGTGATGAGAAATCCTGAAATGTTGTTTGGTTACTTGTCGCGCTGTCAGCAGGAACGATCACGTGGGTACGGCTGGGGATGATGATGATGGATTGGATGGCATTGACAAAAGGTGTTTTACAGCGATGGCTGGTATTGGAGCACTCGATTCAAGGCGTGCAGCGGCTGCTTTGCAATCATGGATGAAGGATGGTTATGATGGCAGCAACCAAGAATACAATTATCCCTGTGCCCTCTATGTAATCCCCCGCTTTTTAGTCAATGCTGTTACTTTATCATATTTGCTCGATAAACATCCATACTACCGTGTACTATTCTTCGACTTTCATTGACTGATGGAATTGGATTGAGCGTACTATCCATAAGGGTATCGTACTATCAACTTATATGTACAAGATGTGGATCACCTGGTTGGTTCCTGGATTGAAAGGGGGAATAGAAATTTGAAGTTTGCAAAGCGAGATTGGATCATTTACATCATATGCCTTCCTTCTTTTTCCACGACATTGCTACATTCGCTAAACCTTTCAAACTCATAAGCCTGATAGCCTACGAGTACGTATAGGAAAGATGACGGACGATGAAGACGACGATGGTAGCAATGTAGCAAGATAGCGAGATGGAAATGAAGCATTGTTTATTCATTACACGCTTGGATTTTGCTAGCTTGTGGATTACATACTATTGCTTCGAAGATGGAATAATAAAGGTGGTCCAGTTATCGGTCACGCAAGAAGTACGTGGCTTTTGTGATACAATAAGGAGCTTGAGAAGAGAAAAAGGGAAGAGATCCATCCATTGAGTTTCAGGATGAGTGACCCATTCAATATGTATATGTATCTTTTTACATATACAAATTGGTTTATGCAGCTCGACTTTCTTCTACATGCAAATGTGATACATACCTTGACACACCTTTATTATTGGATGCTGTTTACTTACGTACCTTCACAAAAGGCAATCATCATCATCATCCATTGGTGTAGCAACCTGTCAAGGACGTGTCTGTGTAACCACCACGTGCCGTTTCACTCAGATCTTCATCTTTCAGTTAATGCAGCCAACACCATCCACTAGGAAAAAGGAGCTCCATCACGCTTACAGCATAGATAAACATAAAGACGCCTGTATCTCCAAACTTTACAATGAAACGTGGGGTTTTTATTAGAGCAATGTGCTCGGCTTGGCCAACAGCACCTTGTGTGAAAGTTTCACGTTCAATGTCGCAACTAGCCCAAAAAATATTTTTTGGTCGTCGTCGTCGAAGAGGTCGACCCCCAGATCCAGTTTGGCTGGTAGCGACATTGCGAAATCTGGGATTGGCAAGCTTGATCGTGAAACTTTCACACAAGGTGCTGTTGGCCAAGCCGAGTCCATTGCTCTAATAAAAACACCACATTTCATTGTAAAGTTCGGAGATACAGGCACCTTTATGTTTGTAAGCGTGATGCTATATGAGAAGTGGTCTTTGTTCATTGCCAAGTAGCTAGATCCTGGAGAGCCAAAGATGCAGAAGGACCTCTTTGGGTAACTCAGCTAAAAAGTCAGGACTTCAGGGACAATGCATGATAGGTACGCAACCCTCACTTTTATGTCATACATTGGCAGCTAATAGCCACTTTTGTGCATTCCCAACTTTTGTGCATTCTATTGTAGGTGGACGATGCTCCTGCTCTAGACATTCATTTCCATGATTAAAGTAGGTTGATCCGAGCTGATTTGGTTGAGTTACGCTCACACAAGATTACATCGGTTGAGCTACATCGAGCGTGCTTGATGTCCAGAGTGATGTAATCTCTCTTTGACCGCAGCTCAGTCAAATCAGCTCGGATCAACCTACTTTAATCATGGTAATGAATGTCTGGAGCAGGGGCATCGTTCCCATGCAATGGATCTCGCAACAATGATGATTGGATAAAAGTGGCCGTTAGCTAGCAATACATGCCTGTTCCTAGATGATCCATAAAGTAATTATACATTGACCCTTTCATTCATGCAAACGTAGCTGTGTTACACAACACGACCCTGTGCATCTTTTGCTCTGCCAGGGTCCACCTACTTGACAATGAACAAAGACCACTTCTCATATAGCATCACGCTTACAAACATAAAGGTGCCTGTATCTCCGAACTTTACAATGAAACGTGGGGTTTTTATTAGAGCAATGGGCTCGGCTTGGCCAACAGCACCTTGTGTGAAAGTTTCGCGTTCAATGTCACAAACAGCCCAAAAAATATTTTTTGGTCGTCGTCGAAAGAGGTTGAGCCCCGGATCCAGTTTGGCTGGTAGCGACATTGTGAAATCTGAGATTGGCAAGCTTGATCGCGAAACTTTCACACAATGTGCTGTTGGCCAAGCCGAGCACATTGCTCTAATAAAAATCCCACGTTTCATTGTAAAGTTCGGAGATACAGGCACCTTTATGTTTGTAAGCGTGATGCTATATGAGAAGTGGTCTTTGTTTAATGTAAAGTAGTATGGCTATAATAGAGCAAAAGATGCAGAAGGACCTCTTTGGGTAACTCAGCTCATTATGCATGATTGGAATGGTCAACGTATACTTTTCAGTAATAGCTCATCATTGCCCGCTAGCAGCCATTTCTTCACAATCAGCGTTGCTGCAAAATCCACTTCATGTGAACGATTCTCCTACTCCAGCCGAGCATTTCCATCATTCAAGTTTCTTGATCCAAGCCAATTTGACTGAGCTACGCTGTAACAGCGAATATGTAAATTCTTGAAAGACAGACCCTGCGAATGTCTCCGACTTTCAAACTTTTGGACGCTCCCCTTCCAAATTTTCAAATGAAGCGTGGAGTGTTTATTAGCAAAAGTTGATCAGCATGCTCGAGAGCACCCTTCTGACCAATTTCCAAGTTGGAAGTGGGCAACTTCGGGGCGGTGGACCGTCCGCTCTTTTGTTCGTGTCAACCACCATTTGGACCGCCCCCGCATTTTAAATCTTCACAATGAAGTCTGCAGATTTGAATTGAATGAAGTTAATCAGCTGTTCCAGCGAACCTTCTGCCAAAGTTTCAGGTTCGAAATGGGGAATCCCAAGGTAATACATACAATTTCGATAAATCGTGAATCGGCGCTGTCCTCCATTTCTGATTTACATAGTAATCCCACACTGCACCCTCCCATTCAATTTTTTATAATGAAGTATAGGTTACTTTTTAATACAAAGTTGATCAACATGTCCAAGAGCATCTTGTGTGAAAGTTTCAGGTTCGAAGTAGGCAACCTCACTATCAAAGTTTGATGTACAGTGTACATGCATTTATACAAGAGGTGTCCGGCAGCTCAGCCTACTTTAATTTCCACTTCTTCCACTCTCACAACTTCTTGTCTCTTCCCCCATTCTCAACTGTTGGTGCATTCAAGCATACAACTACCACCTACGAAGGATTGTCCTACTTCAACCCATCATGTCAATCTTACATCTCTCTGGATCCAATTGCCTTTGACTGAATGGCAAGTCCATGGCGTGTACACAACCTCTTATTGCAACACACGAAGCTCTTGACACTAGACCTTCTCTTGTACACTCGTCTACCACGACCCATCGTAACAGCGTTCATTGTAGCAGTTGCATTAGCGATGTCTTTCCTCCATTGTCTCAAACAGCTTGGCACTCTACTACAACACACGCTCTTACACACTTCTCTGTCACGATCAAACGCACAGCACATAGCCATTGTATAGAAGCAGCTTTATTTACGCGTAGCAACTTTTCCAATACATACGGCGTCTTATGGACATATGGATATGGATATGAATACTGCATTGCTTTGGTACATGGGAGGATGTATTGATTGGGTTGGTTCCCTTGGTCACGTGATATTAGTTTCGATGCATTTGGGATCTGAGCCATCAAGCAAAACAAGACGTTGAACAAGGGCAGGATGGAAAAGGAAACATCTCAGCAGCGATGGCATGTTGGATTTGTATTGCTATGGATGAATGTATCCAATCCCGTGCAGTGATGAGATATCATGGAAAGCTGCTTTGGTTGCTTGTCGCGTTGTCAGCAGGAAGGATGGATCATGTCACGTGGTTAAGAGTGAGAATGACGGTGGTGGATTAGAATGACATGGACGAAAGATGGTTCATAACCATGAATGATATTGGAGCTCTCGAGTGAAATCACGCAGCAGGGGTTACTACAAAATTAGGCGATTGTGTTACCAGCTCACCTGTGCTAGTTGTGGATCACTGGGTTGTTGATGGCTATGGATTGAAAAGGGGGAACAGGAATCGAAGGTGGGAAAGTGGGATTGGATCATCTACAACATCATCGTGTCGAGAGGCTTTTGTCCCTTTCATCGCATTACGTTGGTTAAGCCTCCCTCATTCATAGAAATGATAGATGACGGCGATTCCAAACGGGTTGGTTCAATGGCTGTATTTACAAAGGTAGAGATCTGTGAATAGCCGATGGTTGTCATTGTTTGGTGATGGCCACCTTGTTTATCACATTCCTGATTCATTACGCATGAACAATCAATCACACCATTGCTCTTTGCGAAGGCACCCCAACAATCTATCAGTTCTTCACCTTTCCCAACAGATGTTTATCATTCTTTGTGATCCCAGAAGTACCCACGCCCAACATGCAAATAAAAGATGTTGTCGCCCATCCTTTTGCTCTCATGCATCTCTTTCTTCCATCATATCGCTCATTCAATGCTGATGCCTTCAAAGCTCAAGTTGATCCGGGTACTTAACATGTTGGATAGTCATTGTTGTAAGCGATCCATATACTCATCATACCTGTGATGATCTTTAGCGGACTCATTGTCATTGTTGTCATTGTGATATTTGGCCCTTTTAATAAGGTAAAAGCCTAATCGTGTCCTTCAATGAAGCGCATACTCACATTCCTTTTGATATAGCTGCCTTCCAAGGTGCATATGCAAAGTTGGATTTGGTCGGACATTCTTGTACAGCCCTCATGTTGCAGTTGTGTTATAACGGCTTCCGCGGCTTGCCCCTTTGCCGTATTGATTACATGGTGTATGACCGCGATGCAAAAGTTTATGAGGACCATTTATTTCAAAAAACATCAAAATGGCCGCAGCATGGGATAATGGTACGATTACCTTTTTCAACAATCTCGCAATGTTCTGGGTGTATGTTGACATCCTCAAGAGTAGCATTGATCTTGTCGAGAACCATGGTAGTAGCAGAGATGGTGACAACAACAGTGTATACGTAATTGGAACTGATTGGATCGGTGAGTAATCGCTACAAGTATACGTTCGGGTACTAATTCAAAAATTAGAATTGGAAGGATGTATGTTTGTTGCGAAAGAAGTGGATGACTTCTATGTCGTCAAGGGTGTCGACACGTTAAGGGGCATCCCTCGATTCATCGAGCATTTGGCTGATGTCCGGCAAACATTTGAACTGATTGCACATTGGAAGAAACATTGTCTAAAATTGCCAACGGATCGTTGTACCTGCGCAAATGAAAAAGAAGCAAAATCCGGTCCAAAGCGAGACACAACACCTGACCCGAAGAAGCCTTCCCACACGCACACTTTTCACGACACCCGCTAAATGTCGCAAGAACATCAAACATCATATCTTTTTATAATCTTCATAGCTATTCTTCACATTTGCATACTTCATAATACATAAAATTAGCATCACTTGTCCTTGTACAACACATTCGATATGACATGTTCAAGGGAAACAACCCCACGTGTAGCGTTAGTAGACACATTTCAACCCCTTACTCCACGCATCACTGTTGCAGTATGATGTATTTCTGGATGATCTAGAAAAAGGAGGCTGTGTGGGAATGGTGCAGGGCGTAAGTAGTAACACTTTATTCTGCATAAGCTTTTCGGCGTGAATGGGGCAAAAAGGCAATTGGGTGTCCGTGCTTTGTCGTTTCCTTGTATCTTTCACTCTCCTTAATCCAACCGTCAGCCAGCCACATACGCTCTTCATCACACACACACGCACACATTGCATTGTCCTCCTCTCCTTTGTCCTCTCATCTTTAGTCTTCTTGGATCGCTGCTTGTCGTTTACAAGAACGCACTCACATGTCCAACTCAGAATCAGGCACCAGTGTCCATTTACCACCCGAATGGACATTGACAAGCTCCCTTCACATTGCAGGCTATCATTTCCAGTCCGTGGTGAGTCCCACTTTGTCCCACGGTGTCACTGTCAACGTGGTGTATGGCTACAGGTAGGATGAGACGCGTTGTAAATGATATCAAGGTTTATTCGTTCTCTCTAATAACTTTAAAAAAGAATCTCCAACAAGACGCCAGTGATGGCCAAAGTTTCAAGTAGTTCTTTTCAGTTGGAACGCGAATTTTATGTGATGCGAAAACTGTACAACCTCCCTGACGGTGGATCGTATATCGGTAAGTGAAAACGGGAGGTAGGGTGGGGGTGCAATGATCTTGATTACCTATTTTGGGAGCAAGAGCATGGCACGCGGGGATCGACAAGGCACAACGCACACTGAAACTTGGTACCTATCCCATTTTAGTACAACCGATCGAATTGGTGCATCTTTCCAATGGTCTTTCAGTCGCCATTTATGCAAATGAGGGATCTACTTGTTTTCTGGATCAACGTCGACCTTCAGCATCCGTTCATGATCAAGGGGATGGTGGTATCGATGATGGGGCTAGCACAACCACCACGAGTAGTCATAGCAACACCGTTCTACGTACACGAACGTATCCAGGCAACCTACCCACCACAGCGCATTCTCTTGGTGATCATCCACAGCAACAAAATCCCATCACTACAGCTTATCATGATTTGGGATCCTTTTTACGACTTGCTATCCAATGTACGGATTGTTTGGAATACATCCATCGTAACAACACAGTGCATGGTGAAATTCGGTTATCGGCATTTCAGTGGAAGGAGATGGATGATGAGGCAATAAGCATCAAGATGTGGAATTTTGGATCCGGCAAATCATTTCAGTCGTACTTGACGAGTGATGGATGGAAAAAGGCAGCCAACAATAAGCATGTGTCACAGATGTTGCAACGGCTTTTGGTGTACATGAGCCCTGAACAAACAGGCCGAACCACGCATTTACCTGATCATCGCACCGATATTTATTCTCTCGGCATTGTTTTTTATATCCTCCTGACACGACAAACACCCTTTGATGGAGCGGGTCCTCTCGAAGTGATCAATAGCATTGTCAGCCGTAAGGTGCCTCTGGTGCATGATTTGAGATGGGACATTCCCGAGATCTTATCACGTATCATTGAGAAAATGACGAGCAAGGTTGGTATCAAGTTGACATGGAAGTTGATGATGACATGATCAGCTCATTGCTTAGGTAGGCACCTGATGACCGATATTCCAGTGCTTATGGTGTACGGGCGGATCTCAAAGAATGCTTGAAAAGATTGCGCGCTGGGAGCAGTAATAACGAAGAGGTAAGAGGACAAGCCGTGACATGAGGGGAACGTATATAGCTCATACCATCATTTTAGACCATACCATCATTTCCACTTGGCCAACAAGATGTTGCATCGGTTTTCACCTTGCCCAAATCCATCTATGGTCGTCAAGCTATCCTTGATCAATTGACACAAGCGATTGATAGATACGTGCAGGAGTATAAACCTATGAGACCAGCACACAGCAGCATAGCATCTTCCATCCGTTCAGTATCTGGAACCGGCAATAGTAGTGGGAGTGCACATACCAGTAGCCATGGGAGCGTTATCTCTGACACATGCAGCGAGACATCTTCCAATCACCTTGGCAGCAGCAGTATCCAAAGGACTCTCTCTTTGCATCATAGTGGAGGAGGCTTGGAGAGTGAGGAATGTAGTATCTATGGTGGGACCTCTACAAGCAAACGTCGCAGAAATGCAACAACCATTGTGAGTTTATACGGTCCAGGTGGCATAGGTAAATGGGAAAATATGGAAAGGAAAAGATGGAGTGGGCTTATAAGAGTGATATTGCTATGTAGGCAAATCCACGCTCTTTATGGCTGTTCAGGCAACCGCAAGGAAACATGGGCAAGTGTTTATATGACCTCTTATCCAAAGTCATATTAACATTGATACATATTATAGATATATTGCCACCATCAAGTTTGATTCAAGAAACAAAACGCCTTATAGCGGTGTGTTACGTGCATTATCACAAATCTTGCAGCAAATCTTGTCCGAATCCGAGAACGACATTCGACTCTTTTATGATAATCTCAAAGCTCATTTGGGTGCCCAATTCTGCAACATCAAGCTACTAGCTGAGTTTATCCCTGAATTGAACACGCTTGTCTTTGATCCCATCCATGACAACAACAACAACAATGAAGCAGCACCGAGTGACGCATACAGCATGGATAATGATGAGACCCAAGCGCGTTTTCACAATGTCTTTATTGAAACTTTACGTGTCATCACCCATTGGAAAATGGTTACTTTGGTTCGTATATTCTCTGTATGTATGATCTTGCCGTTGCTTACCTTCTTTTTCTACATGTGTAGTTCTTTGACGATTTACATCAAGCTGGTAGAGTATATTGAAAACCCCCTGCATATGTAATGGATCATGCTAACAGAGATACGTATAGATGATCACTCGATTGAAATGATTAGCAGTTTGATCCATGCGCGCGTCAAGATTCTCATGTTTGTGAATTACCGTGATCAAGAAGTATCCGACAAGCTGGGTGACATGCTAGAAAAGGAAGCCTCCAGCATTACATTTATCAACGTGGATGCGCTGGATATGGATGCCATGATTGATTTCCTTTGTGATACGCTGCATCGACCAAGAGAGGATCTGGTTCCATTGGCTGAGATTATCTTGAAAAAGACAGCAGGCAATGCATTCTACACGGCACAGCTCTTACGCACACTTTATCGCAAAAAGCTCTTGTACTTCATTTGGGAACGCAACGAATGGGATTTCAACTTGGCCAAGATCCGTGATGGAGCGAGTTACAGCAAACACGCCCAAATGCAGCTTGATGTCTCGTTTATGGTGGCACGACTCAGGGAATTGTCACGTGGCAGCCAACAAGTCTTGAAATGGGCATCGTTTATAGGCGACACGTTTTCATGGACCACAGTCAAACACCTGATATTGAATTCGGATGATGATACAAGCAGCGTTGAGTCATCGTCAGCAGCCAGTGTCGAGGATAATGAATCATCCACCGATCTTAGTTCCATGGATCGCACAACGCATTCTTTGGGTGTGGGTACCAGTAGCAGCAGCAGCAGCAGTCGTCCAACATTGAGTTCTCGTACATCATCATCGCAAGATCCTTTGAGTGGTTTGCAATCAGTGCTTCAAGAAGGTTACATTATGCCATTGGGAGATGATGAATTCAAGTGGAGCCATGATCGTATCACACAAGCGGCAGGCGAGCTAGCGAGTCCAAAATCACGTAGCAAAATCCATCTTGCCATTGCTCAATATATGATGAAAGGTATGCATGTAGCCATCGACGTAGGCACACGTCATATTTAACCAGGACCATAGAAAAGGACACGGACACATTTCTGATTGCGGATCATCTCTTGAAATGCCGAGAGCTTTTGGATGGATTGGAAGATAAGAAACCTTATCAACAAATCATGATGGATGCAGGCAACAAAGGTCGATCTTCGGGTGCCCATGGCATGGCCTTTCAGTTTTATGATGCAGCGATCCAACTTGGTGATCCAGCCACCGAATGGGAAGATGACGATGAATACAACACGACATTGCATTTATATACCAGTGCCTTATCGCTGAGTTGGGTGGTTGGTCAATACGAACGCACGGAGGAGTTATTGGATATCATTTTTCAACATGCACGCACGCCCCTGGATCGAATGACAGCTTATCGAGTACAAGCGAAGTACTACTTTAGCACGCAGATGCATGACAAGGGACGTGAAACGCTTCATCGTTGTCTTGAAGATCTTGGAGAAGATACAGCCAAATTCAGCACCATCACAACCCAACAACTTGAACAGCTCTATTTTGATGTGGAGAAAAGGATGTTGGAAATGGGCGAGAACGTAACGAATATGCCAGCATCACAAGATCCAATGCTACGTGCGATCACTTCTATCATGGAAGAATTGTAAGTAATGCTTATCGAGCGGGGAACATGATTGAGACATGGGGTACTTATATAGTTCAGAACGGCTATAGCGTATTGGAGTGGAGAAAAACACGAGTTTTATTATTGTGCCATCCGCATTGTGGAGATCTCGTTGATCAAAGGCGTAACACCCTGTACAGGCGTTGGATGTCAATATTCGGGTATCGGCTATGCGACACTCTACAAGAAATATGCCTTTGCAGAAGTATGTATGATGTAGCCTATTCAATTAATGCATTGCACCTATTAACGCATCTCTATGTAGGAAATTGGAGCCATTGGATTGGCACTATTGGATAAGCATGCTGGACCCTACGAGAAAGGAAGAGCCTATATGATGTACGCCGTGTTCAATATTCGTTGGAAGTATCATCATCGGGAAGCTCTAAAGTACTTTGAAGCGGGGATCAATGTTGCTTATTCGGCGGGAGATCGAATTTATCAGTCATTCAATCAAGTCCATCGACTCGTGGTTCTTTTGGGATTGAACAGGAACCTTGCTGACACACTACACGAAGCCGAACGCAACTATGAGGATATTCATGCATGGTCATCTTCGGTGGACAGCAACATGTTTGCCATTTGTATCATTCGGCTGTGTCGCGCTTTGGCTGGTCACACATTCACTGATACACCTCACGTTTTTGATGGCGATGACGGCTTCAATGATGAGCATTTTGTCAAGGAGAGCATACAGTACAGCTCGAATCCGGAATTGCTGCTAGGCTGGTATGACGCATTCAAAATCATACCGCTGGCACTTTATGGTCACGTGGATGCTGCGATTGATCTCGGCTACGAAAGATTGGAAAGCGTGGAAGGACATCCTTGTCATCGTCACACACGAATCATGCTTCATTACTTTTCATTGGCGCTTGCATGCAAAATACGTGACAACAAGGATATGGACCCTGCATTACGACGCATGTACTATGCACAAATCAAGGAGAACCAAGACAAGGTGTATGAATGGGCCGAGCATAGTCCCGACAATTACATGATGTATTGGACATTGATCGAAGCTGAAGTGGCCAGCCTGGAAGACAATGTGGATATTGTAAAGACCTGTCGACTCTATGAGGACGCCATTGATCAAGCACGACAAGGTGGATGGCATCTGGCGGTGTGTATTGCACATGAATTTGCGGGTCTATTTTATGAGCGGATTGGATTACGTAATGTGGCGTATACCTTGATCAGAAAGGCCATTGACCTCTATATGACGCATGGAGCACACGGCAAGGCACGCCATGTGGCTAGCACAAAATCCAGTATACTCGCTGAATTTGATCATTACAATTGCCAGGCGTATGATACCGGTGTCCAAACGGATCTTCCTTACCTTGTCGATCAGCAGCAGAATGCCATGAGTATATCATCCAGCTTTGAAGAGCATCAGCAGTCCATGCCTACAACAACAGCAGCCAACGAACCCTATACATCTGAATCGATTCCCCCAGTGACTACAGAAGAGACATTAATGACGCTTGATATCGTAAGTAAATGGATGTATTATCCTCAAAAAACGCATGTTGACTCATTCAATACTACCAGGTTGACATGGCCTCCATCCTCAAGAGTTCGCAGGTGATGTCGTCAGAGATCAAGTTTGACCGCCTCTTATCATCGATGCAAAACATCATCTTCGAGAATGCGGGTGCTGAATCAGGAGCCATTATTTTGGAAACGAATATCAACAATGAAGGGGAAGGGAGCACTGCTCGTGGGTACATTAAGCAATCCAAGTTTGCTGTGTGTGCCTATCGCCACCAAAAGGATGAAGATGCCACCACGTACAATCCTCCACGTAAACTATCTGAGGCCGAAGACCTTGTATCAAGTCGCATTATCAATCACACCATCCATACGCGGGAAAGCATTTTTATTCCGGATGTGGAGCAGGATCCTCGATTTGCTGTTGGCCCATGGTTTGAGCGTGCCGGTAGAAAATCAGTCATTTGTATGCCCATCATCCACAAAAACATCATTGCTGGATGTTTGTTTATTGAAGGCTCCGTTGGCTCATTTACTCAAAGGCATATCACTGTGCTTGGTCTTCTTTGCCAGCAAATGGGTATTTCGGTTACCAATGCATTTTTGTTCATGTCCGTGAACAAGGTCACCAAGGATAACTACAGGTAATAAGAACTCGATACAAATTGGCTGCTTGGGAACTCATGTTTGGATATGGTAGGATGATTGAGAATCAAAAGCGAGCCCTTGAAGAAGCACGTAAGAGCAAGGAGGCAGCGGATCGAGCAACACGTCTACGGGAAATCTTTTTGGCCAACATGAGTCACGAGATCCGGACCCCCTTTTCAGGCTTTTATGGCATGATCTCCTTACTGGCAGACACCGATCTTACAATGGATCAAATGGACCTGGTGCTTACGGCCAAGCAGAGTTGTGAGAATCTTCTTGGTATTATTGATGATTTGCTCAATTTCTCCAAGCTTCAAGCGGGAAAAGTCGCTTTGGATTTGGCTCCTACCTTGGTTGAGGACATGATTGGCGACGTGATTGAGATGCTTATCGCTATGGCTGCTCAAAAGCAGATCAACGTGACCTATACCATTGCTCATGATGTGCCATCCGTTATTCTTGCTGATGCGAACCGGGTCAAGCAGTAAGTATCCCTCTACATAGTAGTATATATATAATGTGCTAACCACCACACGTCATGAAGGATCATTATCAACCTCCTTGGCAATGCAATCAAAGTAAGTCGTCGTATGTATTGTGGAAAATATATAAACTAAGGATGAATCCTACATTTATAGTTTACAGAACATGGCGAAATCAGCATCCGATGCACCATCGACAGGCAAGCTGCAAGTAAAACGAAGCGACCTTCGTCGGACATGGTACCTCTATTGATTGAAGTGATTGACACCGGCATTGGGATCAGTGAAGAGCAGCGAAAGATGTTGTTTGTTCCATTTTCTCAAGTGGATGGCAGTACAACGTAAGTATGGGATGGTGATGGCATTGATGGGTAGGTTACTCACCATGTGTTAATGTTATAGACGCAAGTATGGCGGCACAGGGCTTGGATTATCGATTTGTTTGCAGCTGGTGGAGCTTATGTCTGGAAGAATTGATGTGACAAGCACGCCTGGGAAAGGATCCAACTTTAATTTCACCATTCAAGTGAAGCGGTTACAAGAAGAATCAACACGACGCAACAATGAGGTCGCTATCAATTTAGACAAGCTGCATGGTGTTCGAATCTTGGTCGCTGATAAGCACGTGTCAACCGTTGCCATGGTTCGCCAACTGTTGCCAGGCACCAAGGTGGAAGGCGTATGCACAATCCCAGAATTACAGCAATTAATGCCACACCATTATGACGCCATCATTATCGGCATGTCGCTATCCCAGTCACCTGATCACCATGAATGGTGGAGTCATCTCAAATCCTTCGTCAACAATGTCAAATGTGGCACCATCATTATGCATTACCCAAGTCGACAAATGGGTATGATTGGATTCGACAATACGCTTCAACCGACTCTCTCCTCCTCTTCTTCTTCTACACCTTTTATGGCATCTGAAAATGCACGAGGATCTTCAACAGTGGCAAGGATCGCTATTCCTCTTCGACGTCGCAAGCTATTGCAAAGCATGCTGAGTTTGCTAGAGCCCACGTTACAACAACAAAGCATCCCACTCTTACAATGGAGCAGTAGCACCGGGACCATGGAAGCCATCGATCATGGAAAGATCACGGATGAGGAGAAGGCTGTTTTTAGCACAATGCATATCCTTGTGGCGGAAGGTAAATATACACATATGGCGTCATTGTTTGGTACTGGTATCTCATCATATGACGTATCTATGTAGACAATCCAGTGGCACAAAAACTCTTGTACAAACAACTTACTCGATTGGGATTTCAAGTGGCATGTGCCAATGATGGTTTGGAAGCAGTGGAGACATGGAAAAAGCATCCAGCAGGTTACTTTCAAATGGGTTTCTTCGATCACCACATGCCCAATTGCGACGGCGTCCAAGCAACGAAAACGATACGAGCTATTGAAGCGGATGAACAACGCACAACCCTTCTCCCTATTGTTGCATTGACAGCGGATGTACAGCAATGTGCACAAGATACATGTATCAGAGCAGGCATGAATGAGTACCTTACAAAACCCATGAATCAGAAATCATTAGCGGCAGTGTTACGTTCATATTGTATGCGGCATTAAGATACCTTTATTTATGCATCCTTTCATATCCCAAATAAATTATTGTGTCGAGCACAGTCCAGCGCTGATGATCTTTGCACTATGCACACCATTAACACCAGCAATCTCTAATTTATGTACATCCGAATCCTGATCACTTCTTGTGATCCACAGGTCCGTACTTTTCTCATGCCTATGGCTGAATGTATTGCCTTTAAGGAGTAATAGGTAAAGGATAGGAGACTCCACTTTATATAAAGAGCACAATTACCGTACAATCAATCTTCCTTACTCGCTACGTGCTCATGGATCGCTTTGTTACTACTCTTGCTTCTCTCTCTTTGATGGTTTTGGCCTTTGTTGCTTCAATTCAAGCTTCCTCAGGCGATGGTGATCCTGGCATCGGCATGGAAGGATTCAACGGCGGCGGCGATAACTTTAGCGGCGGAGGCGGTAGTCAATCGGACTTCTTTTAAATCAAAAAGACCACTCACTGGTTTACGTATTGGCTTGCGGTTGCTCCTGGACGTATAAGCTATACACCTCTCGCATTGAAATTGCTCTCCCAGATATCGTGAAACTTCCCCCCCCCAATAAATCACAACGTGTATAGCGTGCCCTACTACCGCATGATGAATGGCTTGATTATCGCGCATGTATGCAGCGTGGGTGTTGATACGTAGACCCCAGGCCATGCCTAACAAAAGCTTCTGTCGCAGCTGAAGTTTGTTTGCCATTCAGAGAGAGACATGCTTGCTTACTAAACGTATTAACCGTGACAATTGCCTACGTTTATGATGATACCGGGTTCAAAATCGATTCCCAAAATGCTCGTATGGACTATGAGCAGCTTTGGGATTATATACTACGTTCATGTACGCTCCTTACAGATCCAAGAAAAGCATCCATCATGCCAAGCGTCAAGGTGACTATGCCCTCATGGAGCAAGCCTACTACATACATCTACCATGTCACTCGCTGCATCATTAAAGCATTAGATGCAGCTGTTGAAACACTTTGAGCACTAGGCTGCGGTTATCTGCTTGCATGAGAGGTTACTTTTACGCACGGCATCAGCTATCTCATCGAATAAGCTTTGCTTTTTAATTACGATCAAGGATCAATAAACCTAAACCTTGCCCAAAAAGCAAGTATAGCTATCAAGTGGTGGAAGCATATTTAGACTTCAAGGTAGAATGGAACATGATTGCTCAAAATTTTATTTACGTACATATGTAACCAGCCAGTGAAGGATAGCCATGCATTGTACTGCAACTACATCTTGCATGCAACGGGCATCTGAAACTTTTTGGACCACTAGGACTCACAAAATAGGGGTTAAAGTACATGCTATACGATGACATTATCTCATTGTGGAGCACTTGGGATGCAAAAGACCGTGAGATTGACTCATAAAGTCAACACGTCAAAGCAGCAAGTTATTGTCCTAGTCAACATTCTCGTGCCCTAAAAGAGGACAGCGTCACGCAATCACGACACAAAAGACGACACCGCATGTAGTATGGTACAATGCATAACACAATGCCGATCATTTTACGTTCGCAGGACCCGAGTTTTCACATGCATATGGCTATACGTATGATGTTGAAGGAATAATATACAAAGGATACGTAGTAGAAGACTCGACTTTTTATATAAAGAGCAAGATGAAAGTAATCAACTACCATCAATCTTCCTTATACTTGATAACCATGGATCGCTTTGTTACTACTCTTGCTTCCCTGTCTTTGATGGTTTTGGCCTTTATTGCTTCCGTTCAAGCTGGGTCGGCACCCGGTGATCATGGCGTTGGTAGTGAAGGCGGTCGGGGCGGAGGTGCTCCGGATTTCTTTTAATTCAACAAGGCCACTGGTTTATTCATTTGCGGTTGCTCCAAGACGTATAAGCTACTCTCGCATTGAAATTGTTCTTCCAGATTTTGTGAAACTCTACAATAAACTACAACGTGTAAAACGTGTCCTATCACCTCATGATGAATCATTTGAATGTTTTCATCGGTGTTCATTATGCACCTGCCCTATGTATGTAGATCCAAGCCAAGTCTATCAAGAAAGCAAAGTTCGTTGTTTGCCGTTCAGAGATCTATGCTCGTTTACTAAAAGTATTCATAATCCTAATCAACGTTCTCATGCCATAAATAATATAGCGTCACACAATAATCACGTCATTGATAAAAGAAGATGACGATGACATTGCATACATGTCATCATGCATCACACAATGTAGATCATCCTACAGTCACGGCTCCTCACTTTTATCATGCAGATGGCTATATTGCATTTAAGGAGTAATATGCAAAGGGTAGAAGACTAAACTTTATAAAGAGAGCAAGATAAACATGATCAACTACAATCAATCTTCCTTAGTTGATAACCATGGATCGCTTTGTTACTAGTCTTGCTTCCCTCTCTTTGATGGTTTTAGCCTTTATTGCTTCCGTTCAAGCTTCGGTGATGCCCGGTGCTAATACTGACATTGGTGTTGAAGGATTCGATGGCGGCGACTTTGGCACCGGAGGTAACTCGGATTTCTTTTAAATCAACAAGGCCACTGGTTTATCCAAGGCGTAGCTATGTACCCTCGCATTGCAATTGTTCTCCCAGATGTAGTGAAACTCTCCAATAAACCACAACGTGCAGAGCGTATCTTATTACGTAACCCATGATGTATGATTTACGCGTTGTCATCCCCCCATGTAGTGTGGGTATTGATGACCAGATTTCTAATTCCATGCTCGTCGTATTGACCATGAAAACAACTTTGGGTTATAAATGTACCAATACGACGTACTTCACACCATGCAAGGAAAGATTCCAAGCATGATGTGAGTAGGACACCAGCGCCGTTTATGTAGGGAACGAGGCTACACATTAACGATGTCACACTCTGTATCATTAAAGCAATGTATGCAACACCTTAAGTTGCTTTGATCGGGACACGTTACGTACATACTTTTGAGCACAGCATCAGCCATCTTGTCATATAAACATATGTAATCAACGTTCTTGTGCCTCCAACTCTCACACAATAATGACATAAAAGCGACACAGCATGCATAACACAATGCTGATCATTCTATGTTCACAGGTCCCGAGTTTTCTCATGCGTATGGCTATATGGCGTTTAAGGAGTAATATGCAAAGGATAGGAGACTCAGCTTTATATAAAGAGCAAGATGAAAGTAATCAACTACACTCTATCTTCCTTATACTTGATAATCATGGATCGCTTTGTTACTACTCTTGCTTCCCTCTCTTTGATGGTTTTGGCCTTTATCGCTTCCGTTCAGGCTGCAGCGAACGACGGTGGTTTTGAAGTTGGCGGCCAGGGCGGCGAGGACGGCGGTATGGCGGATTTCTTTTAAACCAACAAGACCACTGGTTTATAATCTTGCAGTTGCTCCGGGACATATAAGCTATACACTCTCACATTGAAATTGTTCTCCCAAATGTATTGAAGCTCCCCCAATAAACCAGGATTATATCACCTTATTATGGGTTTGCCTTATTGATGACCAATGTAGCTTGAGGAAACCGATGCGTGATGGACTTTTAAGTTGAGATGCTTCAACACGTTTACACCAAACAGCTGTTGTTTCCAGAGCTTCATGTCGTCCCACAAAACAAGCATGCCATACAACGGTCCTCGAATTAAAGCCACAATCTCCCTTTCGCTTCATACACTTGCTTGATGAACAATCCGACATCCCATCAAACCATCCATATCCAGCATAATCCACATAATAAAAAGATGCAAAGGCTTTTATGGGTAGCGATCAGGAATAATTTTTCGAAAGATACCTAAAGATGAATGTGAGAGACCGAAACATGCCTTTGCTGTGCACTTGCCTTACCATCTAATATAAAGGACGTCAGGCCCCAAATCTCGTTTTCTCCTTCAATCTCTCGTTCAATCTCTGCTGGGACCTTGAACACGGGGTATTTCACTTGAGTGTGTCTAAACTGCCGTACTTCCCGGATATCACGTCGTGTCAAATAATCGATCGGTAAGGAAAAGACGGTGGATACTTCATCCTTGTTGTAGTTGAGATCCTTGATGGAGGAGATGGGGTCTTTGATATAGCCTAGGAATGGATGCACCCGAAGAGATCCCGTTTTGTTCGGTAATGTCGAGTAGTTGCCAAGGATATCAATTGATGAGGGAGCAATGCCGACTTCTTCCATAGTTTCCCTTAATGCTGTATGTTGCAGTGATGGGTCATGTGGATCTGTCAAAAGTGTACAACAACAACCCCTGATTAAATACACACGATTCCTCCACTTTGTTGGCATCCTCGCATCACCCACTTACCAGCCTTGCCACCAGGAAAACTAATATCCATAACACACACGTCAGCTTTTCGTTTCTCCTTGTAACCCCTTGAACCCTTTTCAAATGACTTGCCTGATTTCACCACGATGGGTTCGCATGTTCATGTTGCGTACAGTGAACAGTACACTTGCTTCACCATTGACTTGACAAAGAGGCATCAGGACAGCGGCATCACGGACTTGTTCCTTGTAGCCGAATTTGTAGCGAGGGCAATTCAGTAACCGTTGACTAAACAATGCAAGTGTTTTGGGGTCGAGCTTGATAGGTGTTGTTGGTGGCATAGTGATTTGTGTGTTTTAGAGTCAATAAAAAAGAAATCAAGAAAGGAAAGAGAGATAACGAAAGAGCGGACCATCCATCTTCATTCATTCATGACTTTGTACTCCACACATCCCAATGTTGAAAGGCGAACAATGTATATTTTACCAGCGACGATGGCTATAATCAATCAGTCTCACTCAACCACACCCAACCCCCAATTACCGGGATCTCCCACTTTTGTTTATGCACACATGCCTTTGACAGGGCACAATGCGATGTCCATTTTAGGCACCATCTCTTACAACTTTGAGTTTTTGTAATCGCATGGAGATAGTTGTTTGATGGTATTCTTATGAGTAAATAGGATACGATGGGGGGGTGGGGTTGACAAGATGCCAAGTGAATAAAAGAACTCGATGCATCGTACACACCAATCATGCCAGGATGATTCAGAAGGAGCTTTTGTCATTGGTTGCTCATGTTGATACACCGCTTTCAGGATGATACGGAATCGCCCGGGAAAAAAGGAGTGTATGTGGGGACGCCGTGGGGAAAAATCATGCATATGGAAGAGCATAGCTGTGTAACGGATGAATAAGCATTTTGTGCGGAGGATCAACATCCAAGATATCAAGGACAAGCATCCTTCAGTTATAATTTATCATCAAACTTGTGCAAAAAGGCGTGATAGTAGTAATGGATCACGCCCGCTATTCATCATCAAGAATAAAGCACCCAACAACGGATAGCCGAAGGGGCCACCTCTAATGGGTCATTTAGTTTTTCAAGTTCTTTGATAAATCTTCGAGAAGGAATGGCTATCAAGCATGTGCTTGTAGATGGTCCCTTTGTTTTTATGCATTGTCTTTGTATTTATTCAGACGTCACAATCGTCTATTATAGATGATGTCAAAGAATGAGGTATCATCACGTGCCATGGCAGTCGCGATCGTGCGTGAACACCATCACACCTATGTACATTGGCTCTTTGGTGAAGACTTGTGAGTTGAAGTAGGTGCCCAACAGCTCTTATCAGCTCACGCACCAATCTATCAGCTCATCACAAACAAACATTTATCATTATTTTTGATAGCAGAATTACCCACGCCCACAGTGCACATATAATAAACAACGACAACGATGTTGTCGCCCCCACACACCATCTCTTTCTTCCATCATGTCACTCTTTGATTGCGTACCATATTCAAGAGACCATCTTGGTAAGTACCATAGATAGCCATTGTGCAGCCCTGTGGATTGCAGCTAATGCATGTGGTCATTCACCATAGGCTTTCATTGTTATCCTTCTTTCTCGTTCATTGTCGTTGTTGTCATTATGATATTTCACTCTTTGAATGAGGTAAAGCATGAGCATCTTTATTGATAAATCATATACCAATATGCATGTCATGTTTCTTTCCATGTAGCTATCTCCTGTGGACGTGGTGGGTCTGTAAACGTTCACGCATGTCAATCTCCTCAAGTCGATTTCAGGCTCAGATGGCAGTAGACAATGCCGCCAATGTCCAAGAGACCCGCCTCCTTGTCCGCTGCCATTGTCTTCAACGCGTCCCACTTTTCAATGGAATACCTGAACCCATCGCCACACACCACAAGATCTGATATGATACTTTCCGCGTGAACAATCGAACCAGAATGCTGTCATTGGCAACAACCAACTTCAAGAAGACAATGCATCGCCAACGGCAGAAAATGAGTCGCTGCCCATAGCCACAATCACAGTACGTCTTTTCCTCTTCTTTATATCATGCTTGTGGCAAGTATAGCTTGTTGACCGTATTGAAAATGGCTTCACTGACAACATGAAATCGACAAATTGGCATGACAACGCATAGCTTTCAGAGGGCGATGGTTGCGTTTGTTGGCGACTGGTCACCGATACATGGCCAGCAACTTTCAAGCTACAATCGTTCAAGTTATATGCTCGTGAGATGGCTGCGTCTTTTCAGAAGCCAATGATCATCAGGGTATGTTGTTTTGATTGCTGACGAACGTAATCTCATTTACATATATAGGACGCCAGGAAGTCATCATCCATTTCAGATGAAGAGTAACCTAATCTCCTTCCACATTGATTGTCATATAACTAGTGTAGTCATTGCTTTCATATCACGTTAAGAAAACACGCCTATCACATTGAAGATGTTGTGAGTATACCGTAGGCTCGCCACACACTTTATTCATGGTCTCTAATATATCATTCATCCGCATTTCTAGGCTACACGAGGTGATGGCTTTCACAGTTTTAGCCACTTGCACCACTGTAGGTATGTATCACAGCATCGAGGGAGTATGTATCCATTGTAATAAGACATGTTTTTATTCAATAGACCCGAGCATTATCGAGGTATCCATTGTATCCACGGTGTATCAAGATTGCCGAAATGGAGCATGGTGCAGCTTCTTTTGCCGGTGTCTCTTCAACAGATCCCCGCGGCTCCTATTGCCAAGCGCATTGGCTTAGCCGAGTACTACAAGGTCTGCATTTCGACAACCCTCACCACTTTGGAGATATCTGCTGCTAGAAGACAAGCAGAGGCGATTCCACAGACATCGTTTATGGATAAGATGATCTCGAGCCATGATGACAAGCAGTGGTTTGGAAGACTGGCGGAACGTTGGCACTATTCTATGTACCAACAAGGTGACTGTGAAAAGCTTCTGGGTATGCTATTGAAGGGAACGTAGTGGCGAATCGCATCCTACTCACGTTGATTCTGCATACACTTTAGATCGCATCCATGAGATAATGTGTAAAACAAGGCGCAAGATGAGACCATCCCTTGTTCAGAGATTTATGTATGAGCAAGGCAAAGAGAGGCACTCATCGCTGTCCACTGATAGTATCCTGAATAGGGCCGAGTATCTGACTGGATTTTGTGCATTGATCATCTTCCAAGAAGGAAACAGGAAAATGGGATATATCGTATATAGCATCTCGAATCCTTTTACCAGGTTAGTATATTTGTCAATGGGTCTTGCTTATTACGGTTGTCCTCAATTGCCTCTTTTATATGCTATAGCTTGGAAAGCATCCACTACAAGCCCCACCCTTGTGATCGAGAAGATTTACAAACGACGCACTATGCCCATTTGGCCCTTGAGGTGTGTGTGTGTGTGATTTATTCTAGAGAAGGACAAGGAAACTAAGGTTGGCAATAATTTAGGGCACACAAGATGAGGCTACTGAAAGATGAATACACGTGATTATTCGTGGACACTACAGCCCTTGATCAAGGTTACTATGGCGGCATGTACGGGCTTCAAATGCGACCTATGCATAAGGGGACTCCATCAAAGGCCATGAAGAAGGGAATGGCAACGCATTTATGGTGCCGTCGTTTGCATTGGAAATGCTGTTACTTGAAGCGTCTCGTACGAGGGATAAGACATGGCGTGGATTCAGTGGTGGTTTGAAAGGCTCGCTTGGATACGACAGAATACATGCTCCAACATTGTACGTATCATCATTCCAAGTACCGACAGCAATTAGGGCGACTTTTCGGACACACCAGCTTTAAAGGTATGAAACATCATCTCTTTTTATTGCCAAGCAAAAGTATTGAAAGATGTGATAGGATTATCCTGCTATTACAGAAAGGAAATGATATACATACCTGTTGAACGGGATCTACCCGAAGGGCTGTTTTACATCACCCTGGCGTTGAAGAAGGTAGTTAGCAATCAGTTCCAAGTTGTCCAAATACACATGGCTGATCATCATCCTAGGCGTCGATTTGGAAAGACTGCTCTCTGATTTTATGGCACGACAATGAAAGCAAGGTATGTATAAAGCAATTTTACGTTGATGTACATAAATCTAACAAATATTGTTTGATCTTCATTATTAGGCTTTCCAACACTACGTCAACCAGCATAGATATATGACTTTGGGTTTCAATGGTGTCTTCAAGCAATCAAGAACCACAAAGATTTGGATAAGGAGAATGGTACAATCGTATCCCAAAGCGACCCGCTGAAAGGATATGTGAAGTCCAAGGCCGACAATGCAATGATAGACAAATGATGCCTTCAAGCCTATGGTATCCCCGACGTAATGCAGAGACGCCCGTTACATGCACGCACGCTGCATCTTTGTACCACCATGGAATTACCCTTTGTGGACGAGCACAAAACATCGCCTTTGTTAAGAAATGTGCCTATCCAATTCATTCCTTTTCAAATAAACGCACAACATCTCTTTTTTTTTCTCGTTTACAAATCCCATTGACCTTCGTATACAACAAATGGATTTCTTATTACGACCTTTCCGGAGGACAAAAATCGTTCACACTCGAAGCCAGGCATTACGGAAATGCTGTGGATGCATCCACTTACGTGTTGGTTGTGCTTTATCATGCGTGTTTTGGGCTGTAAGTCTTTACATAGGACTATCTCTTTCTCATCTCACTTAGAAAAGCACCCTGTAGGCATTTTCATTGTATCTTACAGCGGTTTCGTTTCGGCCATCCAGTCGTATGTGAATATCAATCATCCCCAACGTACATCATCTCAACATGTTGTCGCTTACTCCTTTTTTCCAACGACAGCCTTTTTCTCATACATGCCATCCAATGCTCCATTTATCATCTTCGGCATCGCCAATATGGTTCTCACCATTGTATCGTTGTTTGGTCTCCTAGCACTTTATTTGGCAAGTGTGCTATTGCATAGCAACGGCATCCACAAAAAAGGCTGACACTCCCCCTTTTCAACATTAGGACGTGTACAATTATATATTGACTGTATCACACGGCGTGGTAGTGGGCACAGCACTTGTTATTGTTGATGCCATTATCAATACGATCTTATTTATCACCATGAGAGGGGACTATATTAATTGGTGTATCGATTCTGCATCAGGGCGGTTTATTGACGCTACCCAAACCGGTGGTCTAGACACCATGGCACAACAACAAGACTTTTACAATTGTGATCGATCCTGGCAAGACGAGCTCAAATTTGGCGTGCTTGCTTTGATGATGATTGTTGGGTTTTATGTAAGTTTGTTTACTTTAAGCAAGATGTACAAGATACTGAGATATGAAAATAGGGATATTGGGCAATGTGCTTTCGATCCTTTCGTATCAAACGAGCCGTTTATTTGTCTCATATTATGGGGGTATCTATTGATCCACGTCATGTTCCTCCACCTATGGGACCTCATCATCCTCCTATGGGTGGTCCTATGGGTCCGATGCGCGGCATGCCACCACCACCTCCTCCTCCTCCACCTATGATGGATCCCCGATCTGCCGGTCATCCACACGTCATTGTCCTCAATAACATCAAGCCATCCTCCCATAGCACCAAAAATGATTCACCGCCACCTTACAGCAAATAAAATGTCCACGTGTACAGATGTACAGAAAATGATCGTATGTTTATCTTTATGCGAGCGCGGTATAAAATTGAATGAAATGCTGGTTGTTGTATGTTGAAGGAAATAGAAATGTAAAAGGGAATTAACCTCGGGCTCGATGATTACCGACATAAATGGGACGTCCAGAAGGTGTGTACTAAAAACAATACTCCATGTCAGCCTATCGATGTATATATGTCCCAAGATCATCCCGTTTGCTTGCCTTGTAATTATCATCAAATATCAATCCAGATGGAAGAATTTCGCTTCGATAAAAGTTACTGCATTGATATCCAACCCTAAAAGAGATAGAGAGAGAGAGAGAGAGCCATTGGTAAATGTTAACGCACGTGGCAAAGCTGAGTAGTGCAAAAGGAATTGGGACGGGGATGATTTACCGATGCGGAATGTAACTTGCAAAAAGACCCCACTGTGACACAAAGTGGTTAATAATTGAATGCATGTTGTCAGCAAAGCGATCGTTTTTCTTGGCCATCCTTCAAATATACCCCCCATTTACCTTGTCACCACATCCATGTTTTTGGGCCACCTCTAAAAAGAGCTTCTTTTCTTCCTCGGTCCAATCACCCGTCCATTGTTCCTATACAAAATGGAAGTAAGTTCATGGTTCGTTCTCAATCCTTTCACACTACTTACCACGCCTGGTTCATTGTGTCGGTAAAAGTACATGTTTGGATTCTTTTTGAACATGGCTTGAGCTGCTGCCTGAGATGTGTATGTGATATGCATGTTTAGTCATCCGCGCCTAATATCCGACAATGACGTTTGTTTCATCATCCTCACCTTTGCATTGAATCGCCCACCGCCCTTCTTTTTGCCGGTACCCGTAGGATCCTTAAAGCTGAACGTGCCACCACCATTCTTTTCCCATGCTTCTGCAGCCGATGCTTCAAAGTGATACTTTTCAACAAGCTCTGGGTTGATCCAACCTGATGATGTAAAACGTGGTTAGCGACATGCACGGAAGAAATCCCGATTGACGTTCCGTGAATTCATTACCAGCATAGTGACCATCCACACGAATAGCATTCTTTCGCACTTCCTCATCAAAGTATTCATCTCCTGAAAGTAATCTTCCATCCCATAATTCAGGATCTACCACAGTGTTGGTGTTGCCTCCTCCTTCATTGGTGCCGGATAGAGTGTCATCTTCTGTAATCTCAAATGGCGGTGGCTCTAGACCACGTAGTCGTGAGGATGCTCTTGTAGGTCGATCGGGTTTGACTGAATGTGATATCAGATACGGTAACCTTGGCAGCGTCCTTCTTTTTTGGCACTTACCAACACGCGCTTTATTGTCTCGCTTTTTCTTTGGACGTGCCTTGGGAGCTGGTCTAATACACGCATTATGTTATTCTCTTTGACACGATCCATTGGGTTGCCATGTTACTACTACTTACGTTGCCGCTCCTCCTCCTCCTCCTACCGATCCAAGTGCACTGACAGCTGCAGGCAATTCAAGCTGAGCAAGCAACTCGCGATTGCGTTCAATATTACGTTGGCGTTCAAGTTCTAATAGAGGGGAGGGCGTGAGAAATGAAGAATAAAGAGTTGTCTATTATAGTGCATACCATAGTCATTCAATTGTGTCATTGCGTGTGTGGGTGGGTGGGTCCCAAAAAAAGAAAACAGAGAAAGGACGCGCTGTTGTGGATGGTGGTGCCTGGAGCGTGTGTGTTACCTAAGCACACCGCGGAAGTGGCTTTTTGATGATCCCTATTGGCTCACCACCTTCTTTGTCTCGCCTCCCTCTCTCTTGAAACGATGATCAACAATAAATACCTCTTTGATGAGCATTGTGTATAAAAAGGGACACATGTGAATTATTACTTGCAGCATCCACGTCATTGTGATACTCTCTCTATATGCCTTTGTGCCTTTGTGTAAGGCCATTGATTGACATTTTCAACACAAGAGCGATTGTGGCGAGAACATCGTCATCCCTTAGAGGATTAGTGTACATGTACATGACCGAGATCTTGGTACATAATAAAGGTTGAATCAAAAAAGTATGATTGATTGATCGGAAAACCCAGTTTGGAGGAAAGGATCAACATGAGGGCGTGGGGAAAGCATCCATGGTTGGGTATCCAATGGCAACGATCTCACTGTTTTTAGGTAGAGAATGTGTATGTGCCTTTACAAAAAGGTACTCACTTTTGCTGACACACCTTGTATTGCGTGGGCACTGGCGCTGATCTTTGCCCATTGTGGTGCCCCAAATCGGAAACATGCCACAAAAGGCTTAGCTTGCATGCATGCAAGGCAAAACAAGCTGTTCGCGCGAGAAGCGCCATTATCGATTGTTATCTGTCAATTGCGGAGCTGCGGGCTATACACTCCACATATCAAAAAAGGTTTTTTTTTGCTCTTGTCCATACGTGGGCGGGTGGCTACTATACTTATTGTACCAGATTGTCGGTAATAATTGACCAATGGATACCTCTTGGCGTATGAGAACGAGAAAAATACAAAGTAGGATTCGATCATTGACCAATGATGGGCATTGCATGGCGTCGTACAAAAAAGCTTCAATTGAAAAATCTCTGTCTCACCCTTCCATGGACGGCATCTACTCTCAAAAGGAAACCCCCATTGACCACAGATGCGTTTGCGCGCACACACACACAACACACGCACGCTCAAAACAATAAGCACACATTGCTCAGCTTCCCCGACACGACGGCTCTTTGTTTTATCTCTCTCCCTCTCTCTTCCTTTTTCTCTCTCTTTCAATTGCCATTCTCATTCCCTTGCCCTCCTCCTCCCTTCCCCTTCCCTATTGCTTTTTCTTTTTTTTTTTTTCTGGCGTGATGGATGACGACTTGTTGGCAGCACAAAGCTTCAACGGTGGCATCATCTTTGTCAGCTATGTCATTGCCACCGTTGGTGCACAAACTGCTCTTGAATTACTCGGTAGACGTACTCACATCAACGGCATTCGCAATTGGTGAGTCTTTCTTTCTCTCTTCGACATTGATCCAACACACGATATCGATCACAACACACACACACACACACACACACACATGACGACGATAATAATAACATGACGTTATCAGGCTTTTTCTCATCGCTGCAGCATTGGCCATGGGAGGTGTTGGCATTTGGTCGATGCACTTTATCGGCAACAACAGCTTGACCTTGATGTATCATGATAACGTGTATCATTTAAGTTACTCGGCCGGGTATACGTTTGCCAGTTTGGTCGTTGCCATTGCATGCATGTTTGTGGCATTTGCATTTGTTGGTGTCACCGAAGAGGCACAGGTCATGAGAATCATTCCGAGCGGTATCATTGCTGGGGTAAGTGGTGCATTGCTATTGCTGCAGCAATGTTTCTTTATCTTCCATTGATGACAAATGTCCTCATGCTTCCTATTCTTTTTATCCCTACTATACTAGATTGGCATTGCATGCATGCACTATATCGGTAAGTCGAAAAGAAAAAAGAAGTTGCTGTTATCATCATGAGCCTAACCATATTGTGTATTACACATTTACATAGGTCAATTTGCCATTGATTTTTTCCATTTGACTTACAAAGTCGGCTATGTTGCAGGCGCCGTGGTGATTGCATGTGCCGCAGTGGTGACAGCACTTTACATTTTCTTTAAGCTTCGCGAACATTGGTCGAATCGGTGGTACAAACGCTTAGGCTCGTCTATGCTAATGGGACTTGCAGTGTGTGGTACAGTCATCCTTTTTTTCCTTCCCCGCACCCATATACACACAACACATGCAAACACAAAACACAAGAATCGTATGATAATGGGAACAAGAAGGTGCTAACCCAAATCTTAACTATAGGCATGCACTACACAGCCATGGCAGGCACTGAGTATCGTGTGCCATCCGAAGATGGAAGCGTACCTGAACCAGCCCTTTCTCAAGCAGCTTTGATTGGCATCATTGCTGCCATTGTGGTCTTGGCATGTGGATTACTTTTATTCATTGCTATCCGAGCAGGCGTGTCGCATTTGCCAGCGATCGTGCAATCCGGCAAGTCGGAACGCCTTATGTTAGGCGCGGTGTTTTTCGATCGGTCGGGTAAAATTCTCGTCAACGTGGATGGACTTGTCCCAACAAAGGAAGTCCTAGCTGACATTGACTTTGAGGTAACATCATCATCATCACCAACGCTTGGTACCCGCGTCCACATATCACATGTCATTGCTTCACACATCCAATGTTTGTTGCTGTCATTGAAATGAGGCGCCGCACCTAATTTACGTTGGTGTTATTGGTACCACGTTTCCTCAACCACAACTTACTCATTGTATTATCCCTTTTGCGTGCATAGGCCGATACAACAAAGAAACATCTTGGCGGATTCAATACAAGTCATCCACTATTCCTTCGATTTTTTGAAGCTACACATCGATGGGCTAAGCGTATTCCAAATCAGCATTTGCAGCCACATGCATCCAGCAGCTATGACCGAGGATCGGAACAATCTTCTACACGCACTCGGGATCCTTATGATGCAGCCGAAATGTTATTTTTTGACGCGGCCCGAGAACTCGTTTCCCAATTACGCTTATCATCTCTTGCCGATCTTGGTATTTTGTTTGACAATGTTGTGTCCACCAACACCATTGCTACTAAACTACCATCCCATCACCAATTTTTATCATCGGCTTTGCGTTCACCCATGGATCATTGGTTTGGTGCTGGTGGTGGCAAGAACAGCAAACGTAATAGCACTTGTACAACAGCTGACATGGCAAGAGCTTCTTATTGTCCACCTAGCAGCAACCGTAACAGCATGCATGATATCACAGCCAACCATCAACTCACAACCAAAGCAAGCATGGATACATTCAACAGCGCTACCATGCTTGAACAAGGCGTACACCATTATGCTTCAGACATTGGACATGCAACACAACAACAACAATACAATGAAGCGGTTTCCAATGCACGTGAAAACAAGCAACGTCCCGTATCAGGATCCACTTTACGATCAGCTGCAGAGTCTACTGAAAGTGTGGTCGAAGATAGGCATTTGTTTATGGTGCGACGTGTGAGCAAAAAGGAACAAGCACGATTGATGGCACTTGGCTATCGATTTGCCGATCCAGTATTTATCTCAAAGACCATGGGGGCCCATTTGCACATTCCATCCGATCATATGAATACGCACTTTGAAGATATGCGTCTCTTAGCTCATGCCGTGCCAACATTATTGCAAATGCAATTGCCAGCATCCATTCCACTTTCAACTGCAGCTGCTGCATTAGGCACACCCAATTCATCTTCTGGTACTGGTGGCAGTGGTGTTGATATTAGTACAGCTGCTTTGAGTAGCCCATCCAATGGATCGATTCATTCCACCGAACACGAGACAATTCCAGAAGGTGCAACACGAGGATCAGTGTATGTGGGCTTATCCGTTATGGTGCAAGAAGACAAGCAAAATGATCCCATGAATGTACACATTTTGGTGGATAAGGCACGGCGATACACATTCCCCATGGTACGATTCCAATACGCCGATGGTGAAATCCCAACACAGCTATCACGTGAAGAACGTAATTGTGTCTTGAGTTTACATGGTCAAACGTTGCAAAACATTGGCAGTGGCAACTCCATTGTACTTCCACGAGCAAGCACGACTACCAACAACAGCACATTGTTTGATGCAACACGGTCAGCAGCAAGTGGTGGTAGCAATAGTGATTGGGCTGGACGTAGTGGCGATTCGACAACAATGGTGGGAAGCCGATCACCTGATAAGGCTGGCACAACATCACCTATTGCCATGGCAGCGGCAACATCTCCAGTATCACCCATTGACAACCCTGGTTACGGTATTACTGCATTGGCGCGTTTTACACAAGCATTGGAAGATGCAGGTCGTAGGCTTATGGGATGTTCCATGTATGGCAAACCTTTATCCTCTGTAGCCAAACTACAAGGTGAAGTGATTGATATTCCACCTTTTGCATTGACTCTTGGACCATGTCAAATGATTTTGTTCCGTGCTTGGGTGACGAGTCCTGGTACCATTTCAGCCATCAATCAGACATCAAGTGAGACCATCAAATGCTTGCCCATCCCTCTTTATCGAAGTCTCGCCTATTACATCACGGATCAAGCAGCATACACTTATCGGTCACTTGCCTTACGCAATGTGCCTGAATCAGCCTATGTTGCTCAACAACGTGTGTATCAATCCACTGCTTCGTATTCACAACAATATTTGCCATCTACACAATCACAACCTACATGGCCACCTGCATCTACCATGCCATCATCCACACCAACAGCATCATCTTCTACACCTGTACCTTCTTCACCAAGGCATTCCAATTCCCATCATCATCATCATCATCAAGCACAACAACAACAGCAACAGCCATCATCATCATTCTTATCATCCACCACCACCACTCCCACCGCCTCTACATCAACACCTGCTGCTGTTGTCTCCAGCCATCATGATGAAAACAAGGATGAGGATAAATCAATGGCTCAATTTGTCTCATTACCACCTCCACCACGTGCACGCAAACCCAAAGTCCAATCACCACATGGGGGTGGTCTTTCACTGGCTAGTCTGCAAGATGTTGCTTCTTCTGATACCAACAAGAAGCGGCCCTTTGGTAATTCACTTTCCCTTACTATCGAGTTGCCCACCATCCTCAGCATCCTTCCTACTCTCGACCGCTTTTGGTGGCTCAATAACGTCATTGAAGAAACCATGCATGGCGATTAGACACACACATTTCATCATTATTCTTCTCATCCATCCACAACACCTTCTTTCATTATTACAACTGCATCCATCCCTCTCACTTGTATGTATATTCTCACTCTTCTTGCATAAGCCTTTTGTTTTCTACTCTTGTAATATTATTACTTGTTCCTCAAATAGTAGTATCTTAAGCACACACTTTTATTAGATAAATCATGTATTCTTAACAACGTCATTGAATAGCTTGTTGACCCTTCCTCTTCATCTCTTTTCTTTATCACTGTACTTTTACAATCCAATCCTGCATTTCTCATACCATGGTATAATTCATGACGCGACCACAACACATCGAGGTCCAACTCAAGATAAAGGAAGCTCTAACACTGGGGAAGTGGTTTGCCAACCTAATGTTGTATCGCTTAAACAACCTTTAATCCAACATCATCCACAAGAAATAGATTGAGAGGTACAACGAATTGCTTTAACGGGGGATACGTCGACTTGGGTGATGCTATCCTTTGATCATGAATTTTGCAAAGCGGATGGATGTATGTGAGGTGGCTCTTGGTGCATGATGGCGTAGATTATATGCATGGTGATTGTTGTACACGATTGACTGGTTGCACAAGTAGGTGATAGTAGCTGCTACAAAGTACGATAACTCAATGCACCAAGCACAATGGTCAAATCGACAATGGATGCACACTCTTCCCATGCGTTGTATATATCCATATCCTTCCATCTCCATATACCAAACCAAACCAATATCCATATCCATATCCATATCCATAAGAAGTCATATGTATTGGATGCAAGTTGCTACCCGTATATAAAGCTGCTTCTACGTAATGGCTATCTGCTGCTCACTTGAAGTAAAGCTGTAAGGCACGTTGCTGCAAGTAAAGAACGCTGCTGGAGACAAGGGAATGAAAACCTTGCTAATGGCAACTGCTGTTACGTTTGGTCGTGGAAGAGGAGTGAGCAAGAGGATCGTGTGTTGTAGTGAGCAGGCTGTTTACACGCCATGCACTTGCCATTCAGTCAAAGACAATCGGATCAAGGCAATTGTAGGAATGACATGATGGGTTAAAGCAGGACAATCGTTCGCAGGTAGTAGTTGTATACTTGAATGGGGCCAACAGTTGAGAATGGGAGGAAGAGCAAGAAGCTGGGAGTGGAAGAAGTGGAAACTAAATGGGCCGGACACCTCTTGTTTAAATGCATGAACACTGTACATCCAAAACTTTGATAATGAGATTGCCCCTCTTGTACCTGAGACTTTCACACAAGATGCTCTTGGGCATGCTGATCACGTTGATCTAAAAAAGATCTCATGTTTCATTTGAAAATTTGGAATGGTAGGGTGCAAGGTGGGATTTACTATGGAGGTCGGGAAGCAGGTCAGCCCCGGATTCATGATTTATGGAAATAGTATGCATTACCTTGGGATTCCCCATCTCGAACCTGAAACTTTGTCAGAAGGTTCGCTGGGACATGCTGATCAATGCCATTCAAATAAAAGTTGCAGACTTCATTGTTAAGATTTAAAATGCGGGGGCGGTCCAAATGGTGGATGACACGAACAAAAGAGCGGACGGCCCACCGCCCCGAAGTTGCCCACTTCCAACTTGAAAATTGGTCAGAAGGGTGCTCTCCAGCATGCTGATCAACTTTTTCTAATAAAGACTTCACGCTTCATTCGAAGATTTTGAATGGGAGCGTCCAAAAGTTTGAAAGGCGGAGACATTCGCAGGGTCTGTCTTTCAAGAATTTTCATGTTTGCTGTTCCACCGTAGCTCAGTCAAATCGGCTCGGATCAAGAAGCTTGAATGATGGAAATGCTCGGCTGGAGCAGGAGAATCGTTCACATGAAGTGGATTTTGCAACAACACTGATTGTGAGGAATTGGCTGATAGCGTGCACCATATGGACTATTATAGATAGACCATAAAGTAAAATCCATCAATCCTTCCAGTCATGCAAACGTAGCTGTGTTACACAACACGGCCCTCTGCATCTTTTGCTCTGCCAGGGTCCACCTACTTCTCAATGAACAACGACCACTTTTCATATAGCGTCACGCTTACAGCATATGTAAAACATAAAGACAGCCATATCTCAAAACTTTACAATGAAGTGTGGGGTCTTTAAGAGAACAAGCTGCTCTGCTGAGTCAAAGCGATCTTGTGTCAAAGTATGAAGTTCATCGTGGCCATTCCCAGATGTCGCAATGTCGCTACCAGCCAAACTGGATCTGGGGGTCGACCTCTTCGAAGACGACGACCAAAAAAAATATTTTTTGGGCTGGTTGCGACATTGAACGTGAAACTTTCACACAAGGTGCTGTTGGCCAAGCCGAGCCCATTGCTCTATTCAAAACCCCACGTTTCATTGTAAAGTTTGGAGATACAGGCACGTTTATGTTTGTAAGCGTGATGCTATAAGAAGAGTGGTCTTTGTTCATTGTCAAGTAGGTGGACCCTGGCAGAGCAAAAGATGCAGAGGGTCGTGTTGTGTAGCACAGCTACGTTTGCATGAATGAAATGGTCAATGTATAATTACTTTATGGATCATCTAGGAACAGGCATGTATTGCTAGCTAACGACCACTTTTATCCAATCATCATTGTTGCGAGATCCACTGCATGGGAACGATGCCCCTGCTCCAGACATTCATTTCCATGAAAAAAGTAGGTTGATCCGAGCTGATTTGACTGAGCTACGGTCAAAGAGAGATTACATCACTCTGGACATAAAGCACGTTCGATGTAGCTCAACCGATGTAATCTTGTGTGAGCGTAACTCAACCAAATCAGCTCGGATCAACCTACTTTCATCATGGAAATGAATGCCTAGAGCAGGAGCATCGTCCAGCTACAATAGAATGCACAAAAGTTGGGAATGCACAAAAGTGGCTATTAGCTGCCAATGTATGACATAAAAGTGAGGGTTGCGTACCTTTCATGCATTGTCCATGAAGTCCTGACTTTTTATCTGAGTTACCCAAAGAGGTCCTTCTGCATCTTTGGCTCTCCAGGATCTAGCTACTTGGTAATGAACAAAGACCACTTCTCATATAGCATCACGTTTACAAACATAAAGGTGCATGTATCTCCAAACTTTACAATCAAACGTGGGGTTTTTATTAGAGCAATGTGCTCGGCTTGGCCAGCAGCACCTTGTGTGAAAGTTTCACGATCAAGCTTGCCAATCTCAGATTTCGCAATGTCCCCACCAGTCAAACTGGATCCAGGGGTCGACCTCTTCGAAGACGACGACCAAAAAATATTTTTTGGGCTGTTTGCGACATTGAACGCGAAACTTTCACACAAGGTGCTGTTGGCCAAGCCGAGCACATTGCTCTAATAAAAACCCCACGCTTCATTGTAAAGTTTGGAGATACAGGCGTCTTTATGTTTTCACTATGCTGTAAGCGTGATGGAGTTGGTTTTTCCTAGCGGATGGTGTCGGCTGCATTAACGGAAAGATGAAGAGCTGAGTGAAACCGCACGTGGTGGTTACACAGACACGTCCTTGACAGGTTGCTACACAAATGGATGATGATGATGATTGCCTTTTGTGAAGGTACGTAAGTAAACAGCATCCATTTTATGAAGCTGTGTCAAGGTATGCATCACATTTGCATGTAGAAGAAAGTCGAGCTGCATAAACCAATTTGTATATGTAAAAACATACATATACATATTGAATGAGTCACTCATCCTGAAACTCAATGGAGGGATCTCTTCACTTTTTCTCTTCTCAAGCTCATCCCACTTCCCACTCCTCCTTATTGTGTCACAAAAGCCATGTACTTCTTGCATGACCGATAACCGGACCACCTTTATTATTCCATCTTCGAAGCAATAGTATTTAATCCACAAGTTAGCAACCTCCAACAAGCGTGTAATACATAAACAATGCTTTATTTCATCTAGCTATCTTGCTACTGTACATTGCCACCGCCATCGTCGTAGTCGTCATCCGTCATCATCCGTATTCGTACTCGTACTCGTCACCAGTCGTCAATCTCATCCGTCACACCAACATCCAAAAACACTCAAGTTGAAAAGAATGGGATCTTGCAGGCTTCCTTTTGGATCTCGTTGTCGTCATCATTGTCATTGTTGTGGATGGGGTGATCATCATAATCGTCATTGTTGTGAATGTGGTAATTATCGTAATAGTCGTCTCTATAAGTAAGAAAGCAAGCAAGTTAGATCATATGATGCCGGGAATGATGACGATTTGGTATACCGTTAGGCGATCCTCTCCAAGGAAGAAAGTAAATCAGAAGGAATTCACAAACCAAATCACCACCAGACGAGCAACGTCGGGTGATCCTTTGTTCTTGAGAAAGCACTGCACGAATCACGCAAGGCCAGTTCGATCCATGGCAAGGAAGGACATCACTTACGTAGAGTCCAGACTCATAGTTGTTCTCATTCATCCTCTCCAAAGAAAGAATGATCCCCAATCCTTCCAATCATTTCCGACCTCATGAAAAGAAATCCTCAAGGGAAAGAACGAGCCTATCAGGAGAAGAGCATGTTGGTTCAACACATTCACGGCCGAGCTGTTGCAAATCCCTTTTTACCTCAACACGGTGACCATGCTCTTCCAAAAATCCATCGTCATCGACCCATCAACTCAACTCAGGCGTATAGAGTCATGGACGCGTTTCAAAAACCTTTTTCAGCAACCGGTCGCTTGACACAGGGTGGGACTTGAACCCAAATAGATGATGATGATGCCCCAAGTTGCATTGCCTGACCAAAGAAACCTATTCAATTCATTATTAGCACACACACAATAAAAACCCTTTTCATTGTTTGTTTCATTGTACTTGCCTTTTTCCATATACACAAAGACCCGTTGTTGTTGGTTACTGGAAACCGAAAACCATGGTGTAGTATAGTTGAGCCGAAACAAAACGCCAAACCAGCCAACGTCTTGAATCCAAACTTGCCCTCTATACAAGGTGACGCGTCAATGGAACCAATTCGACTGCAACATTGGACTCTGAATGTACCTGTTGACACCAAGCGTAGAGCGGGAATAGCAACGAGCAAAAGGAAGCAACGAAATCGCCATGGCAACCACCAACGCTCATTCCTCAGCACTTGGACACACTCACTCTCCCTGACAATGCATGTTCATTCAATACCTCACAGCCAACAAGAGCACTCTTCTATGATACATTACCTTGATCGGGATGTTGTGAATGGGGATAAAAGTAGAGGAGGGAGAAAGAGAAGAGACAACGTTGTCTCAAGTCGTGGAGCTACCGTCCCTCAAGTTTAAACCCCCTACTGCTATTACACTGAGGCCACTCATCAATTACCCTATACACACACTATCCACCCATCATCCTCGTAATAGACAATAGGTACACGTAAATAAAAGAAATGATGATCCTCACGTATAGCAAAAGGGTGTGTGCCATTTTACACTTTACATGATAATGATGATCCAACAACAGCCATTACCTTACTGCCAAGGTTAGCTCGAATCAAGAAAGTTGAATGATGGACATGCTGGGCAAAGATGGATACATGGCTCGTTTATCAAAAGTACAATCTACCGTTACCATACATACTCACATTCTACTTCGGCTTTGAAGATGGTTGCAGCAATCAAGGAGTGATATGATGAAAGAAAGAGATATGTATGCGGGAGTGCAATGATAGGCGACACGATCTTTTATGTATATGCATGGTGGGTGTGGCTGCTTCTGGGATCACAAAAGGAGAAAAATCGATGAAAAGACATGAGGACGTCTTCACAAAGAGCATTGATATGATCAATTGTGCATTCATAAACCAGGATCCGGGATACATAAACAAGGTGGCAATATCCATCATTAAACAATGGAGTCAATCTGCTCTCACTGTGCCTTTTGCGGTTGACATTATAAAAGGAATGAGCGGTGTGAGTATTTATCTTTACGTTCGAATACAGTAACAGCAATGATACAACATCATGGTACCAGCAACCAAAATCCATCATGGGTCATCACCAGCATTTGAAGGGTACAATAGCAAATCTCATTTCATGTGTACATGATGAATGTTTTAAGTACAAATACTATATTACAAAGATAACAAACTATGGTATATCGTTTTTACTCAATTCGGTGATCGGGCAATTGGCAAATGTCGCATGCAATATTCCAAAATTGACGTGCTTTAGTCATATCCTTCGATGCCTTGGAGCTTTCCTCGACCTGCTTCTTCTTGAAGAGCTTGCCTGTCACATTGGTGAATTGGTCATCGGTTGCATAATATACATAGTCATCAGCAGCAGCATCCTCTGATGTAACAAAGCTCATCCAACTAAGCACGTGACGCATCAATAGACGAAGGGGCAAGCTTGAGTGACGATTGAGCATGGTGGTTGGTACAAATCCAGGGCAAAAGGCATTGATGGAAAGGTGTGGATAGCGTTCTGCCAGCAGATACATGAGCCATAACTGTGCCAATTTGGAAAGTCGATAAAACGGCATGCTCTCCCACCATACGTGTCCATCCAAGTTGTCCAAATCCGGATACCTCAACATCGCATCCACCTTGTCTTCTTTTTTACCAGCACGTGCATCAGGATCATGTAGCGATGACGTGACAAATAAGATACGTCCTTCTTGTTGTTGCATGAGTGGTATCAACTGCAATGTCAGGTACCATGGCGCCACCGCATTGACAAAGATGGTTTTCTCCACGCGTTGGATCGTCTCACGTTCGCCTTGCATCCCACCCGCATTATGGATCACAATATCGAGTTGCCCAATATCCATGCTCTTCAAAGTGTCTACACCTTGCTTGATCGAGTCGACGTTATCCTGATCCATAACCACCGTGAAAAGCTTGCTCGATGCTGGTGAATGGTATCGAATCGATTGCGTCGCTTGTTTCAACTTGCTCTCATCGCGGCCTGTAATGATAACTGTATGACCTTGTTGCAGGAACTTTGACGCAGCGCATTGTCCCAATCCACTTGTGGCTCCAGTAATAAGAATGGTCTTGGCTGAAAACTCCATATCGCGGAAGAGGAGAAGAGCTGCATTGTTTAATCGCCACCAGATGACCTCTGTTTCATTGTACCACGCGGCCATTCGTTCCCATCGCCCAATTTCTTTGTTGCCAGGCAACATCATCATCCGCAACGCACACTATACAAGATTTGAAGAGGAGCGCTCTCCATTATTCTGATTCAGGAGGATCACCATGTCTCATGAAAACATGGCCAAGACGGACAAGCAGCATACAACTACTAGATTTGACGTATCACTACCATGCTCCTTTTGATAACCAAATCCAGCCAATAAATGACCCATTGTATTCTCATTAATCAATCCATACAATAATATCATCTTGCTCATCGGAGGGGAAAAATGGAAAGTAGACAACCTATGTACATACCACGATCCTCGTATCCGACTTGTCTTTTGCTGCATGAAGGGATGGCTGTAAGGATTTCCCCCTGCTTGTTTTTGTATACAAGGATACACATACCAGCATTTAGATGGCTGTTTGAGTGTATACAAGAAAGAGTCTGATGATAAAGAATGATCGATACAAGTACATTGATACCTTTTTGTTATAGCTTCCTCTGACATGGGTGATGGAGAGCGCTTTTTTCGTTCAAAAGAAACATGGATACGAGCGGCATCGTTCGTTTGTTCATAAACCAGTATGATGCATTCTTCACTGTAGCAAACGGGTTTGAACTGCCCCCATGATCACGGGGTTTGTGTGTGATGGCGTAAAACGGCTGCAGGAAAATGTTTAATGGGAGTTGGTGATGTGCACAATGCAGCAGAGTGGATAACTGGCACCTTTTTTCTGCTAAGATAAGTACTTATCCAGAAATCAGCATGACAATGACCAATAAAATAGTATACGTTAGCATCGATTCCGATGAGGGATGCTAGTATGAAAGGTGCGAGCCATGCCAGACCTATTAACAATAATGCAAAAACCATCACTAGTAGTGTTGATGCAATGCATAAAAGTGCGCCTACTGCATCGTTCGTTTCTTATACGGAGCGTCGTGAGTGCTGATACAATGATGGAGGAGAAAAATATAAGAAGCACCAGGATTGACCCATTTTGGCAGCTTGCTTTTTCTATTGCCAACCTCATCTATCACTATAATAATGTACGCACACATATTATTCAAGCTCTCTTTTGCCACAATCTTGGCATTGCTATTGCTTAGCACTCCTACAGTCGCCGATAATTTTGATGCAATCGTCAAAGAAGCACTTGCGGAAGGCAATAAAGCATCTGATAGTACGCCTGCTGGTGGATCTATCAACGACAACCAGCCACCATCTGCTGACACAGGTGCCACTAGTGAGGATACCACGAAACAGCCATCACCTAGTGCAACGAGCGGTGGTGGCGATACACAAGACCAACAGCAACCTGATATTGGTTCCATGGGAAAGAACTTGAAGAACCCTAATGCAAACAGCAAGTCGTATGGTGAATGCTTGTCAGGATGTGCAGCGATTGTGGATAGTCTTACGGAATCATGCAAAAAGCTCAGTGACCCAAAGAAAGGATCAAGCTATGATGAATGCGACCAAACTATCAAAACTGAGCTTGATGGATGTAAAGAAGATTGCAAGACACGAAAGGACGCTTAGTTAGTTGCGATGTATTCCATCATATTAAAATGTTTATTTACTACAAGGAATGTATGCCATGAAATCCAAAGTTGTATAAAAAGGAGATCATCGGTGGGTTTACTGCTCAAAATGTGCCCCTGAATGTGTGTGGCGGTAAATTTTCGTATGGCGGATCATAGACAGCCACCTCCTGAATAATGACACATACACTCAGCATCTCCTGCATAAAAAAGGCCGCCGCTGGTTCATGTTCGTTTGCGCTTTGCTATCATTTTCTTCACTTTTTGACCCAAATGATGTTATTCAAGTCATTCCTCCTTGTTCTTTTGGCCGCATGGTCGCTCATGGTACTTGCAGATAATGCCCAGCTACGTAAAAGCGAAGGACCGCAGCAAGGTGTTGCACCAGATCCATGTTTAGATGCTTGCGATAGCAAAGGAATGGCTGCTCTCAAGGCTTGTCTAAAAAACGAATGCAACAGTGACTTGGACCCATCAGGACCTCCACCTTCGACTGACAAACCATTTACGGCTGGCAGTGACAAAAATACTATGACTTTATGTGAATCGAGGTGCTACGAAAAGAACAACCCGAAGATGTATTCCTGCTATGACGCTTGCATGAAAAAACCATCTCAGCCAAAAACCCAAGATCCAGCCCCAAAGCCGTAAATCGCATGAGAATTAAAGGTGGCGATGGCATGCAAAGGTCCTTACAATCGATCGATGCAAATCCCTGATGAAGCAAACAAGATTGAATGATCATCCTTGTTGTCATGGTAGCAGATGCGATGATGGTTCTATAATAAAAAAAAGCATTGCCTTGCTATTTGATCGTAATACTGATTATCTCCCGTCGTAGTAAGATCAAAAGCTGAATGCGCCATGTTTAACCTCACAACAAACGTCTTCCTAATATAAGCATACAGTATCTATACATCGTGTGTACAATGCCTTTCTATAAGACCGAGGGCGAGAGGTATAAACTATATCCCTTAACCATCACCTCGGACAAACGATACCCCTGAAAGTGTGAAATTGAGTTTAATCAAAGTTGACTCTCTTCTTGTAAGGAGGATTAAATACACATATCAGCACATCAGATTTGTATATATAAAAGGGCCACTTATTTAATGATGTTGTCGTGATTTCTCTACCTCACTCCTTCCTGCATTGCACAATCCAAATCATGATGGTATTCAAGGCATCTGCTGTTGTGGTTCTTATTGCCGTTTGGTCTTTCACTGCATCTGTAACCAATGCTGAGTCCACAGACCCAACTGCTCCTGCCAACGCTCAGTCCGCCGACCCACTTGCTGCGTCAGAGATAAAACTCTGCCGCAATGAATGTGCTACGCTCTACGATGAAGCGTGCGGTACGTGCTTTCGTGACGTTTGCAAGAGCGATAACATGTACTTCCATCCTTCACCTGACGATGACGGCAATACAAATACACCCCAGCCAGCGTATACGCCATGTGAAAAGGACTGCATCAAGAAGGCCTCTGATGCTCAAACAAAGTGCGATCAAGACTGCATCCCCCCTCCCCGATAAAATAGCCACCAAATTTCCTCTAAATCAGGTGACATAAGCGAGGTGCGAAATGAGCGACTTGGTTATTCGATTGATGCTGGTGATTGCAATTGCATAAAAATAAAAATGATGATGCTATATGCATAATTGATATGGAGCATGATCCTTTAGTCGCTAGGATGTTTGAGGGTCATGTACATGTACAAAGGTTTTGAAAGACCTTCTGATTAATAGCATACTGGTTGCTGATAATAGATTTTCAAAGTCACCTTGAATTGCTGTAGCATCCATAGCCATGTACCAATGCCATGTATGATGATGTAGGATGATCGCAGTTGCTTCTATGTCATTCCTTCTTGCTAAAGTTCATGTTGTAGCATTAAATCTTGTGCCATTGATACCGAAAGCTATCAACAAAAGAGTGACCAACAAAAGGTAGGCGCTCTTCCAATGAGGTTTATCCAATGTCACAATGTTATTTAAGCAAAGCCATCAGCAACTACAGTTAAACGCCATCATCTTTGCTCAGCTTGCTGTTCACTGTATTAAGGTTTGCGAGATACTGAGAAGGTCGATAAGAAGATGTTGGCATTTGACTACTGGTCCCGCATTGCAGCTTGCCCAAATATTATTCCCTTTGAAAGTGTGAGATGGCGTTTAATCAAGGTTGACCCTCTTGCAAGACATCAAAATTGTATATAAAAGAGCGACTTTTATAATGATGTCGTGATTTCACTAGTTCTCTTCTTCCTTTATCAACGGATTCAAATCATGATGATGCTCAAGTCCTCTGCTGCTATTGTCCTTCTTGCCACCGTATGGTACTTTACGGTATCTGCAGCCAATGTTCATCCAGCAGCTGCATCACTTTCTGAGGCAGAGAAAAGATTGTGCAGCGAGTCATGCACTAAGGTCTACGTTAAAACACGCGACACGTGTTTACGAGACGTTTGTAACAGCACCAAAACATTCGTACGTGTTCCATTTGACGATGATGATACACCTGAGCCAACGTACACTCCATGTGAAGAAGACTGCTTCAAGAAGGCCGGTGATGCTCAGCTAAAGTGCGAGAAGGAATGCGTGTAGACAATGAAGCACAAGGGAATGCCCACAAAGAAGCCGTAATATAGCAACGAGTATTGCTTGTAGTATACAAGATTTGTCATCTACATACCCAAACCCCTTCCATTAAAAGAGAATGATTTGCTATTACTATGTACGAGGGGTTTTTGTTTGTTCATGCTGGATTTTGAGTCTGCGTTAAGTATAGCACCCGTCGCAATTGAATTCTTCAACAGCAAGACGAAAGAGGAATGGCAGCAGAGGTGAGGCTTGTAGTTGCAGCTATAGGTAAGAATGAAGGTCTCATCACGTTAAGCACATGTAAAAGTAGGAGATTGGGTGGAGCTGTATAGTATACCAGCTATACATGCCGAAAACAGACGTGTTCGAAGCACCCTATATTGCATCATTGTTTGCATAAGAGACTGCTATTATTACCATGCACGCATCAAACTTGATGGCGTTATATGTATTTCGAGTAAACCGAACTTATCTACGATGTCCAGCAAGGTGCATATGGCCATTGCTATAAGCAAGGTATGCTAGGAAGGCAATGAAAGTGATGATGAAAATGCGTTAAATCTAATGTAGCTCTACCAACCTTTGCCCGAAGGTGGTGATATGGCGCTTGATTGCTTAGTTGCTAGGATGTCGTGGGTCATGCATAAAGACGTTGAAAGGCGAAATGGTTAATAGCATGTTGGTTGCAGATCATAGATTCTCAGAGTCACGTTGAATTGCTATAGCATCATAACCATGCATTCTATAATGTAGGATGATCGCAACCGCTTTAATGTCATGCTTTATTAAACGGGTATGTTGTAGCATAGGTATCGTTTCATTGACACCGAAAGTGATAAAAAGAATGGATCTCTTTCAAAGAGCGTTATACATGAGGTGTTGTTATTTAAGCGACACAATCGGCGACTACAGTTAAACGCCATGATCCTTGCCCAGCTTGTTGTGCATTGAAACAAGGTTTTCTAGAATACTGAGAAGGTCGATAGGAAGAAGCTGTTGACATTTAGCTACTGCATTTGCATAGCAGCTTGCCCAAACAATGCCCCTGAAAGTGTGAAATGGCGTTTAATCCAAGTCCATTATTACGGCAAAGACGTCTACGAGGATAGCGTATCCCTCTATGAGACAATTGTATATAAAAAGCGCCCCTTCTTCGATCCATCTTTCTAGGTGCTGTACTCCTTTATCCTCTCTTTCTTTACTACGGAGTCTCAATCATGTTGTTTAAGCCATCGATTATTGTTGGTTTTCTTGTCTGCTGGTCCCTTACTGTACTTGCCATTGATCCAGTGGAAAAAGAAAAAGACGAGTGCTACTCTACTTGTTGGAATGGCTACTCGCTCTGCGACTGCCTGGAGGCGTTTTGTGGCGAACCGTGTGATAGAGGACCTCTGGCATCGGCTATGGGAGATATAAATCCACAACCAAAGACCAAATGTCAATCTACCTGCGACAAGGTTGTTCGTGATGCTCATAACAAATGCAACGACAAGTGCAACCAGCAATATCAACCGGAACAGCCCAAAGCATGAATGAATGACCAGAGCCATATAAAGTCAAGCATACATATAAATGACTGAAAACCTGCTTTGCATGATAGTGATCATTACATTTAGCTGTCAACTTTGTGCATATCGTGGCTATTGATTCATAAATCCTTAAGCTATGAAAATGAATCAGACATAATGTACACCAAATGGCTCATTACATATAGCATGGAAACAATGCTACGCTTATGGCGCGATTCGAGATTGTACTTTACAGGTTGCGATGTGTGAGCAGGATGAATTTAAAAGAAGAATGCATATAACATTGTTGGTCGCATAATACCTTCAACATGTAACAGCGGATGAGAAAAAGATAGGGGTCGTAATGATTACCCGAGCTATGTATAGCTGCCTTCCACATGAAGCCGATGCAATGAAAGCTGTGTGATGGAAAAGTATTAATAATGCACATGCACAAATGGTGTGAATGGAACAAAAGTATATCCGCCGAGCCACATTACCGTAGTACTAGCTACAACGGCTTCAGCAACCATGCGAATGATATATAGTATCATGCTGCATTTGTTATCTCCATGCCAACGACGCGGTCGTTGTTGCTATGATACTGTGTCAATCCCAATGGCTCACGATGGCGCCTTGTGGTGTCATCAGCAATGTACTAAGCATGGCTGGTGATTTAAAGTTAAATTCTCTAAATTAGGATCATGCATGTACCACATGTCAACTGGGCTTGCCCCAGGGGTGATGCAACGTCAAATGGTAAATTGACTCAGCCTCTTCGTACTCCACGTTTGAATACTGTGTTATGTGTATCTCCAGAAATAAATTCGCTTGTGCGCTTTCCGAGAAGCATGTGTGTTGTCAATATCATGCAGCGAAATATATAAAAGCACGTCGTCAAGACAACGGTCGATAGCCGTCGTCCATTTTTCGCAATCCAAACATGCTGAACAAGACTGTCCTCGCCACCTTTTTGCTCTTTGCCCTTCTCTTCAATGTTGCCACCGCCTTCAGGTGTGTTAGTAACGAGCAATGTGACGAATGGTGCAAGAACTATGATGATGCCGTCTCTGGTTTCTGTCTCATATCCGGAGGATGCCATTGCCACCTTGAAAAGTGCAACTATGACAACCGATAAGTAAGTGCATGAATGGGTCATGTGTATGGCTTGGACATCATCTCACTCTCTGGGTAATTAGATGCCCTTAACGATCGAGGCTACCCAAACCACACATAAAAATAGGATCATCCTTTGGACTTTGTTCATTAAAGTGTTACATTAGCCTTGGCAGGAGGTTTATGAGAGTTTGGCTTATTGAGTTCTTTTTATTCAAATATCATGTTGGGGAATGTGGGATATGGCATTGACCAGATTGGGTAGCTAGTAAAGTGTGGGGATACGCAAGGTGATATGTGCTTTCGGAATCGATTCCGGCGGTGGCGGCATGGTTCTCTCTCTCCTTCATTCCACCACCAAGTCGCTTCTTCTTCAAAGACCACTTTGGCTGAGGCATTACACATCCTTTATTCATTGCCATGGTTCAAGTTAACTCCATTATTTCGCGTCGACTACAAGCAAATGACCGTTGAGGAAAACTGGTGCGAGGTTGCTACAAGGAATGGTGTTTGACAGCGGCAGCGACCATGGCGGCAATCGACATGACGACGCTACGATTGACGAAGAGAAACAAGAGCTCTATAACCATCCTGATCCTCGTCTTGTTCATGTTGCTGAAAACGCGTACCAGAATGTTCATGATATCATCACCGATGGATTATCGATACGAAGTTGAAGCGAAAAGGCTCTACGCATCATCACGTCTTTGGGGCAACGCTTAGTCAAGGGGCACAAGCCATGTCGTGGAGGAGGTTGCACTCGTTATTATGGTATGCTTAGCTTTGATCCATCTACAGCCATCGTGTGGAATTACTCAAATGGGCAATGATAGACTTGCATCCCTCGATAGCATGAACGTGATCATGCAGGGTATGGATGGAAGATCAAGATGTGGATTTCATGGGACTTTTACAACTGGAAATTGGCGGTTGATCATGTACGAGTAGCAACAATGATCGCAGAGAGCGAAGCTGCAGATGATATCCAACACGTATTCTCACAACGACTTCGTTCATTCGGTAAGTGGAAAGCTGGTTAAAACTAAGCAGCTGAAAGTAACCGCATCTTCTTTAGAGCAGCATTGTGATAATGAATTGGACGTTGATATCTTGGGATGCACAGTCGCTTTTATTCAGCTACAAGATCAAGTTTCAATCATCCACCTCGCATCTGCAGGCAATCAAAGGATTATATGGATGGCGTATTGGGGCTCTTATAAATGGATATTCCTTGTGTGTGTCGCATCCCAGCCTGGTGTGGAGATTTTTCTTGTCATCAAGCAACTACTAGATCGGTTATCTGAAAGAGTGATGCTATTGGGACATCATGGTCGATTGATGAAGGATCTGGCTTGTCAAGTGCAAGAAGCAGCAGAATGGTATATGTTTACGGGGAATCTGATCACTATGACACGTGTACAAATGGCAACGGCGTATCACGTATGGTTGGGCGTTTCCATTCCAAGTAGCTCTTTCGGTCTCTGAACCACAAGAACAATCGCACCAAAAAGCAATGGATCACCACCATTTACGCTTTTCGGCTCCTGCAACATGCCATTCCCAAGTAGCTAGCAACACCCCCCCCCCTTATTGCAGTAAACTTCTATATACCATGTATACATAAATCACCATTTAATCTTGCTACATAACGCAGCTCCTTCATTGTACATATACACATGCTTATTTAATGAACGACACAGTGCTACATACATATACGAAGCACTACTAATAATATACGCAATAGTTATGGTCCTTTGTCGAAGCCTACCAACATCAACGTGGTCCTTTCTTGAAGCCTCGGAATCCCTTTTCTATGAGTTTAGGTGGCCGAGCTGTTAAGCCATTGGGCGTTGTGTTGGTACATCTGAGACCGTTCCCACCTTGAAGTGATCTTTAGTATGCAGCACTTCTTACGCTCTAGATGCTATCACTCTCATTCTCACTCACCAGGTTGATAACCAATTATAGAGCATTGATGGGGAAGGCATTTGTCAAATCTCAACTTGCTGCAGTCCACTTCAGCAGCAGGCGGCGGATTACAAGAGCGGTATCCCACTATGATCATTTTAAGTGACCCAAGGTTGATGGAAAGCCTTTTACAACTTACCGTATTCATCGTTAGAAACGTGCTCAAAGGTGCAAAGTTGACTGTCGCACTTCTCCACTGTTTTTGCGGGTATCTCTGCAAAAGAACATGTCTTAGGAGTAGAGGCGCTGTCTGGTGGTGGTGGTGTAGCAGCAAACACAACAGGGGTAGTTATAACCAAGAGCGCTCCAAGCACAACAGCCAATTTCATCGAAATCGCACAAGAATGATGGGAAACGATGTGTAAAATGATACATAGTTGGTATGTATCCTGTTTTATATACTGAAGCCTGGCAAGTTTTGGACTTTAATCGGTACAAAAAAGGAGTACATGCAGACCCAACAACAGGATAAGCTCTTGACGACCCGCATATACCTCATCTTTAATACGATTTTGGACATTTATGTCAATTCCCTAATTCGCTACGTTAACAAATAGGGAGACATAGCACGGAGAACGTCTTCGAGCCAACTTTATTATCCTTAGTTGTAATATCCAATAACTAAATCTTCATCTCACGACATTGTATCATGTATATTGTTAGTCATGTTCAAGGGGTTTCCTCAGTTACATATGTTATAGCTTATTCAACCCATCACTCTTTCAATACATGCACACCTCATGGTAGTGCTTTGTGTAAGTATGTAATGGTGTATGTGGCCATGTTGTATCCATGATATGGTAACGAATAACGCTTTTCTTCTCAACCCATACACGATTTCATCCACACTAACCATCAAGGCATGAATAGTAAAATCCTCTTATCGACCATGATCATTAATACAGAATAGACTACTTTATATGCAGGCAGTGTCCAAGTATTAAGCTTGGCCGGGAGGGGGTCAAAGTGAATCGCCGCTCTTCCTTTTCTTTATGCCGCTTCACGATGGGTGCCACAGGTACATCCAAAGCCTCATGTTGCAACAGCCCTTGTCCCATTGACGTTGAATGGAGACTCATTTAGTTCAGAGCGTGCGTTGCGTGTGAACTCGCTGGTGCCATTGGGTCTTGCATTCTCTTGACAACGGTACAATGTCCAACCAACCAAGGTCTGATCACGTGAATCTGGTGCTCTTGCGAGGTAAATACAATGCAATGATACCAGGATATAATGAACACTCATTGCAGCAAAAAGAAAAACAGCTTTATCCAACGCAAGGATCTACAGGAGGATGAATCTCAAACGACTTGTCTTGTCTGGTTCGCGTGGAGACAATGTTTGCTTCGTCTTGGTGGCCCCAATGGGTAGTCATATACAGCTACGCCTCGTCGTGGATGCAGCTGGTAGAGTCGGCGTTCTTTCTGAATCAACGTATCATGGAAACGACATGGGAGTGCAAAGGAAGCGCATCATGAATGGTTCCTATCCTGGATGGCAATGGTGTATTTTGTCCACCAACACAACTGCCTATTGGAGACATCAAAAACCTTGAAAGAAGTCAACGCATACACCAAACATCTTCAGCTTGTATCACCACAAAGCAGCTCCATATCATTTATGTATTGATGATGAGCAATTTCAGAAAGGTTGTCGACTTGATCAACTCACACTTGGACATCATCACATCCAGGCTCTTGTTAATGCATCATCCTGATATGAAAGGTCTTCCATTACTTTCAGCTCCTGCACCAGCAGCTCATTCCATCACAATCTCCTTTTCTTTGGTGTAAGTACTGGAGCACCATGCTTGAAAGCCTGTTTGGTGGCGATAAGGACTTATTTCTTACATTGGTAAATATATGATCGGTGGCGTTCGGATAATATGAAAAGACGTAGCTAACTCTGTTTCAAATTAGGGGGTAAAGCTTTGGCGATCGCACGTACTGCTTTGACCAAAGTCAGCTTTGATTTTAAGCTTTGGTCTCCGTTTCCTGGCAACTGGCATGTAAGGGGTGACTGCGTCCAACACTCGTGAATTGGATTGGAAGCAAGGTCTTCAAGGACAATTTGGCTCTTTATACAAAGCATCATTTGAAGCGTCTTCTACCATACATTCCTAAGAACAAGGTTGCCTCGTTGCATATCCCTGACCACGAGCTTCTCAATCTATGGTCTTGTCAGCCATCGAACAGCTGCTATGCATGATCGCTTTGATTTTCCAACAACTGGACTCCGCCCCTGTTCTGGTATCGCGTTGCACTCACCCACAACGTACGCCTCTTTATACAAACTTAAGTAGTTGATTGTTCATTTTCATACTGTGCATGGGAAGCCACAATAAAGGAGGATAAGATGGAGGTTCTTCATCTTCACACAGTCGTAACCATCATGGATCGAGATAATGATTGAGTGTGTCTTTTTGTACGCTGCCATGACAACTATCATTCTAGGCTAGTTATGGCTGCATCTTACTTTGGGAACATATTGAATTACGAAGATGGCACCATAATCCTACCTATGTCACGGGTGTGTTGATTCCATAACATATCCGCCAACTGATCTTACCATTTACGCATTAGCATCAGCCTCCTCGTCAACAACCTTATTCATAGTATAATTGGTATCTCCAGATGTAGCATATTCAAACTCAATGCCATCATGGTGTGATACGTATTTCATGGTGGTGTCATTGTTGACATGTTCAATAACGGGGGGGGGCTGATGCGGGTTTGATGTAACATAGTTCAGAGTAAATTCTCCAAATCGGGGAAGGTTGCATGCTCATGCCTCGCATAAATGCCGACAGACAGAGCGGGGAGAGCTGTTGCTTCAACGTCAATGTCACGAAGAGAGCATACATAAGTATAACGACTGAGCCCCGTGGCTTTGCATTCAAAACAGCAAGGTTGTCTGATAATGAAGCTCCTAAAATAAATCATCCAAAGTAGTATGCGGAGCTTGTTGCTTGTCCCAAGCATGTGGTGTGTTGTCAGTACATACCATCCACCAGTGATGGATATAAAAGCATGTCGTCAAGGCAACGGTCGATACATAACCATCCATCTTTTACAATACTAATCATGTTGAACAAGACTGTCCTTGCCACCTTTTTGCTCTTTGCCCTTCTCTTCAATGCTGCTACCGCCTTCAAGTGTGTTCGTGACGACCAATGTGACGAATGGTGCAAGAACTATGGTGATGCCGCCGCTGGTTACTGTCTTAAGAGTGGAGGATGCATTTGCGCTAAGGACGAAAAGTGCGTTGACGTATAATAATGACGGTAAGTGTATGATTGCATCCTCTATGTACATGGCTTGCCCATCCTCTTACATGCTCTCTGGATCATTAGATAGGCTAACCATGGCACAGCACATAACAACTTGGTCATCATTTTGAATACATTTGTTCATTAAAGAATCGCATTGCCTTGGCTGATGTATAAAAGCTGATGTTCATACATGACTTAATATTGCTGCGTCATCATTGGATGTATCCAATTTATAGTATGTATAATCGTTTATATAGAAAATGTGAATGAGAACATTATCACTATCGTGTATGATAGCCCGTATTGTCCTTATAGAAGGTTGCATAGGATAACGCTACCTGAAAATCGTTATAGGTAACATGGTGTGTTCATATACTTGTGTCGCATTGTATCTCAGCAGCTCACTCTCCTCCTCGAACATAATGAATTCAGCTTACAATGAACCAAGCATACACAACAAGCACTGTGTCGGGCATCATCACTTTGATTTAATTATCCTCGTAAATCAAGCGTTTGTCAATTGCCACTGCCTATCATATACCAGCATGCAAATTAGGAAGCTTTGGCGACAAAGGGACAAAAACGTCTTGATACGATGACGTAAATGATTGAATCTCGCTTTCCAACCTTCACATTTGTCTTTTCCCTTTCAATCCAGAAACCAACCAAGTGGTCCATGTCTTGCCCAAATAAGCTGAGATGATATTCCAAGTATTACGTTGAATCCAATCTTCATTTAATGAAAAAGTAGAAGGGTAGTGTGGATGTCTATAAACCAATATTATGATAAAGGGACAGCATTGCAAACTGATAAGATACGGATGAATCACATCGAGGGAATAGGGATAGCTGTATCATTGTATTCTTGGTTGCTGGAGAACAGTTGCTGCATGATTTGCCTTGAGTACTCCAACGACATCCATGATTGTAAACCGCCTTTCATCAAAGAACCTTCTTTTCAACAACACCGTCCAATCCAACATCATCCACAGCTGTACCCACGTAACATGATCCATTCTTCCTGATGATGATGGCGTGTCAAGTAATCAAAACAACGATCCAAGAATTCCATCCAATGCGCTTGATTGCATCCATTCATAGTCATTCCAAGGCCAACGTGCTGATCAAAGGGCAATGGCATCGCTGCTGATATGCATCCTTTTCCACCCAGCTATTGGTCAATCTCTTGCTTCCCATATTCTGTGGCAGCCCAATCATGCTGTGATATATACCATGCATTGTGAAAGTTGCTGGTATTGATGCATACTTGATCATGAGTATCAATGGCCGTCATGTATAGTATACTCCACGTCAACCATCACGTCCTATGGTTCGTTCACGATATTAATTATCATTCCTTGATCAACAGACCCACCCATACTCTTTTATACCTTGATATGGATGACACATGATACAAATCTCTTGTGGTAGTGTGCTGTTGGATGATGACGCGTGTTTTGGGTTGATGAAGAGGCGATGGTAATGATTATATGACATGGCTGTTGTGCTGGATAAAGCTGATCAACATGCTGCTGCAATATTACGCAAGAAAGATATCCCTGGAACTGGCTGCTCGTTGTCACCAAGCTTGAAAAAGAACCTGAGAGCTAGTTTCATTGCATGTTCGCTGCACAACGCGTAAACAATGAATAGTGCAGGGTGCCATGTACGTGCTGTCATCGTTTGAGAATAAATCGTAGCGAAGAAGTTGCTGTGGATGCCATTGTCCAGTGGAGTGAAATGCAGTTGAAGAGAAAGAAGAGTAGACGTGAAAGAGAGACCCAAATTTTGCTCTGCCCAACTTGCCTTTTTCACCGCCTGCCTGTTACACGCCTCCTACTCATCCCCATGATGCAGAACAACACCGTAATCACATGATAAATGGTATGATCAAAAGTAAACTTCAACGTTGATTGATTGCAAAGAAAGCCTTGCTCCATGGTAGCACCTTGTCATATGCTGTAGATTATCCGCCATATTTCCAACGTCAAAATGCAGTTATTAAAGTAATGTTAGTGACGCTCATAAATGCGTAATAAACATATAAATGATAAGGTGGCAAATTAGCTTCCATGGGAACCCATGTACTGACAAGGATGGCCACGCGAAGGCTTTGCCGTCACCCTCTCCCCTACGGTGCACCAAGCCGGATAACGGGGGCTGCCATTGTAAACAACAGCATCTTCTATAGGTGCTGCTCGAGCCAACATGTTCGGTCTGATAAAAGGATAGCATCCCACGCCAACAGAGGCCGACCCATAAGAGCAAAAAGCAATACATGATCCCATATCTACCACAAGGCCACGGAGTAACAGTCTAACTTCCAACGGCTAAGGCAGCAATCATCAAATGCAATTGATAGGGCCAAGATAGGGCTGACCACACTGTCGCATGTAAATCATAACTGCCAACGATGCTTTACACAAAAGAGCAAGGCACCATCCCGTTCTACCCATAGCAAATAAACATCCGCCATATCAGTAGTTGCTGCCATCAAGCGACCTTTTTGGGTTGGCGTCATCAGAGAGACACATCATGCACTGCAACAAATAAATCCGGTCTTGATGAAATAGCATACGCGAGAATATTGACTTGCCAAGAGAACGTCCAAGGTATCCATACAAGTACTTGAGGAATGAGATCCGCCATGGCACCGATAAAAGCATTGCTCTGAAGATCCACCGATAAAGAGACGACTTGCAGGTAGCTGATTTCCAAAAACCATGGAAACGGTATCCTTGACAACCACAACTATAAGATAGAGATCGCTTGCTTGCTTCTGAGACACCCACCCAAATTCAAATGTTGATCTTCGTCTTCCAATTCAATAGGGTTCGCCATTGTCAGCTGTAAGGAGAGACTTTGATGGCACCAAAGAGCATGCGAAATTACAGCTTGATGGAATGATGGACCTATAAAACTGCATATCACTAATTTATCTTTGAGGTAATGGTAGCAATACTTAGCCAGTGTTATATGAGATTCCACGATGTTTGATGCCACCCAGTAATCAGAACACATTTCCTTGCTGTAGAGATGTCGACACAGTGACCAACTCTGATAGCCGTTTCTCCAAGCGATACTTGATGATGAATGCCATGAGAGATGGATACACCTTGACAGCACCAAAAGAACACGTAACATTGTTGTTTGTTGCTGATGTGATACATCCAGATACGTGCGGTGAAGTGGGCTCTTGAAATCAATTTGCCAATAACGAGAACCGCCAGAGGATCAAGTAAATGTTGTTGACACTAAGGATGTGGGTTCTGTTGCTCATTGCTGCTTCTTGCTTGTAGCTGATATGATCCACTGATAACAGGCATGCATAGCAGGATATCCATTGAAAGGGTTGTCAACAACTAGGACCACAATAACACGAGATAAAACTTGGCGACACCAAAAGGTATAGAACTTGTTGCCTTGCCGCTGCAGATGCTTATAAAAGGAAGTGTCCAATAGGTGGTACAGTAACGAAAACCATCGAACGATGTAATAAGGCAAGCTGACACTGAAGGATGCTGTAGACGTTGCTCTTTGACCCTGACATGATTCGTCTAAAAACGATGCACGGTAAACACTTTCCCGAACACATAGAACGATACTTA